ATGACATTCCCACTTGTCACTTTTGTAACTTCATATTCTTTCCTTCATTCGACACCTCCCCCAAGCTAGAATTATAAATTATGACTATATGTTAATATCGCAAGGGGAAGTGCTAGCCAAACATTGCCATAGGCATAGCTGAGTGGTTTCGTGTTCAAGCTATAGATTGCAATTTAGCTTGGATTTACTAATTTTCTTCAAGACAGGTCTGGTGGTGGTGAGTGTAAATTGGCGTGATATGAACGAAAGATCAACAGTCAGACATTTTGTACATGTGTGTGCCTTTAACTTTAAACATTGTGTTGGCAAGTTTTATTTCAATAAACTTTGGGCTGTTTTTCATTTCATGTAATTTTTTGTTCAAAAATACGAAACATTAATCTCTGCTAAAAATATTGCTTGAATATATATGAAATTCACATTTAATTCACCAGAGATTGTGTGGCAATCAGTTTCTCAGTAAATACTGAAAATAGACAAGTTTTTTCTTTTAATAACCACCCTTAAAAGCAAACCTTCGAAACACTCCAATTAGGCACATCAGAAAGAATACTTCTTTTGATTAAAGCTATGTGACTATGTCGATAATACTATTTCAGGGCACGTGTGTCAAAATTTGACGACTGACTTTTAAGGTGGATGGTGGATTTGGCAGGTATACCATGTGGATCATCATGGTTATTTCAAGGTTTATAGAGGACATTTGCGGGTAATGTGATTATAGTTATGATTGCGTGCATAACTGTGATTTTTTCATAAAGGACCATAAGTTTTATTAAATGTATGCCATTGCATTTAATAAACGCAGTGTTTTGGGAGATGTACCCAAAGGCCAAGAAATGAAGAAGGAAACGTGAATATTCCTGAAAGCTGAAATAAATAATGTTATGACAAATTGGCTTTGCTTGGCCCCAAATGTGGACACTGTTTTTTCCAAAACGAAACGAAATGGGAGGGAAAACCGGTGGATCCGGGAAAAAACCCTCCAATAGTAGAAAAGGTCAAAAATTTAGAGAAATTTCCTTAAATTTTTGTAGTTTTAAGATGTTTCCTATTTTTGTTGCTTTCAATGATCCCGATGATCTATTTTAACATGCTGCAGCGTCCTACATAGCCGTATAAAAAATTTAAATTTACAGAGCGACAAAAAAGCGGACCGACTACCCTATTGACACAGCAATTATTTTGTGTTCAACAAAAGAAACGCAAACTTTCGTAGAGAGCAACAAATGAAAGTGCGCCGAATGTTAACAAAGATTTTAATAAATAGACGAAAAATGAAAATTAAAAGCATCCCATAAAATTCTATGAAATAATTATTCAGTACGTACGACATGACCATTCATCTGTCAATAACAATGAAAAAAATGAAATGACCAAAGTGACGTCATGACTTGCATAAAAATCATTTTTGATGTCTACTAGACTTCATTCAAAATTTCTATGTTGCTTCGTTAAGACCTTCATTAACAGCTGGCTTTCACTCACGTGTTTTGTCAGAAAATTTAACAATTGTGAAAATTTAGTTTTAAACGGTTTTACTTGAAAATGCGTTATACTGATGGACATTTTGCATAAGAAAAGTGTGATTCTTTCTACAAGGACGCTTGTTTCTTGGTGCTTCTGTCCGACTTGGTCGTTCATTAATTGTCCAGTTAGTAGGCCTACAGAAAAAGCCACTCTACAAAAACCACGTTGTAAATGTCAGCAAAATGAATGATCAAGAACAGAAATTAAATATATTGAAAAGAATAAAACTTTTATACCTGATTTCCAAGCGTTGTCCTGGTCAGTCTGATCCAGGCGACTTAGTCGGTCTCTTCCTATTTTTTTCATCGCGCAGTTTTTGCGTGTATGTCGTAGAAATATATGGTAGCATTTTTATCTTCGAAATTCAATGACCTCTAGCTACTTGCAGCATTGCAATTTTCGTTATGAACGTTAAATGTAATTATCAAAAAGTAGTGAATGAAAGCCAGCTATTTTCTCACAGCAAGTGACATCTTTCGTTGATAAACAAAAATTGACAAATTTTGTCATGAAAAACCGACTGTTTTGATTTGATTAGGGTGTTTTTCATGATTAAGGCTCAAATTATAAAAATAGACCATCAGGATCCTTTTAACTATCTCATGCAGATACTAACACAACACTTATTTACTCAACTTACAAACCACAAGATATGAATCGTGTTTTTCCATTCGCTTGTTTTCCATCTTCGTAGAACATATCTCGTTTTTTTAGTCCAGTCATTTCAATATTATGTTCATCCGTACATATGCCACAAATCGATGTCCATTCGATACCTTTATACCATTCCATAAACAAAGTACTCAACATCGTTAACCAACAAAGTAGCTAGTGAAATCATGAATCGCCATTTCGACAGATTACAATTTACAATGCACTCTTATGGTAACTTCAAGCGAAGGAAAAGGGATCACTTCAATACCCCAGTTATATCATCACTTAAAGAATGCTTAACGCAGAGTTGATCTTTTATGAGTATCAGCTGACCACCTTTAGGTGGGCGCATATAACAATGGGGCCCATCATCATTATATGCACAAACAACTGACATCAACAGAGAATCCAAACTACAGATAAACATTCTTGGCCATGAATCACCATGACACATAAGCAACGAGAAACTAGTAAGAGTAATTGAAGTGAATGGCACAGGTGGTAAGGGGACTTTCACAACTCCATCCATGTGGGATCTACATTATAAGAAAATATGAAACACATGTACAAGATTTCATGATGAATATGACGTTAGTTTGCAATTTTAATTCTTAATTAGATATTTTGAGAATGAGAAAATTGCCATATGTTTTATGTTTGACTATTCAAATGGTAGAACAGTCACCTACATTGCACGAAAAGCTTCAGTCAGTTGAGTTTGAACGATGCAACAAGAACTTTCGAACGATCTCAGGCTTAACATCGTGGTCAACGAAAATTGCAGTGAAAGCTTTCATATTTCGAGGCCTGCACTAAGACTAGTTGATTATTCCACGCAACTCATACTTCTTTATATCGTCAGTAAATGACAGATTTACCTTTCTTTCTACAACGTTAAAGTGAGTAATTTTCCGTTAAAGTGAGTAATTTTCCCTTGAAGTGAAAACACACGAATTTAGATATGTTAGCTAACATTTCTTTAATTGACGTCATGACTATAAATTTTTTTTGTGATTGGCTCCTTAGGAGCTTATCGCTATTCACAAAGACAAATTCAGTGTACTTATATTCATTGCATATATTCAGTAATGACTAATGTGACATTGAAGAAACAAACTAAAAATCAGCATCATCAATAAAAATCCTCTTGCTTTTGATCGGATTATGCCAAAATTATCGGCTATTACCAAGTACTGTTGAAAACGCTAACCAACCTTTCCCTTTCTTCTTTTGAAGCGACTTCAGTCCCACGAGCGTATTTTTAACTGAATTTTTCTATGTTCTGAAAAAGGTTCTTCAAACTCAAAGATTCCAATTCTTGTTCAGTTGCATTCACAGTTGTTGGTGGTCTTGATTTTCTTATCAACACGTTCAAATACATCGGCAAACAAATGAGACATCTTCCGGTAACTTGTCGTCGATGACAGTTGAAGCCAACAACTTTATTTTGCTCTGCACAATCAAAAATCTTTATACTTGTCGCCTATGTGTATAGTCTTGTTCAATCTTTTATGAACAACATCTGCTTTCCATGACGACTCGTGACTTGTATGAGGTAAAACTTGAAGTGAATCGTACCTTTATACATGGTGTTAAGCATATCATTATATGTATTTGTTCCACATGAATTGTTCGTACTTGAACAAATTATCGGATATCTATCAAATCTAAATTTTGAAAACAAAACGTATTGCTGCCAAACAAAAGAACTATCCTCTCCTTCATTAATAAACGTAAAATGCAAATAACAATTGACCATTTTTCTGTGATATTACGCAAATAATTAAACATTAAATAACGCAAATACGAGTTTGGGCATTAAGATGTTGGTGACGTCGTTTTGAAACTTCTCATAAAGGTCGAGACGTGTTGGAAACGATTGTTTATCACTATGAACTTGAAGATTGTTATTTAATTATAGAAATAGTGAAATAGTTCGAACTTTTGCGGCTCCGCAAACATAGACTTTATAGTTACAATTGGTTTCGCTCGTTCGGTGAGCGACGAGCTCACATAAATTCATCTATCATTTTTATATCATTTTTGTGGTGTTACAGGCGATCAGACACGATGGTCAATTCTGACATAGCTTAGCATGGATTTCCTAATGCAAATTATTTTTATTGAAATTCATGGTAAGACAACCTAAAATACATGTAGATTAACGTAGAAGACAAGCATTTTTTTGTATAGCAAGAACTAAAGAAGCGAATCGCTTAAAATAGACTAAATACATGAAGGCGTTTCATATTCCTTACAAGAAATATCCGCAGCTTTTGTATAAAAATGAAGACAAAAAATATGTACAAGGTCCAAATTTTTTCCATGCCAACTCCACTCGATGTTCCGGTGCGAATCCTGCCTGTTTCCTCGAAACATTCAACGCCTGACCAAAAGTCCACTACTATCAACGTGAAAGACAGAAAACAAGTGACGCTGGTAAATAATAGAAACGTGAAAAAGAGATGTGAAAGAGAAACGTGAAGAAGAGAGGTGAAGGAGCGATGTGCAGCTTAGAAAATAACACTTTATGTACTTTTTATATTTTCTTAATTTTGCGAAAAATTTTTGCAATGCAATTTGAGCCCGCACTCAATTGCACCGAAGCCGGGCGTACTTCGCATAACGTAAATCATCTTGATATTAAATTGCTTTGAAATTTCTATTTAATCTCTTTGTTTTAAGCGTTTTAATAAAGAGCGCTTCATATCAGCGCAAAAATACCAGGGCAGTTCTTGAACACACAGAGAAGAGCCTCGAAAATAACGCTGACAATGAGAGCGTGTTTCGCTCGACCTAAATCATCTCGATAGTAATTGGTTTTGGAACCTTTATTTAACATTTTTTATGCATATAAAAAAAAAGGTACAGTTGCTACGCTGCGCTAAGCCCAAAGATCATGCCATGGGCGTTAGTAAGGTTTGTATTCTAGAATTATAACACATTAAAACTATTTTCTTGCTGCCAAAATGACACATCTTGTTAAAATCATGCGCTACCACTTTGGGGAAATCTCTAACTATATTGAAGACAGTTTCCATAAGAGCATATTGTGGTTAACTCGGTGGAATGAGTTCCTAAGGATTTGCTGTTTCAGCATTTCAGACAACACTGGAATCAGTACGAAGAATCATTGACAGTTTATCATTATTATTAAATAGTCTACTGTCTTCAGCCTCATTTTCATTCACAGAAATTGTTACATCATCATGAACGGCTACCCCATCTTTATCTTCATATGTATCCATTTGACTATGCTGTCTCTTTAATTCATTTAATTCGGGATCGTTCTCTCTTGCTTCTCTCTCTTCGTCAAAATCTCCTTCAGAATACTTCAAATCATCACCGACGCCATAGTCACTTGTATTCGGTACACCGAATTTCTTATGATCGTTTTGTACTCTTCCCCAAGCTTTTCGCTTAGACTCAGCTCTTGTCTCCTCTGGATTAAAGGCTTCTATGCTCTCACTGTAACCTAGTTAAGAAATCACAAACGTACGTAAGGCAACAGCTTCTTCACTACTTACAATGTATGTCAATGTGGGTGGTGATGTATAAACAACAAAGAACAAGAACAGTCTTTAAATTACCTAAAATATAAACTAAGGAATGTAGGTCAAAGTAGGTAGTGATGTATGAACAAAAGAGAACGAAAACTGTCTTTATACTACACGAAAATTGTCCTTATACTACCTAAAATATAAACTAAGATAACGTGTGTCAGTGTAGGTAGTGATGTTTGAACAACAGAGAACGAGAACTTGAAGTGTGTTTGTGGAAAACTCAGTAAAATTTTTACAAATAAGAAATGTTACCTCGAAATTGAGTAGTAGCGTTTTGTTTATCTTGACTCATTCGGACATACTCGATTGATCTACGATTCCTTTCCATTGTAAACTCGTTTTGAATCTCTAACATTTTATTTTGCAAAACAGCATTCTGCCTTTGCAGTTCTTTCACCATTTCAATCAACGTTGACATGTCTTGTTTCTTTCCCATTTCTTCCCGGCTCTCATCGACTACATTGGTAGAAAAATCAGGACCGTAAAATATAAAATCCCAAACGGCGCGGGTAAAGTTGTATGTCTTGTTGGGTCTCTCCTGTAAACAAGGTATGAGTGTTTTTCTACTTCGCCATGGAAATGAAGACCTTTTCCGTTCTATGTCAATTATCATGTTCGCCTAAATCAATTAAAAGAAAAATGTTATAAATATCATAACGATTGCTTTTATTCACCTCATTCATTCATCACCACCTACACGTCATCTTAGTTTAAGTAGTGTAAAAACTGTCCCCGTTCTCTGTTTTCATTCATCACTAACTACAATGACACACGTTATCATAGTTTATATTCTAGATAGTGCAAAGACTGTTCTCGTTCTCCATTGCTCATTCATCGCTACCTACACCGACACACGTTATCTTAGTTTATATTTTAGATACTGTACAGACTGTTCTTGTTGTCTGACGTTCATTCATCACTAACTTCATTGACATACGTTATCTTTAGGATCTAATTTGATAGCTTCATGAATATCCTTACCGTTTGAATGTGTTTCTGCAGCTTAGCGTGTTGCATAATGCTACTGGTATCATCAATGGCAAGGGCAAGCAGAAGGTTCATAATAATGATAGGCATAACGACAAGAAAACCAACAAGGAGGACCAACTGTAATGGATAAAATGTGTTGTAATCAGAGTGGTCACCGAGAAATGTCTGTTTAAAATCAAACTCTCCCATCGTCATTGTTGCTCCAGTTAAGATAGACACGCTAAACCACTCAAATCCCTGTCTATCATTCATTATTACTGTAAAAGCGGCAGCAAAAGCGACCAAGAAAAATATTAAGAGACCCATGACCTAAATACGAATTGTTGATATCATTAAACATTAGGGTTGAGGGAGAACTCATAACTTCAGCAGACGAACCTTGATTAGTGTGAAGGAAATTTTTCTCATCATGAGAATAATTATACCGTAGGAGGCAAACCTTCTTAGATACATAATAAGATTTATCCAAGCACAGAATAACGCTACAGAACAGGCCATCCATTGAAAACTTGTCTTTACAGACATACTGTCGTTACTTGGTACAGCAAAGATGAATGTTGATACGTAGAGAACACATTCCAAATAGTTGACTTTGTCCATAAAATAATTGAATTTGTAAACGAATAACTACATAATTAAAAAGAGCATGTCAATATCAAGAGATTAAGGGTAGACATATTTTGTAAATTCCTTTTTAACGATTTCGCCATTCTTATACAAGGGAAAGGACAAAAAAATCAGCCCTACACACAAAAAATTATTGTTATAGGTTTGTAGCTCGTCATTTCTTAGAGAAATGTTATAGAAATGAAGGATTGCTGTTGAAGAAAACAACAGTTTTTTGTTGGCAGTCCCTGATATTTTATAACAGCTTTGCAACGAGCACAAACATAAAGTGGCATTTATAATATACATGGTTTATACGAGGGAACTTTTACGACCACAAACTGAATGCTAACCTGACCGATTTCTTTCAATGTTTGAACGCCAGCAGATATGAGGCAGATAAGCATCGCTACCTTAACATTTATCGACGCATTTGGTAATTCTAAACACAAATAGTTTCAATAACGAAATCATAAAACTAAACAAATTCAAGAAAATCGTGAAATAATTAATCTCCTCGAAAATGTTTTCGGGAACCACTGAGTATTTTAATTAAAATACATAACAACGGTAACTCCAAATATCGTAAGCATTTTGATTCAACATTTCTACTCAATATAGTTATCATCAGGAATGATTATATTAAATGCGTGCGCAGTATATATAGACTTTATGTAATTTGACCAAGTTAACAGAAACAGATAGTTCACTCGAAGCTTTAGTGCCATGATTAAGTTCCGGTTTTTTTCTACGGATGGGGAGTGTTTCTTTGAATAAAAGGTTTGACCAATCCTTGCCCTGTCTATGATGTGACAGTTGTTCAACAGGAAGAGAGTTGGGTCAAATTGTTCGGTATTGGGTTCGTCCATGTTAAGTTGTAAGAAATCAGTGAGATGAGTAAATTGTTCGCAGCTGTTGATGTGTTTATAGATTTTTGATTTGTTGTCTGTAGTAGCATATTCGTGTAGTCTTGTGGCGGGGCAAGAGAGAACTATCTGCCTTCTGTCAACTACATCAAATCACATACAGTCTACATATAATGCATACACATGTAACATAACCATTTCTGATGATGACTAAATAAAGTGGAAACATTGAATCAAAATGTTTACGTTACTTGGAGTTACCGTTGTTATGTATTTTGATTAATCTTCACATTACCATCTTTGCCAACAGACGCCTTATATGAAGGAATTCCAAACGCGTAGACGTTAAGAGAAACCAAAAACAAGAAATAAAACATAAAACTTGTTGTGTACACTTTCCATCCAAATTCCATCCATTTGGCTTTAAGGTATTTACAGCAAACAGGATGACATAGGCATTGGTAACTGCTATTTCGCAACATCGCTTTGATGGCGGTTAATGGCTTGAGTTTTTTACCTCTCTTGTTTGTAACTGCGAAAAAAGGATAACTATAAGGAAAGCCTTGTGGAAAAGGAGACAGAAGATGTACACGATGAAAACAGTAAAATGAAAACACGGTTCTAAAAAGCGTAGTCAGTGGCTATGTCTATACAAAATGTCTTATTCAAATATGATAAGATATAAATAACCTAACCACGTGACTGTTTCTTTTATGTGGTTTTTGTGTGGTGGTTGTTGTGGTGGTGGTTGTGTAGATGGTGATGGTGATTGTTGTGGTGGTGGTGGTGGATGTGAGATGGTGATGGTGATTGTTGTGGTGGTGGTGGTTGTGTTGATGGTGATGGTGGTTGTTGTTGTGGTGGTGGTGGTGGTGGTTGTGTAGATGGTGAAGGTGGTGATGGTGATTATAATTGTTTGTTCATATTTTTAAATTGCATAAATGAAGAAAATATATAATACATAGTTTCTAGAGGGGTTGGAACCCACCCCTACATAGACATACCCACCCCAAATTGGTAACCCACCCCTACATTTGGGTCCAAAATTTCCTTACCCACCCCTACATACGAGCCGAAAAACAATTCGTTTTTTTCTACGGGAAAGCTGATTTTAGACTTATTTATGGTCTCTCTATGCATACTATATACAACACTGATAAAGTCTATGTATTCACTAATATTGTCAATCAAGCAAGTTCACCAAACTCGCCAAATATCTTCTTCTTTGAGGCTAACTCTATCTCTTCATTGTATCCAGTGGTACACTCCCGGACAGGTAGTTCCAGCACGTTCAGGAAGAACTCATGGCGGATATTGTCGACCAGAAGTTTGTTCCGTCTTGCAGTGCAAATCAACTGCAATTTGCTGTATGCTCTCTCAATCCACCCAGTGTTGGGTGGGATTGAGAGCATGACATGGTGTCAAATTAGGGAGATATTTTTGGTCCCTTATAGGGTAATATGAAGATAGATGATGCAATAACATGGGGGCAAAAATTGAGTGATGTTGAACTTTGAAGTTATTAACTTTTTTTATCATAGATGCATTTCATCTATTTTTTAATTTTTCTAATAGGGAAAATCTCGGAACCCACCCCTACATAGACATACCCACCCCTAGTTTATAACCCACCCCTAGAAATTCAAAATTTTTTCGACCCACCCCTAGAAGGCATTTTTGAAAATTCCAAGACCCCCCTAAATTTAGGGGGGTAGAAACTGTGAAATAAGAATATTTTCTTTGTGTAGAAAATATTGCACCCCACTTGGCGGAGCCATTGAGCGTAGTAGCTACTATGAAAATTGTAGCATTCTCAATTTTTTAACGTTTTTTGAGAACTTTCTTTTGATTATGTTAAGATTCACAAGTAGATCTTTATTTTCTATATAAGATAGCTTGCTCACCACACCTGTATTTTGTAAACACAAAAAGTCGTATGCAACCAAATGATCAATACTCTCTGGGTGACCTGTGGTTTTCATGCTGTTAGAAAGAGCTCGATACGCCACTTCGGACATATTCTTAGAAACCAACTTCGCCATCGTTCCTTCTGTACCATTTTTTGTCTTGAAAATAATCTGAACACAAGTTCAGTGTTGTTCGTAAACGACAGTTTGTCAAAACACAACAACACCAGTACACTGAAGATGCACAAGAATAAGAAACATTAAATGAAGATATGATCTTCGCACTTTTGCTGGACAATTTAAGCAATTGTCTTATGAACCTGAAAAATTCAGGTGACTCAACATGCGAAGATCATATCTTCATTTAATTTCAAACACCGCACTGCATATAACATTCTTTAATAAGAAACATGTTGAACATATACTTTCTGTCAAACCAATGATATGCCCTCCACCAAATTGCTATACTGACAATAAAATCAAATACATTTAAAATAGACGACAAATTTCTTTATAGCAAACATGTTTCGGCATACTTTATGCCATCTTCAGTGCGAAGTGAATAAATATAGGAGTTTACATGATAATATGTGATAGTGATAAAGCGGAAGTATCAATAGTTATGAATAATTATTTACAGTTGAATAAGGTGTTATAAAATGCTATAATGAAATCTGTCGTCTACTTTAAATGTCTTATAACCATTGTGCTCTCACGAAATTATAAAAATCAAATACATTATAATGAAACATACCTCTTTCCATCTATCATGACACATCATCACCATAGCGCTTTTTGTATCGTCATTTATGATGGTCCAATCCAAGCAGTTAAAGAACTCATAATCTTCTGTAATTGCCGCCATGTTATCTAGCAAATACTTCACAACATCTGCTTTGCCTTTCACAGCTGCTGTAAGCAATGCTGTTCGTTTGTATTTATTTTCCCAATCGATCATGGAAGGTTTGAACATCACCAACAATTCAACAATATTAAGATGTCCTTTGAACGCAGCAATGTGAAGTGGACTAAACATATTTCCATCCCTTAAGTACACAATAAATATTTTACTCAAATCTTTCTTCCCTATCAATTAAGTTAAGACATTTTACAGTTATCTTTTTCTCTGTAAACTCCGTTGAAGGCAAGATAGAAAATTACCTCAGTATAAGTGCTCCGTTATTCAGAAGACATTTGACGACCTCTGGGCTACTGTAGTTCGCTGCTGTATGGAGCGGCGTTTTCCCTGTGGCATCGACCTTGTTGATCAAAGCTGGTTCATTGGCTAGGATTAATTCAACCACATCAGAGTTCTGTGAACTAACAGCGCAATGTAATGGCGAACGAGAAGTGTTCGTGAAGACATTCAGATCAGCGTTATATTCTAACAAAATACGGACACTCTGAAATAAAGAAATGAGCCTCCTGTAATGTACTTGTGTATGTCTTGACTTAATTTCAAAGCAAAAGCAACCCACTTACCTCAAGTAATCCTTTTAAGGCGGCATTATGAATGGGAGTATAACCGTCTATTTCTTTCTCGTTAATAAGCAACGGCACGAGATCTTTTTTCTACATTGTGTTTGATTATGATTAAAATTTAAAGCTTCGCTTTTCATCTCCAAACAAAACGATAACAAACACGTGCAAATTGTATACCTTCAGCAAAATTCTCAATGTTTCAGGATATGCAATTGCATAGTGAAGAACCGTTCTATTGCTGTCATCACGAATGGTAAAATCAGCTTTCAATTTAAGCAGTTCTTCAACGACACGAACATGACCACGTTGAGCGGCAAGGACCAAGGCAGACTGGGAGTTTTCCGTCTTTTCATTGACAAAAATCTTGGATTTTGATCCAATGTAAGAGACAATACCACTGTGATTATTGATTGCGGCTCTAGAATGAAATAAATTGTCAAAGCGATAACGCCAGGCTTAAATCCAATAGTCCTGAATAATTAAATGTACAGATGATACGAATGAAACGTAAAACCTACTTATGAATCGGAGTGAATCCTTGTTTATCCTTTCTGTTCAACTGAAGTAAGTCCAAATGTCTCATCACATCCATAAATCGAAATAAACTCTTCTTCATGCCATTTTTGCAAGCCGCATGAATCAAATAACCATCTCCATGTCTGATTTCTTCGCGCAAATCTTCACGAATCACATCTTCATCTTGCAGACAAACTTGTACAGTACATTCATCTCCACTGTCCACAGCAACATGAAGTATATTGCGGTAATACCTGCCACCATAATCCTCGCTGAACAATAACTCTTGCACTCTGCTTTTTTCTGAAATAGAAATGTATTATAAATACATAGGCAGCAGGAAGGGGGCGACTGTACCTTTCGTTTAAACAAATAACATTTTCACATTTCAGGAGGACAAACGAAAAATCTTTAATCCTTCTGCCGAATACGAAAGTCATTAAACAAAATACACATATCATGTTGCGAAAATCGTTTTACCGTGTTTCAGGAAAAGTTCAAGCATATTAGCATGTCCTTTATTAGCAGCAATGTACAATGGACATCTTTCTGTGATATCAACCTCTGTTATCTTTCCACCGTGTTCTAGCAACACCTTGGCGATCTCAACATGGTTGAACGTTGCGGCAAAATGAAGTGGCGATCGACCATTCACGCTTTCAACATGGTTCACAAGATGAACAATGAAGTCATGTTGCAACAAGTTATGAAGAAAATCTACATCACAAAGAGATAAGGTGATAATGAAAATCTCAGGCACTCATGTTGGCCTCGCACTGAATCAAATCCCCCCCCTCTCCATCTTAAGCCCTTTTGGCGTGTTTTTCAAATATTATATTGCGGATAATACATTGCTCGGTTGAAGAAAGAATGCTTATTTCATAGCACATCTTTTACGCTGTTAGTAATTTGCTTTCAAATGCATAAAATAGCATTTACAACGATGCAGTTTTTAAAATTTTACTTGGGAAGGGTATTTCAGGTCCCTCTGCCACATGGCTCGCGCTTAACGGGGTGTCTTGTGGTTGGCCCCTTCCCTGTGTAAGATCCTTAAAATATCCCTTGGCAAATAGTACAACTATGAAATACCTTGGCCTACATCAAAATTCACCACAGATAACTTGCTACGTAGAGACAAACAACTATATGGATACGTGAATGACAACTGCATGGCAATGGGTAAACTTACTTCGTGGTTAGTTAGAGTTGGGGTTGGAGTTAGCACAAGGCTAGTGTAAGAATACCAAGAGGGATTTATACATAATTGCTCATAGGTTGACATACATTTTAAAGCAAAGTAATCCATTACAGCAGTGACAACAAGCTTGATAGTATATTAATATCAATCAAATTTCACAAAAACCATTTTAAGGAAATTTTGCTTTTAACAACTTATCAAAAAGAAAAGCCTAAGTCCGAATACGCAGCATGGCTTCCAGCCTTACCTACGTCACCCATTCTCGTGGCTACATGAAGTACACTCTCCCCGTTCTTAGCTATCACACACTTGGTGTCTTTTACGTAATTTAACAAGGAAGTAAGAGAATTAAGACTTCGCGACTCCAAAGCGTAAAATATACATGGTTGTCCTCTTTCATCAGTTTTCGAGAGTAATCTTTGAACTACAAAAGAACATTTAAATATCGAGCTGGTTGAAGGAAAGAGATTAATATTTCATCAACGAAATACAAACTTTCACGGTCACTTGTTTTCTCTCTCAAAATATTATTGATCATTCTTTGGTCGTCATAAATTGCCGCCAGTTTCATTTGATCAGCTAAACTATTTTGCACCTTACTCCCGTTTTCGTCAACGTCACTCACATCGGGTACGGTCCCTGCTCGTTGCAAATCTGTTGTGTCTTGCTCATCAATGGGTTTCAGTCTGGCCAGGGCAAAATGTGCAGCACGATTGACTTCACTTGATAAATCATAGTCCACGCTTCTCTGGCGTCGTGGAAAGCCCACGTGCCAACGCGATCTCACGTGGTTCGCCATTCGTGACAATTATCACTTTAAAAATGCACAAAAAATTCCAATGAACAAACAACAACAGGGGCGGCAGAACTTAGACAATTGGCGGCTCATATTCATATATTCATATGTTAAAATCTGTAATCACTTATTGATTTAAGTAGAAACTAATAAAGAGGAAGATGCATGTATGAATATGGTTTGCCTACTAAATTATCGATTTTCCGCAGCCATACGCTTATCCATGGCACATAAGCATGCATGAAGCCATGTTTCGCCTTTCAATATCTCATAATACTCTCGACGATACTTGACGATATTATAACTCGAATGAACAATCAATTCGTTGCAACAAATATACCAACCTTATGACGTAATAATAAACGTTGTCACATAACCAGATGTGATTTATACAAAGCTGAAACTGACATATATACCTTTATCAAATTACGTATTGTTGAAACTTCATGAAGCAGGAAAATGGGAGCGCAGACAATACATCATTAAAATCATCACGTCGTTTATTTGACCATAGAACAACAACTGAAGACGTACGGTGTACTTAGAGCTTGGTTTCTTGGGTGACTTGCGTCGCCAACTCACTAACATTCAGAGTATAGAATACCAACCGTTGCATTATAGGCCTGAAGCACCATCTTTATTTATACATGGTCGTTTATACGAATGTCAGAATAATCGTCACGCGCATCTAAGACAGCATGAACTTATCGCCCTTCCAAAATATCGATACAAGTTTATCCGAATATTGCCAATTTCCTACCATCAAGAGTTTAACTAAATGATACCTGTTCATGAGCTAGATATTGATGGAATAGCAAACTATCACATTTAAGTGCTACGCATCATCGAAGACGCAAAATCATTTTCCGGTATTAACTATGCTGGAGGAAAGACATTGACCGCATGACGTCATTGAAATTGCAAAAATGGAATTTTCATCACACGACGTTGACACAAAACCTGACAAAACAATCTTCAAAATTTTATGTTTTGTTGAACAACAAACGAGAAATGAAACACGATTCGACAATTTTAGGTATTTTTAAAGAGAGGCAAAAGATCAAGATGAAATGAAATAAATCATTTGTCTATGTAAGACTTTATAGAGTTATCGTGCATTTCCGATGCGCTTATCTAAATTGGAAAGTCAAATAACGTCAAAACTACCGCATGGATCACAACAAAAACTTGCATGTTTTAGAAACAAAATAATCCCCCAGAAATAGGGTTGCACCATCTGCTTGGTAAACCTGTCGATCGAAGATGGTGGACATGTTTTCCAAGGGGGGAGGGCTATCCTAAAACGGAAATATTTTAGTGAAAATCAAAAAATCAGAAAATCATTAATATTGGATCAACTTCGGCTTCTGTTTTTATTTGAAAAATTTACTGTTCGCTAGTTGAAATGATGAAAACGATGGTGACAAATTGTAGACATAAAGGTAGAAACAAGATATATACCATAGTAAACAAAGAGGTAGACACAATGGTAGATTAAAGACAGACACAAAGGTAGACATAAAGCTAGACACGAAGGTATACAAAAAGATAGACATAAAAGTTGGCAAAAGGTACATACAAAGAGAGAAGACAAGTTTAACAAAAAGGTAGACGAAAACGTGGACACAAAAAGATTGATAAAAAGGTGGAAAAAAATAGACAAAACTAAACACACGAAGGCAAACACAAAGACAGACAAAAGGTAAACACGAAGGGAAATACAAAGATGGACAAGAAAGAAACAGACATAATGATAGAAAATGAAAAGGTGGGACAGATGGATGAAAAGACAGACATGGAAAGAATAATAAAATGGTAACAGAAAGATAAAGAACAAAAAAGACAAAAAAGGAAAGGAAGACAAAATGAATGAATGAAAGAAATAAACAACAAAATGACCAAAATGATGGACAAACAAAAGAAAGACCAAAAGAGAGACACAAAGGAAGACAAAAGGTATACCCAAACGTAGATAAAAAGTTAGACGCAAAGGTAGACACAAAAAGATACACATCATGATAGGCAAAAGGTAGATACAAAGGCAGACAAAAAGATAGACACAAATGTTGACATAAATTTAGATTGAAAGATAGACAAAAAGTTGGATACAACGGTAGTCAAAACCAAAAGATACACATAAGGTTGTCAAAAAAGGAAGACAAAAAGGTAGACAAAAAGTAGACACAAAGGTATGCAAAAAGTTAGACAACAAGGTGGACAAAACTTAAAAAAAGTAGACACAAAGGTAGACACAATGGTAGAAACAAAGGTAGACACAAAGTTAGACAAAAAAGTAGACACTGGTAGACAAAAAGATAGAAAAAAGGTAGACACAAAGGTAGACCAAAAGTCAGACGAAAAACGCGCACAAATTGTCATACAAGAAATTAAACAAAAAGGTAGACACAAAGGTAGACATAAATTTAGATTGAAAGATACACAAAAAGGTAGACACAAAGGTTGACACCAAAGTAGACAAAAAGTTACACACAAAAGTAGGACATAAAGTTAGACACAAATGTAAACAAAAGGTAAACATGCAAAAGGTAGATAAAAAGGAAGGCACTAAGATAAACACATGCAAATGTTGATAAAAGGTAAATAAAAATAGAAGATACGTAACGTTAAAAAAGACCTATCTTTTGATGAAGTGGAAACTTTTTTAAAATGTGTCTATCTTGGATTTTTTTTTCAAGAACCGAAAAAGAATCGCAATATAGCCCTGCGTGGTTATCTGTTGTACAGTCGTAGGGTTAACTCTTTTCTCTTTTGTAGAGAAATCTAAATTTTAAAGTGAAGGAGAAGAAAAAGCTAATTCGCCTTAAATAAAAAAATAATTTACCTTTCGTCCCTCGGGATGTATTCAAACGTTGTAAATGGTACACGCCAAGCAACAGCAGCTACCTAAAAAAACGTCAAAAAGTTGAGCGAGTGCGTCAATGCATTAATCGATAATATCCTTAATGTAACAATGCATGAGTTTGGTGACGCTCACATATTATATTGATGTGCTGAAAACGTCGTTCAAAGTCTTTGTACAACTTGTTAACATGTCGGATAAGCTTAGTTAGGATTTCTTTTGGCAGTGAAACGTCTTCATCACAGCTTCTTGTGTATTAAAGAGAGCAGCTAAAGATGGTTGTAAGCTGAAGAAAAGGTGTTTTATTAGTTCAGAATTGAAAACACGGATTACTTGGATTGAGCAGTCGTACAACGCTACTGGCTGAACTAAAGATGATGTGTCGATCGTTGTTGACAGATTATGTTCAGAGTTGACTCACTTCACCTCGCGTATGCTCAACATGACGATGCGGCCATGCAAATATTTCGAAAACTCTTTTTAACTTCTCCACTCTTTTGGAGGCGATCACAAACTCGTGCCTCATGATTGTGAAGATCTCATGGCTGCATGTATATAATAAAATTACAGAGTACATGAAAGCTACAAGATATCATGAAAAAACCATTAACCTTTATGACAAGTATTTGAGATCATAATTCGAAACTTACACGTAGAGAGGCAGCTACATCAGGCATAGGCTTTGGAAGCTTTCAAAAGTTGTGGGTGTTCCATGTTCGCAATTTCATAATGCGAGAAACTTAGAATAGTAATAAAACTCCTTCATGTTAGTTATTTTTGATAGTTTTCACTTCCTTTTTCGGCATATATTACAAAAATTGTCCAAAATGCATTACATACAATTGATTTGCACATATTGGCAATGCTCAAACCATTTGAAATTTCCAGCTAGCTGGTGCCAGTTCCTTAATTAGAAATTCAGTGTGCTTGCAAAAACTCAGCGTGCAATATGTCATATATTTTCATGCAAGAAGCTAAATTTCTGGGTGTCTTTCCTATATAGAACACCCACACTCTAAAAGTAGTGACTGCACTGGCACCCGGACACCCACGGCTTCCCAAGCCCCTGACATCAGGTACTCAAAAGACTTTGATACGTCGCTGTAACATACTAAAAGTTATACACCAAACCTATGGTAAGGTATTAACAAGTAAAACTTTGATACTTCGCTGTAGTATTTTCATCACACATCGTTACAGATAAGGAGAACGCAGTTCGAGACAAAAAATGAAAGACCTGCTGGCAAGTACTAGTCAATACTGCAAGTACTAAACAATAATAGCAAGTATTCCACAATACTGACAAGTACTATGCAATACTATCAAGTACCATACAACAGAAGCAAGTATTCCACAATACTGACAAGTACTATGCAATACTATCAAGTACCATACAACAGAAGCAAGTACTCCACAATACTGACAAGTACTATGCAATACTATCAAGTACCATACAACAGAAGCAAGTACTTCACAATACTGAAAAGTACTATGCAATACTATCAAGTACCATACAACAGAAGCAAGTACTCCACAATACTGACAAGTACTATGCAATACTATCAAGTACCATACAACAGAAGCAAGTACTCCACAATACTGACAAGTACTATGCAATACTATCAAGTGCCATACAACAGAAGCAAGTACTTCACAATACTGACAAGTACTATGCAATACTATCAAGTACCATACAACAGAAGCAAGTATTCCACAATACTGGCAAGTACTATGCAATACTATCAAACACCATACAACAGAGCAAGTACTCCACAATACTGACAAGTACTATGCAATACTATCAAGTACCATACAACAGAAGCAAGTATTCCACAATACTGGCAAGTACTATGCAATACTATCAAGTACCATACAACAGAAGCAAGTATTCCACAATACTGGCAAGTACTATGCAATACTATCAAGTACCATACAACAGAAGCAAGTACTCCACAATACTTGCAAGTACTATGCAATACTATCAAGTACCATACAACAGAAGCAAGTATTCCACAATACTGACAAGTACTATGCAATACTATCAAGTACCATACAACAGAAGCAAGTACTCCACAATAACAAATTTAACAGAAAGCAATTGGAAATAGTCGTGGGATTAAGCAATATGTTTATGAAAACAGTAAACTACATCCAAAAGTATTCGGTGAAATAACGAATAAGAAATATTTAATCTTCAGTAAAAAAATTCAGAAAACTTGAAAAACAATGAAATGTTTTGCCCAAGTATTAATTAAAAAAAAGATAACGTGTCAAGACAAAAATTTTTTATTCTCAATTGCTCGAACAGACGTGTTTAGAAATGGCAGATAGCTGCAAGCGAATATCACGATAGTTTTCAGCCCAGAAACTCATTTCTGGACTTCCTACCATCATGTGCAATTCTTGCCGGTCAATCCTCTTTCCCACTCCAATTGAAATCACCTTCACCCCCCTGACGAGTAACGGGGCAACAGCTTCATCCAATCGGATAGCATCGGCTGCCGGAGATTGACGGCCATCTGTGATAACCACAGCGACATTCGGGAACGAAGATCGCATTCCAGCTCTTCGCGTGAAGAGATCAGAATTTGCTAGTTTCAAGGCTAGATCGATACGAGTTCGGCCACGAAGATGAGGTAATAGGTTCAGTTGGGTGGTGAGGTCATTTCTTGAATAAATATCATTAAATGTTGATGTAATGTTTGCAGTATCACTATAAACCATTAAAGCAATATGAGTCTTCCGCCAAGATATTTCTAATGTGTCTGCAATCATCTCAACAAGGTTTTTCGCTTCAGTAAATTTGTCGTTTAAAATACTACCAGACGAATCCAAAATAAAGGCTACATCAAGAGTTCTCTTGCAAGGCAATGGTGCTATAAGAAAAAAAGAGTAAAATAACCAATATGATTAAGAGGCTTTGGACATGAATGGGGCCATCGACAGGGATGACATTGGCGAAACAATATGCATGTTTGTAAGAATAAACATATCAAAAGAGTTCAAGACGGCTCAACAGATTAAAGCTAAGATGTATATTGAACACGGCACATATTTGTTCCAACTAAAAAAGAAGTTTTAGAGAGGCAAGTGTTTGATGGCTGCGTGACCACGAGAAATCACGTCTTATTGAAAAACATATAACGTCTAGCATAAAATTTGAAAGAACACACAAATTGAACACAAAGATTGGACTGCTATCTGGTTGTCAGAAGCAATTTCAGGACAAATCACGATTTCTATTTTAAAAAAATTGACAGAAGAATTGTAAAAAGAATAGAAATATGACTGTCTGACAATGGTCCTAAACATCAACGAGTTATGGACTGCAGTAAAGGCTCCCGGGTAAGGCTGCAGTAAAGGTTGCTGGTTAAGGCTGCAGTAAAGGCTCCCGGGTAAGGCTGCAGTAAAGGCTGCTGGGTAAGGCTGCAGTAAAGGCTGCTGGGTAAGGCTGCAGTTAAGGATGCTGGGTAAGGGAGTCCGATAAATAATCTAAATGTGCGAAAGATTTAAAGCAACGATTAAATCTTTGGCGGATGCACTATTTATCGAACTTTTTGGTTGTTTGTGACTGGTATACCTATAGCTATGATTATTCCTATGCGCAATTGGTTCTTCTGAACCTCAAACGCGCGAGCAATAAAGGCAAGAAGATCGTAAAAGACAAACTAGCTACACATCATACTTACAAATCTCTGAGCAGACATCCTTAGTAAAAGCAGGGATCATCTGACTTAAAGTATTGACGGAATTAGGTACAAAGATATCCCTAGGTGATCCTGCCACGCGCTCAAGATCACTGGCACGACTTGATCCTACACCGACAATTTTCAAGATGACATTACGATCGCGTAGACGTTTTGCAGCCTGATAAATGTACAGTGTGTTTGCAAAGCTTTCTTCGGGTCCACTTGTTATCCACACTACAACTTTTGGAACATGCCGTCTTGCGCTTTCGCTTGTATTGTACAGCATATTTTGAGCACGTTCCAGTGCTTTGTAACTCACAATTCTCCCGCCTAAACGTGGTAAATTTTTCACCGTATTTGCAAAAGACGTGGAATTGTCTATATCGCCTAACTCAAGCTGTTCGTGGGCTCTGCTACCATAGAGAATCACGCCATATCTATTTTTGTATCTTCCAATCCTTAAACGTTTCTCCACATCAACGAGAAATTCTTTCATTAAGATGAAATCATCCGAACTCAAGTGGCTTGATGTATCCAAGGCAAAGACAATGTCCGCAGAATGTCGACAAGGGACGATAGCTGAAATATGGATTTAATAAAAAAAATGAAGCATAATATGCGTTAGTGAAGAAAGAGATGATCAAAGAACAAAGAAGAGCAGCCTTCACACAACATAAAATGTAAAATAAAATAAGATGTGATGAATGAACAACAAAGAACGAGAACAATCTTTACACAACATAAAATATAAACTAAGATAACGTGTGTCAGTGTAGGTAATGATTAATGAACAACAGAGAACGAGAACAGTCTTTACCCCTTAACACATCCTAAAATATAACAATAAACAAAAATAAAAATTCTTCTTACTTATTTGTTCACAAGTGAACCTTGTTATATTCTGAATACTTTTGACAAGTTCATCAAAATTCTTTGCCTCAATAACATCCTGATCATCCTGTACCATTGCCCTTAGTTCGTATTTATCCACACTTCCCCCAATACCAATGGCTATCGTCTTAATATCCTTGTTAATGAGCGGCCGAGCTGCGTCGTGTAAAGAGATCTAGAAACAAATTCTTTTTGAAAAAAAATTGGAAGACCAAAAACATGCAAAGGACAGACGAACGAGGACCAACCTTAGTCCCTTCAACAGCTGTCTGTCTTCCATCCGTCAAAATGAAGGCTAATTTCTTAACTCCTGGTCGTGCTCCACCAATTACAGGCGAGAATAGTTGAGTATTAGCAACGTGTAAACCTAAGACGAAACATTGATAGTATGGTTTTGTAAGTTACATGAATGATACAAATAACCGTGATATGGAGAAATTTTTATTTCGAAGCCAATGCACCTTAAAGTAAAAATTTACAAACATATACCAATGCACCTTGGTAATTGAAACAGGGATAAGGGACTATGATGAGCTACAATCTGTTTTTTTTGTAAACATGTGTTCATATAAACGAATTAGTGTTTATTTGAATCAACTGGTGTTACCGTAAATCAACTTCTGTTAATATATAAGAACTTCTTTAATGTAAAACAACTTGCACTAGTACAAACGAAGTTATAATTTGTACATAAATCAGCCACAAAGCATGTCAATTATATATTTACCTACGTACCCAAATCAATTCTTGTGAATGACTTCATATGCTTCAATCGATACACGACCTTTTTAAAGCTCTTCAAATGCAAATGATCTGTAAACCTAGCCACCATCTCTGCTGTTTTGCTATATATCACGATACCAGCACGTGCCCCCGTATCGGAGATGTTGACCGCTTTAGCAATGGAGTACATGAAGTATTTCATCTTTATGTAATCCGGGTTCGAAATGCTACCAGAGGAATCAACAATGAAAGCAATGTCGACTTTCCCGGGACAATCAATCATGACTGAAAGTATGAATAAAGATCATCATTGGTGAATATAATCTGTTCAAGAATAACTATTCAATGACTTCGTTGAAAAGAATAGTTGCAATTTTCTGAGGAAAATCTGGTAATAATTTCATGTTCGATAGGAAATTGACCCCTAATGCAATGTTGCTTATTGTTTGTGGATCTTTATCGTGCCAATTGAACACGGAATTATTCCCGCCAATTTGATACGCTAACCCCGTCTCATGTTGTGCTGAGGTACTTACTCGGTTCCGGACAAATCTGGTTTGTTAATTTCTTAGAGATTTCGTACAATAAATAAGGAAACAACACGGTATGTAAATGATCCGTCGAATCAACTATTGACCGTAGGAATCCATCATTTGACGATACTGGACCAATGGACACGATCATCAACTGACTACCAGTCTTTTTTAGTCGCTCGGCCTCACGCTGAATTGTATTCTTTTGGTTTGAGTTCCAATCACGCGCACTGGCCGTTATAACCAACACCACGCGTGGAACCCACGACCTGGATCCCTTGAATCGAGTGAACAACGTGTCGCGAGCATATTTTAAAGCGAGATCCAATCCAAAACCAGAAGATCCATCATAGGGAATTTCGTCAACTTTTCCTTTTAAACGCCGCGCAGACGTAGAGTATCGAAAATTGATCATTTTATTTTTAATAACTCGGTCACTGTATGGTACGAACCCGATGAAAGGATTGAGACCGCTTCTCGTCATATGGAAATAGTCGATGAAATTCTTCACAAAAAACTTGACTTGCATGAAGTTGTTAGCACCAACGTAAGATGAAGTATCCAACAGCACGGCAATGTCAACAGGCTCGTTACATCTATGACCTAAACGTAAAGAAATGAAAAACCTATCGTGGCCTAGAGCCTATTTTACTTTTACTTTACTTCAAAAGCGAGAAACTACTAGTAAAATAAGATGTATTTCCGAAAAGAAAGGAGCACGCACATACAGACCACCGTGCTTGGCTACCTTGTAAAATAATCGAAAGACTATCGAGAAATTTTCATTAAAGTTATCGCAATGTAAAAAAAATACGTACCGTTTTGAGCCCGAACGTGGAGCAAAAATACTGACAAATAAATAAAGAGAAACAACTTCATGATTTTAACTACACGAAGGAATCGTCTTTTAAACAAACTACGTTTGTCAACGAGATCATGTAGAATAAACAGCCCGTCACGGAGATATTTTTATCATAGCTAGAACTGGCAGATATTGCGTGTCATAATCTTCAAAATACGAGATTAAATGACGACTAATGCGGAAACCAATATTTTCACTGCCAAAAAGACAGGACCGAAATAATTAAAAGACAAAATAATCATTGTGACGATGGGATGCGATGTTTCATTCGTAATTGGTTTTGAACCAAACCCTATTTATCATTCTTAATTGATTCACAGCGATTACTATTGTGGTAAATGTTTGAGAAATTCCGCTGACACTGGTACCGTGCCGCGCAGAAAATATTGCCTCGTATTTTCATCAAGGTCATTCAGTTCGTATTTATAATTTACCATCATGCCTAGCGAACTCAAAGCTCCATTCCTACTGACGTCAGCTTTCCAGTTCAATCTCCACAAGACGGCTCCGTTTCTGAGATGAAAGTTCGCTAAAAACGAACACAATTGTTAAAAAGTAGAAGTTTAACTGAAAGAGTAAATAAAGATTTGCCAATTTCAATTTTATTTTTTAGCCATACCATGCTAATATTCTATTTTTTCTAAAGAAATGAATAATGAATTAATGATAATGTTCTGAATTTCTGAGATAAAAACGCCTGCCAGTATCTAGTATTTACTCAGCAAGGACAGTTACATAGAGTTGACATGATGATATTAGTGTTGCATTATGAATGACGTTTCAGTTGCTATACGCTTTTAATAGACTACGGCATTTCCTCTGTTTAGCCCTCCGGGAGGTTAGTTTTTTTGATAACTGGCAATTGTGTGGATTATAAGAAGTGGAGGGCTAAAATGAGATTGTGGGGGGAGGTTAGCAGAGGAAATTGTTTACGTCAGAACGAAAGTATCTCGATGTTGGGTCCATTAGAAAAAGGTACAGTTAAACGTACAGTTACAAAATAATACATGTCGGAATCTGATTCCCAGATGAATTCAAGATCTTAAGACGTGAATACGAGATATTCGTATGTACATTCGTACTTAAATATGCAACAAGGATCCGGATTTATTAGATCAATTGCAGATTTCATCTTAATAATGGCGAATAAACTTAAAATCTTTGCTTTGGTTCCCTTCCAATACATATGTTTTACTTGGTCGGGGACATACAGTGAAACTGACTTACCAACAGGATCGTATGCAAATCCTTGTTTCTTTTCATTGTAGAGGTAACTATAGAAGTCAGAACAATTTCAATGCAAAACATTAAGTGTTCATGCTTAGTGGTCTTACCATGTGAATTATTAACACAGTGCTGGACGCCATTTTGTTGCAATGTTGCAACATGAATATTGAATACGTACAACAATAAGTCACAATAACTCAGTTATAAGTCAGGTAACGACGTCATTATTCCTCATTGATGATTGGCTAGAAATATCTTCTTTAGCATTTTTAGTACGATAATTTGCAGCACATCGTTTAAAAATTGCTACCTAGGGTATATCACTATTCAGGCTTTCTGCAACGGGCTCCACACATTTATAGAATTATAAACATGCACACAATCTTACTCAGCACATATTTCCATGAGTGGCACCTTCAACAATTCACCTATTTTGTTGTTACGCAGCCAGAATGGTGAATCGATAAAATTCTACAACAAATTTACGCACAAAACAAAAAACATATTAAATAATGACCTAAGCATGTCCCACCAACATTATCGTACGCACGTACTTTGAAATTAAGATCAAACGGTGGCTTTACAAACTGTTCCAACGTCAGTTTATCTTCTGTTGTAAGGCTCTCATGATCTGACAAAATAAACAGCGATTTCGTGTTTCAATATAAAAATTCTGATACACTTGCGACATCCAGGATATAAAATCTCAACAGAAAAGTTAACAAACACGTGACCAGCTGGAACATCCCGAATTTTCGGTTATACAATCAGTTGTAGATTAACAGTCAACTTTCGCCCTCTCGGCAGCCCATTAATACCGAACAACTTGTTAATAAAAACGTTTTGTAAATTTCCGATTGAAACTACGGTGAAATGTAGCTATTGAAGTTTTTATCGTTATCGCAGGACTGCGGGCATGAAGTAAAAGTAGCTGTGACCTACAACTGGCTCCAAGTTGAAATGAGCGCAACTTTTCAAAACAAAAAAAAACAGCCAATACAGTACAAAAACATTTTGCAATGGAACTTGGGGGTATTTCAACGAAGCTCCCTTCTTTTAAGGACTTTATGTTAAGGACACTAAATCAAGGTCCACAGGCTGTCTGCTTTTACGAAAAGTCGACTGTACAGATATTTTTTTGACGATTTTGATCAGCAGTTGTTTTGCAATAAATCAATTCCCACTTAAATAATGAAATCAAACGAATATCACGTAAAAACAATCACCCATGATCCGTGAGATTAATGATGATTCGGAATTCTGAAACATTCCACTTTGAAACCATCTGTAGAAGCCAGGAATCGGAGACAATGTCACAAAAGTGCTGACATCAGGAGCGTCGTGTCTCAATTCCTTAACAGCCTCTTTTATGAGCGAGTTGCCAAGATCAATTTCTGCCAAACCTAGGATATGGTTGAATGGGAATCCAAATCATCTTGATTGAAGCTCAAGAATACGCAAGTTAGGTTTTTGTAAGTGAAATGTCAGAGAAGAAATATCAAGATAAAATTTGAATCAATGCTTTCATGTTTTGTAAACATTATGTAAAACTGTCTCTTGAAAAGTTCTTAATGACGAACAAGATCGTCATTTCTGATCATAAATAAAAATAATCGCTATACACGACAAGATTAAAAAGATTACCAGAGTGCTTTAAAATGAGACATAAAATACAATGAAATTAAAAAAAAACATTAACTAGATAGCGTAACGTTAGACATTCGCCGAGGCTCTAGAAAGAAACATCATCGGACACTTTAATATCATGGTATTTTATCGCTGTTTTAAAAACACTCCGATGCGCTTCGATCATCATGCTCATAATTCGTTTCTCCTAGCCATAATCCTAGCATAGTTTCTTATTTGGTAAAAACAGTTAAAACAAAAGAACGATCGATCAGAATGCAAACATAATTATAAAGTGGCTACAGCAAAATTTACCCTTTTGAGTTGAAGAGACAGAATAAAAGACAGCTGTGGTTTTCCTCTCGATGTCCTCTTCATGATTGGGAACATCTTCACTCAAAATTGTCTAAAATGCAAGGAGACCACGATTCTAATATATGTCTCATTATGATAAAGATGCTAAGATGAAGTTGACGAATACCTTGATATCAGAAGGGATCTCATCCCTCAGAGCAATATGTAGAACACAAACGGGTTCGCGAGGCATACTGGGATGCATAAAGACATAACAGCGTCTGTACGGCCCAATGCGTTTCTTCATATCCATCCAGTTACGTACTTGGTGCACAGCTTCATAGTTGCCTACCTTGACGGAATAGTTAAAAGGAAGGGAAAATATTATGTCACTCATTGAGAACTAGTACACGTGACATTGTTCACGTGAACTTGTGAACGTGATCACGTTCTCATGTGAAGCCGTTCACGTGACTACAAATGCGCGGCATTATACAGGGTGTATAAAAAAATGGAGAGTTAGGAAAACGTTGCTAAATTCATCAGCGCGCATAATTTGCAAAAATTTGAGTGGAAATAGATAGAAGCACTTTTGAAATAGATTGCGCACAAAATGGCACAGCTAAAAAGCGATTGAAACACATATAGTAAAAATATGGCACGTGTTGTTCAAGTAAACAAGGTTTCGGTAAATATGGCACGTGTTGTTCGAGTAAACAAGGTTCCGGTAAATATGGCACGTGTTGTTCAAGTAAACAAGGTTTCGGTAAATATGGCACGTGTTGTTCAAGTAAACAAGGTTTCGGTAAATATGGCACGTGTTGTTCAAGTAAACAAGGTTTCGGTAAATATGGCACGTGTTGTTCAAGTAAACAAGGTTTCGGTAAATATGGCACGTGTTGTTCAAGTAAACAAGGTTTCGGTAAATATGGCAAATGTGTACGGGAACGCTGAGCATCCATATCACGGATTATTACGTCTTCTTCGTTTTTAAATGACGTTGTTTTTAAAACCTTCATATATCAATTTTCATGTTTGCATTAATTTAATGTCAAATTTACGCATAATTGACGACGATTAGAACAAAAATGATTAGGAAGATTTGGAAGCGGATAAAGGCCACATGACATTCCCCCATACCTTTTCAGTTATATCACAGGGTGACTGCCATGTTATTCTCTCCAACTTAAGAAAACCAACAGAGAACCACATTGACAACAAATGACGAATACTTTGATTGAGTCCATTCAACTCCGCTCCCTTCCCACGTACGTCACGATCCGACAATAATTCCTTAAGAAAAGAGGAAACAAAATAAAATGATACAATGCACAAGTTACCCATTGGAAACTTGAGAAAAACGATAGTCATGCTAAAGTGACGTAGCCAGGGGCGGGGGGGTGCACGGTCTGCTGGAAAATTGTTGGTCCTCTCTAAAATATTATGCTTTACATATATTATATTGTGTAAAAGACAGTTATGACACTCCTTCCCTTTTGACTGGCCCCCCTTGACAGAAACTCCTGGCTATGCCACTGTGCATAATGACTGTGTCTCACCAAAAGATCACTTCTCAAATCAACAATAAACTTGACGCCCCCTTCAAGATGACCGATGTATGATAGTAAAACTATTGATGGAGGTTCTAAGGAATTCTGCAGTTGTTCTTCAAGTTCCAAACAGGAATTGATATCATGATTCTAGTGAAGTAAACCAGGATGTCTTCAGTAACAAGAGTGGGGAACTAATCAACATACTTCATTTAAGGGTTGTTTTCAATGACATCAAGCACATACGAAAATGATGAATGACTTTTGTATTGCAAGAGAATTTTTGAAAAAAGTACCAACAACCTTTGTGCTTTTCAAGTTTTCTGCTATGTCTGCAATCAATTGATGATCGATGCCAAAATCCCGAGCCAACAAATTGAACAATTTTAATTTTTCAACCTAAAAGCAACAACAAAGTATAAAACATGACAAAAATCAAATAATTCATAATCAAGGAGACAAAATTGTTTCTTTTACATACTTTAGTCTCAATCTTTTTATAAAATGAAACAAAATCTGTTGCCAGATTCTAAAAAATGTAATTACATTATCAACACAATTAAACAGAGAAAACAGATGACCCTCCCCCACCCCCCAACCAAATAAAATATTACCTCAGGCAGAATGTCTTTACTTCCAATAGACTTTCTCTTCAATTTGGACTGGAGAAGAACATCTCTCATTTGTCTAACGGTCATGTGATCATCACTTGTCTTATCATTGGATGTCTTTGCATGTCCTTCTTTGGATAGGAAATGGGACCACAATGATGGCAGTACATTTCCTCTATTCTTGACAAATATTATCACAACAAAGAAAGAATGAGACAAACGAAACACATGTTGCAAGAAGTAATAACTTTGACACTGACGTCAAAAATCCTAGTGCTGGAAAGTCCATTATCATACCGAAGGTTCAACATTCATATGCATTAAACAGTACGCCATGCAATTACACATTAATGAATAATCAATAATACCAAGGCTTACAAAATATCTTGAAGTCTGGTGAGTTGGTAGCTTGAAGAAGATAAACCTAACTCTGCACCAAGCAAAGAAAACACAATAAAAAGTTAAACACGAAACTCTTGCTTATAGACTGACATAATATTGACACTCAGAGCATTCTTTTCTAAAATCTTTACCATTATCATATATTAATACAACATAAATGTTTTCAAGCACTTACAGTTTCCAGTTCATTTCAATCTAAAGCGTCTTCCTAATCATTTTCAGTTTAAATGAATAATAACACACAGTGGAAATAATTCCATTATTTGTATTTGGTAATCGATATACTTGATGTAACGTGAAACATAGTAATACACGAACAACATAAGCAATTGTATAATGAACAATGTATAAGATATACTAGAGGGACAATGTATAAGATATACTAGAGGGACAATGTATAAGATATACTAGAGGGACAATGTATAAGATATACTAGAGGGACAATGTATAAGATATACTAGAGGAACAACATAAAACAACACCGTAACACTTTGAAGTTTCAATTGACAAAAATCAAAGAAGATGTTTATATTATAAAGGGGCAACAACACAGCAACAGAGACGACGCTCAAAATGACGTCATCATCAAGTAAAAACATCACAAAAATTAGATCTTCATCAACCCGCTACAAATGTGCTTCAATGAATGATAAAATATGTATTCTCATAACATTTCACAAAACGGGTGCATTTTACATACGCAAAAATACAATCTTTGCCACTCTCCCAGAAAGAAAACTGTACAAGGGAATTAGGGAAACTACCCATATATAATCGTGTGCTATTTTTGTTTGTAAAGTAAATCTTCATAGTTCAAGACGTACAATTCTCTCTCGTCAACAAGCTCACGGAATTTGCAAGAAAATTGCCAAACTGGACACAATCAAACCAACAATAAAAAACACGAGAAAACTACGATCTAAAATCCTGGACGCTAGATGCCATTCTTTCTTTTTCTCCGCATTGATTTCCCAGTCAGTTAGCATACTGCTCATATTGCTCACGTGTTCCACCAGAGTCTTCTGACGTTCTTCCAATGTATCCACAAGTGTCCTTTAATGTCGCAAAAAAATTGTAATGCATTTCATTATTTTAAAATAAAATTTTTTAAAATGAAAATCAACAATTTTCACGGTCAACAGGGATGGAATCAAAAATTCTATGAAGACGTGGAATAAATAATTTGGACATGAGAAAGTTGACCAAAACAACCATCAACATTGAACATACATAAGCCTAAAGTAAATGGTTTGAGTCCAAGAATATCGCTACATGTTTGTGGATGTTGATCGTCTAGGTTAGTGGAGTGACTCTTCTCCGACTCCGAAGTTGACTACCCCTAAGAATGTCGAAATGTCATTCGACACCATTGAACTAAAATACATGGAACGCTACCTGAAGCAAATAATTGAAGCACCCATACATACGTGTTTAGTGTTTGGAGATTCTCTCGCAGAGTGAAAATTGATTGAACTACACACGCGTGTCTGGGTGTAAAATTTGGCTTCCAAAAAATTACTAGGGTTTTGTATTACAGGTAGCGTTCCATGTATTTTAGTTCAATGTTCAACACTAACACCATCATTGATTTTCAAGACTGCAGAAACCTGCATAATAAACATCTACGAACATACATTATCTCATGTTCATAGATTATTCAAAACTGCAACAGTTGAAAATAGCATGTCACATTACAATCACCTCTCTATGAAGAGAAATCTTTTCAAAAGTAGAACGTACAGAGGTTGTATAGAACGAGTATGAAATAGTATTTTGCCAATGCTCTTCCATAATTGTGCCACACAAGCTTGCTGAAGCAACAACGATCTTATACTTGCCTGCAGATGCAATTTTTATTTTCTTGAACAATCATCTGTGGAGAAGTAGTACTAGTCGAAGGGGTTGAAGGTGAAACAGTTTTCTTTAGCGAGCCGCCGCTGTACAGTTTATGAGATGACCACGGCTCGCCTACGACTTTTTCACCGTCTTTGGTCACTGTATCGACAAAAAAGACAGTTTGTAGGAGTGTTATAAAATGACGAAAACTGGCAGGTCTTAATGAAATTCAAAAAATGAACACAACCAACCATTGGTAAAGACGCTTTCTTCGATGAATGACTGATCGAGATCATAAGTTGAGTCCCATTCTGACGAAAGCAAACTAATTGTTTCTACGTCGCTCGATTTGCTATTTCCATTGCGAATCGATGTACTTTTGAAAAGGTCTAAGAATTTCGCCGCTTTTTCTTCGAAATCTTTCTTCGCTTTTGCAACGTCTGATGTGGCAAAAGTAACCTTTGCAAGCCAATTCAGGACGACAGTTTTTATCCAAGATGGCATGCCATGGAAACCCGACTGTCTGCAGTACAAACGAAGCACAAAACATGAGGCAACTAACGCCAAGCCAACCTGAAATGGGAAGTCGAACATTTTCATACATTGCAGTTTTCGATGTAGCCTTCAATTTGACCAGGGGCTAACTTTGAATGTACACTATAGTAATAGTATAGTGGTCATACTATATGGAATACTTTCATTTGATGCGGGCAGCCAGGCAGTCAATTGCACTTTCCCAGCAAAAGAAGCACTAAGATGGCTAACTGCAGCCAGTAATCTAATTAAATACAGCACCAAGTTTAAAAGCAAAGTTGTCTTTGGGGCTGTTCACCTGAGCCCGGTAGCCAGGATTCAGCGAAGCGTTAAATCATTTTGGCAAATGAAAAAGATTAAATAATTCACAACAAAAAACTGATTCCAGCAATTTCCCTATGCTGTGACTTTGCAAATTTACAAAACCTTAAAAATGAAAACAAATAATTTAGCTTGATTTGAAAATTACAATTAAAATGACTAATGACGCATAAGAAAAGGTTGTAAGTTTTGCGCTTGAAGTTTTTACTCCTTTCAATGACTGAAAATCATTTCACGCCTCGCTGAATCCCGGTTACCGGGCTCACATGAACAACCTCTTACTGCTTATTCCTTCGTAAACAATCTGCATGTTTTCTCGTGCGTGCCATGCAATTTTCAGTAAATCATAACTCATTCCTAAGAAATCTATTGTTTTTGCAGTTATTGATAAAGAAAATTTTCATAACAGGACTTGGCCAAACAGGTTCGTTACGTTGTTGGATGCCAGCACTTAGGAGTTAACATTGAAGATGACAAACAACGCGATGGTTATTTGAAATCGTTATTTCTTATATGTAGAGCAGTTTCAATCCTCAGTTAGATTCAACCTGCTCTAAATTTTATTTTTTGAATTGGATACGAAGCTTTGCAATCAACAGATAAAAATTACATAAAATATACTTGAAAGCTGTTAGCCGAAAGACTTAGCTTAAGTTATAGGTTTTCTAAGACAGTGTTTCTTTACCTCGCACATAAGACCAGCACAGTAGATACTGATCATCGGCGTCACCTCGGAGTTTGGCGGTAAGATCTCGGCAACAAGCAACAGAAATACAACCATAGCAAGAAAGTTCGTGATGATCAACGAGATTCGTTCACCACAATCAGGTGGAAGAAGAAAAGCCACAAGAGTTAAAACTGGAAGGATAAAAATTGATTCTGTATATAGTGATGATTGCACAACAAATTACGACAACAGTCTTTACGCTACCTAAAATATAAACTAAGATAACGTGTGTCAGTGTAGGTACTGCTGAATGAACAACAGAGAACAAGAACAGTCTTTACGCTACCTAAAATATAAACTAAGATAACGTGTGTCAGTGTAGTTAGTGATGAATGAAGAACAGAGAACGAGAAAAGTCTTTACACAACATAAAATATCAGCTAAGATAACGTATGTCAATGTAGGCAGTGATAAATGAACAACAGAGAACGAGAAAAGTCTTTGTATGTCCACAAATATAGATCAATATTGGGGAGGAGTAAGGTTACAGACATTCGTATATGCTTGTCCTACGTTTCCTAATTGCTGTAAAATACATTATCATTGCGAATCATAATATGAACATATTAATGCCCCCCCGTACAAATATGAAAATAAATCAGTTACCTGTAATAAACATGTTAGGTAATAACATATTGATGTAGTAATAACGAGTTCGCCTTTTGATAAGCAATGTAAACGTGACATCTGGGTACAATTCAGGACAGCACGCGTACTTCTCGAGATTACGTTGAACAGAAAATTCTGATAGGTCCCACTCCCCGCTCTTTAGAAACTTCGTGGTATCGCCCATTCCATTTTCATGATCATGGTGTAGGTCCAGCTGCTCGCCGTTGTACGTCCACGAACCGAATTTGATTTTACATTCCTGTTCAAGTTATCGAAACGAGTTGTTTGACGATCATCAGAAAACATATATAGAACACGCACGAAATTTTCACACTTCCACCGAACTACTGAAACAACAAACCTGTTCATCAAAAGGAAAGTACTGTATGTTCAGTTTACATGACGTCTTCACGACGCCAGGTGCAAGCCACGAGCATGTCCCATCACTTTTAATGGTAACTGGAGTCTTCCACTGATCAAGAGCGCTCTTTGATCCACCCTCCGCGCTGAAAGGGGATCACACAAATTGTATAGAGAATTAATGGTAATTTCAGTTGAGCTTCAATCGAATAACTATAAATTTCCTGAGACCTACTGGTTGTAAATGTATATATCCGGTACCCATAATTTATTCTTGCCGATGTTGATCTCCTTCAGTCCGCCATATTTGCTTTCATCCCAATGCAATAGTTCATTCTTCCATTTCTAGGAAATTTTGAATATAAAACTACAAGCGTAATGGGTATATAGTCAGGCAGTTTTACCACACAATTTTACGACATTGCTCATTGAAATGCAACAGTTCATTCCTCAAAGGAAATATTAAACATGTCACCACAAGGTTGGAGATGTTAGTAAGGTAACTTTACGACACGAATTTTAAACATTGGTCTTCCAACACACCTGTCTCATAAATAGAGCCAGAGTAACAATCTGATTCTTGTTGTCCTTTTAAAAAACAATAAAGAGCACAGAGTTGATATAGCAACAACAGAAGAAGGTCAAAGAATTTAATCATAACATGAATGAACAAAGACACGAGAATGATATGGCATATTTGTGTGGGTTAAAGGATCTTTCAGGATAGTTTCATACGACATGCATGATCTCTTTCTTTTTTAAACCTACCACATTAATGATTTGATAAAGAGTGACACCAATTTTCATCTTCAGGGGCAATGGACGGCCAGTTGTTTTGTTGCTTTCATTGACGGGCAACACAGATGGACTAGATGTTTTAACCAAGTGGCTCATCAAAAGAGATATATTGTTCTTTTTTCCTAAAATATAAGTTATTTCTAATGGGAAGAGTAATCTACTGGGGGAAAACAATTATTATCGGTCGTCAAATCAACACAACACATGTAGTCAGACTATCTGTGCAATATCAAGTAAGAAAAACTAAATAAAAGACAAGACAAACAAACCTTGCACTTCTGCATAATTCTTCGCTACCAACAGCAGCAAAACACAACATTTGAAAATCATGTTCTAGAAATAGGATGAAGCTTTTCACAACAGATTTGATCACACACGTAAACAGAAGAACAGAAGATTGAAATCTGAAAAAGAATGACGTGCTTTGTAATGTGCCAACAGGGAGTGCTTTTGACACAATTGATAGTATAAAGTCCTTTATTCGAGACCTAGTGAGATATTTTTACTAGTTACATTAGTAAAAGCTGGTGATTTTAAATATGACAAGGATAATGCAGAAAAATTAAGTTGTCTGATGGCCGCGCTTTTGAATGCAGAAAAATTTCGCTTAACAAAAAACATCCCTTAATGAAAAATCCACTCTCTTCCAAACCGACACCAAAATATAATAGTGTGGATTCTACTCAAAGCTTCTAGCCAAAAAGGACAAGATTTAACGCAGGCATGTCAAAGCAGTATCTCTGTCCTCTAGCTGACGAGTTGTAAAGATCGTCTTTGTCAGTTCAATCCACAAGCAGACAGTAAATTACATAGTATATCGACAAAGTGATTACAAACGAAGATGGCATTTTAATCGTCATAACTAGGAACCATGGAAAACACAATGGCCTTTGAAATCGCAATAATGATCAAGTACAGCCAAAAGAAGAATTCATCCAGAACAGCAGCAGCTACTTTCCATTCCTCCCTCTTTATCTCATCTTCTTCGTTGTCACGTGCCATGTTGGCCAATGATTCAACGTGTCCGACGATTTCCTCTTGTTGTTGTACTAACACATGCATTGGGCTGGTGTCTGAACATGCCAGACACTCGTCTCTCGTTTCTTCTTGTGAATAGCTTCGATTGGCCGTAATGTTGATTGCTTCTCCCTTATAAAACGCATATAAAAAACGTTAAATTTATCACAAATCGACAAAGACATTACACATTATCAAAACAAGCCAACATTGTTTCTCTATTACTTATAAAAGCAACTAGCCTGCGAAACTCGCTTCAACTTTTTTACCATTTCAGGAACTTTTCCCCCACTAATTTGTCGTTTGTCACGTTTGGGGATCGCTAGGACGTCTTTAATCCCTTCAACATCATTCTGCGTACGCGACAATCCTTTGTGATCCCGAGGTAACGTCCCTTCACATGTAATCTCCGTGAGAGCAACTTGCGTTTTGGCCCGTTCATTCTCCACGCTGCACTTCTTTTCTCCATTATTTTGTGCTTCATTATTTTCAAAAGACGTGGAGATCTTTACTAATCGTTTGCTTTTTTTGTTTGTATCATTGTTAGAAACACTTCCTCGTGGATTGTAAAACCTTGAAAAGATTGGTTTGATGGCTTATGAAAATATGCAAGAGCTACGTTATAGCTAAATATGTGAAAACTACACTACCAAAGTAAAAACTACACTACATATGTGGAAACTGCACTACCAAAGTCAAAACTACAATACTTAAGTAAAAACTACACTACATATGTCAAAACTACACTACCAAAGTAAAAACTACACTTTCAAAGTAAAAACTACACTACATATGTTGAAACTACACTATACCTTCGTAGAAACAACAGACGTAGAAACTAAAACTGCAGCACAGCCTTTGTTATTTATGAAATAAACGATTTTACTGTGTTTGCACAGGTTTATGCAAAACCGAGCAGATCTTTGAGAGAACTCGAGAGCAGATCAGTGCAAGCAAGAGACCGTAAAAACTCCACAAGACATCATTTTCAATACGACTAAAGAGAGCAATTACCTCGAAAGAGAAGCGCGCCTCGTCTTAAAGGAAGTGAAAATGCTTTGAATAAACGACTGCCTACGTTTTTTAAAGTGTGTTTGTTGCGACTCGGCAAGCTTTACTTGGGGAGTCATTCGAAACACGCGAGCCATCCAATGAAGAACAAGAGTTCGAAACCACTTGGGCATCTCACCATGTGACGCATGACGAAAGTTTACTTTCAAAACAACGCATGTGCAGAGCAAGGCAAAACCAATCTGTAAATGAAGCGAGCTTTAGGTAAGTGCCCAAATAATATGTACGGCTGGTTTTTGTCCATTGCATGTATCCCTCAAACACGATAGAGATATAGGCGAATGAATCCTTCTTAGGACTTTTGAAGCCTATTTAGGGATTCTACTTCATTGTACTTCCAACTTACTAGAAACCCTGATTAAATAGGTTGGTACAATGATCGCAGAATACCGGCAAGATAAAGAAGCTACATTGCTCCTTATTTAACGTCATTTCCACCGAAATAAAAACATTCTTAAGTGATATTTTACCTCAAACATAACGATAGAATAGTAGACACTGATGAGTGGAGTGGCATCAGAAATTGGAGGAAGGATATCGGCGACAAGAAGAAGAAAAACAATCATCGATAGCAGATTAGTAATAACCAAAGTTACTCTCTCGCCCGTGTCAGGTGGAACTTTGAAAGCCAGGATGCTCAAAGCTGTAAAACAAAACATCAAACAGGCAGTATAAGTGGACTGTTGTCACCTGCTCTTGTTCATTTTATACATACCAGTGATAACAAAACAAGGAATGATGAGATTGACGTAATAATATCTTGTTCGTCTTCTGATGCGAATGGTGTACGTTAGATCCGCATAATTTACATCAGGACAACAAGGATACGTTAAAACATTACGGCTTCCTGTCATACTTATAAGATCCCATTCTCCGTTGCTCACAAATTTAGTGAGGTCAGCGGTATCGCTCTCAAGTTGGACGTCCAGACGTTTTGTATCATAAGTCCACGAGCCAAGAGTCACGTTACAAAACTATATAATAAACAAAGACACACAACCACTATATAAAAAAACAAATACAAAACAACCACATAATAAAACAAGTAAACAACAACTATATAATAGACAATACACAACAACTATACAATAAACAAATGCACACAACAAAATGATAAACAAATACACACAACTGTATAATAAACAAACACACCGCAACTACATAATATATAAACACATAGAAACTACATAATATACAAATACACGTAATTTTATAGTATGCAAATACACAGCAACTATATAATATATAAATATACAAAACTATATAATAAGCAAATACAAAAAATTATATGGTAAACAAATACTCAACAACTATGCATCACAGTTTTCGAGAGTTGTTCAGATACTCTAGTTAAAAGTAGCTTCATTAGTTAAGAAATAAAAGATGTTTACTGTGTTTGCACGGGCTTATGCAAACCGAGGAGACCTTTGGGAGAACTCGAGAGCAGATCAGTGCCCAAGACCAAAGGTCGAGGGTTGCACCTGCTCGAGAGTTCTCTCCAACGTCTCCGAGGTTTGCATATGCCAGTGCAAACACGAAAAACATCTTTCATTTCTTTTATAAAATAACAATAATGCGAAAAAAGACAAACATTTTAATTTTTCATCTAAAATGTATTCATGATCGATTTGCAAACTCTCTTCGACTGATTGATTGTTTAGATTGATTTGATTGGTTGAGCTCAGATGTGTTCTGTACTGGCTAATGCAAACTCAGCTCTAGACCAATCAGTGCACGCGTTTCATTGTGTTTATTTTATAATACGTTCAAAAAGTCTTCATTAATGTTATGAAAATCACCTTGTACGTCACTATCTTTAATTGTATTTGATTAATAATCAATAATAATAAATCAATAAATCATTGTAGTGTAATAATGTCTTAAATATTCATACAATGCACGGTAAAGGTAAACTTCTGTATGATTAGGGCATCATTTTTTGTATCGTTTGTAAAAATGTCTTACGGTGTCAATTACATGAAGCGAGCTATTCTGGCGAGCTGGGTTAAACGAAGGGAGATCATAGAGTATTATGATTATTCTATCACTCAATTTAGTTTTCAACTCGGTCGGCCAGGAAAATTTACTTCAAGTGATTAACACTAAGAAGAGTGTGTACCTGTTCATCAACTAGTGTGTACCTGTTCATCAACTAGTGTATACCTGTTCATCAAGTAGTGTGTACCTGTTCATCAAATTGTGTGTGTCTGTTCATCAACTAGTGTGTACATGTTCATCGACTAGTGTGTACCTTTCAACAACTAGTGTGTACCTGTTCATCAACTAGTGTGTACATGTTCATCAACTAGTGTATACCTGTTCATCAAGTAGTGTGTACCTGTTCATCAAGTAGTGTGTACCTGTTCATCAAGTAGTGTGTACATGTTCATCAACTAGTGTATACCTGTTCATCAAGTAGTGTGTACCTGTTCATCAAGTAGTGTGTACCTGTTCATCAACTAGTGTGTACATGTTCATCGACTAGTGTGTACCTTTCAACAACTAGTGTGTACCTGTTCATCAACTAGTGTATACCTGTTCATCAAATAGTGTGTACCTGTTCATCAAATTGTGTGTGTCTGTTCATCAAGTAGTGTGTACCTGTTCATCAAATAGTGCGTACCTGTTCATCAACTAGTGTGTACATGTTCATCGACTAGTTTGTACCTTTCAACAACTAGTGTGTACCTGTTCATCAACTAGTGTGTACATGTTCATCGACTAGTGTGTACCTTTCAACAACTAGTGTGTACCTGTTCATCAACTAGTGTGTACATGTTCATCAACTAGTGTATACCTGTTCATCAAGTAGTGTGTACCTGTTCATCAACTAGTGTGTACATGTTCATCGACTAGTGTGTACCTTTCAACAACTAGTGTGTACCTGTTCATCAAGTAGTGTGTACCTGTTCATCAAATTGTGTGTGTCTGTTCATCAAATAGTGCGTACCTGTTCATCAACTAGTGTGTACATGTTCATCGACTAGTTTGTACCTTTCAACAACTAGTGTGTACCTGTTCATCAACTAGTGTGTACATGTTCATCGACTAGTGTGTACCTTTCAACAACTAGTGTGTACCTGTTCATCAAACGGAAAATGTTCGACATTTATCTTACAAGCGGTTTTGATGATGATGGGAGCCAGCCAAACATTACGTCCATTGTTATACAACATTACTTTCGTGTTGAAAGAATGTTGGTTACCATCAGAGCTGTCGTCAGCACTAGATGTTGAATGAAATAATAAAACTCACTTAAAGATACCACGTGAGTATAATGGGTTAGGCTATAGTTTATAGGGGAAGATATTGAACTAAGTACTGCTAAACTATCCAGGCAAATCACTTATAGATCTTATTAGCCTTTGTACAAATCGATCGAACTAAATCAATTGTGAAGATCGATTGAAGTTCTTACCAATGAAATCGGAATATTATATATTACTGTACTAGCTATATAAGTTACAGTTTGTATATTTACAGGGTATCAAATTAATCATAAAGAACGTTGGAATACAATACAAAATTGGATGAAAAGGCAGAATGCAAGGGGCAATATATGAAAGGAGGTTAATAAGGAATGGAGTTACCTTGGGTATTAAGAGCCTTTGCTGTTCAGAATGAAAATGGCCGCTGATTTCTAACACTAATGTTTTTTTATTACATCATTAATCAAGCATAAAAAACTGGCAGTTAAGACAGACTTAACCATTAACAAATCAGCTTCATTTGAAAGCTGTACAAAAAGATGAAAAATTGAATCGACACAACTTACTTATTGTATAGATACAAATCAGGTTTCCATACTTTCTCAGGAAATGTGCTAACAACTGTCATATTGTCGAACTCTTCCTTGTTCCAAGTCATCAATTGATTGGTCCATTTCTGAAATACGCAGCAATTTGTATGTTTATATCCAGTGATGTAGCTCACACACCTGCAAGGTAACTTATCCTTTACATACACTAGTCAATGAAACCCACGTTTACAAACATGCAAACTGACAATATTTATACTACCTAATATCCATTCACACACTAACAAGCCCTTCTTACACGTCCAACCACCCCTCACACACTAACAAACCCTACTTATACATCTAGCCAAGCCCCCACCTTGAAAAAACCCTTCATAAGTATATAGCCATCTATTTATACACTAACAAGCCCTTATTACACATCTAGCCATCATTTACCACCCCTTTCTACACAATTATAGTCATACACTATCACCCATTCTTGCACATCTAGCTATCCCCTACTGCCTCTTCTCACATATCTAGTCATTTCTACCACCCCTTCTTACACTAGAAGCCATCTCCTACCACCTCTTCTCACACATCTAATCATCTCTACCATCCTTTACACCCATCCCTACCACCTCTATCATCCACCTCACACTTCGACCATCTTTATTACCTTTATTTTACTTTCATCTATTATCCATTCATCTACCACCTCTTTACATACCTATCCTACCACCTCCACCCTTTTCACTTACAAGAAGTCCTCCCTACCACCTCTTCTCACATATCTAGTCATCCCGACAACCCCTTCTTACGCATCTAGAATAACCTACTACCCCTTCTTACACATCGAGAATACCCCACCACCCCTTCTTACACACCTAGTCATCCCCTTACCAACTAACAAACCTTTTCTATATATCTCGCCTTACAAAACACAGGTCGCGAAGGCATTTTCGCTATGCGTACCACAGCAGTGGTCTGATTGGCCTACCAAGTCGCATAGCGTGGCAGGAGCCGAAATCCCCGATCGAAACGTCATCATGCGACAATTTAGTGCTCAACGGAAAGAAAACATCCATTGGCTTCATGGCAAAGATGATTATCTGCTTTCCTTGTCTCATTTAATATTTGACTTAATAATTGAGTCCAAAACTTTAAGGATTTTACGATGACAAAAATTGATAAGCAAAGCCATTTGTATGGTTAGTATTGAAAAACACTTTCAACCCTACTGTAATGAAATTTTAATTCATTTTGGATAGGAAACTCACTTTGGAAAAGAATTTATTAAGCCATTAACATATCAACTCTAAAAATTGCAATCTGCGCAATTCTAGAGCCACGCTAGGATTTTGAATTCACCCCGAGAATCCTCGCACCCCCCATAAGGTACACACCTGTCTTAACCATATACTCGATGTAATTATCTGATCCTTTTCGTTCTAAATGATACGATGAATTATTCTAAGAAGTTATTTTGACAACATGATCACAGAGATTTGTTTGTCTTACGCAAATACAACGTAGATGAGTTGATCATAAGTAATTCCAACAACTATAAGAAATGCAATTACTTACAACGTCGACGAGTTGATGATAAGACACACCAACAACCATAACAAGTTGATCTTCACGTTTTTTGATTGGTCGAACGTATGGATCATGAAATTGATTAAAGATTTTTTCAAATATTTTCTGTTCGGAATTCCCGATGTTTTTATCTAAACAAAAAACGATTTCTTCTAAGATTCTAATAAGATTTACGAATATCTCTACTGACAACATCTCTATTGACAACATCTCTATTGACAACATCTCTATTTACAACATCTATATTGACAACGTCTCTATAGACAACATCTCTATTGACAACATCTCTATTAACAGCACGTCTATTGACAACATCTCTATAGACAACATCTCTATAGACAACATCACTATTGACAACATCTCTATTGACAACATCTCTATAGACAACATCTCTATTGACAACATCTCTATTGACAACATCTCTATTAACAGCACGTCTATTGACAACATCTCTATAGACAACATCTCTATAGACAACATCTCTATTGAAAACAATTCTTTTGACAACATCTCTATAGACAACATCTCTATTGACAACATCTCTATAGACAACATCTCTATAGACAACATCTCTATAGACAACATCTCTATAGACAACATCTCTATAGACAACATCTCTATTGACAACATCTCTATAGACCACATCTCTATTGATAACATTACTGTAGACACCATCTCTGTAGACAACATCTCTGTAGACAACATCTCTATTAACAACATCTCTATAGACCACATCTCTATTGACAACATTACTGTAGAAACCATCTCTGTAGACAACATCTCTGTAGACAACATCTCTATTAACAACATCTCTATAGACAACATCTCTGTAAACAGCATCTTTATAGACAACATCACTATAGACAACATCTCTATTGACAACATCTCTATAGACAACATCTCTATAGACAACATCTCTATTGAAAACATCTCTATAGACAACATCTCTATTAACAACATCTCTACTAACGACATCTCTATAGAAAAAAATCTTTACTGACAAAACCTTTAATTCTCTGTTGACAACATGCCTATAGACAACATCTCCATTAACAACATCTCTAAAGACAAAATCTACATAGACAACATATATAAAGACAACATCTCTATTGACAACATCTCTGTTGAAAACATCTACCATTAACATCTCTAATGACAACGTTTCCATTGACAAAATCTCTAGTGAAAACATTTCTATTGAAAACATCTCCATTAACAACAACTCTATAGATAACATCTTATTGATATCATCTTTACATCTCAATTGAGAACGTTTTTATTGACAACATCTCTACGAAAACTACCTGCAGATGACGAAACAGCAATAAAGTTGCAAATCAGAAGACAATACAACGATAACTCCATGCTCTCATAGAAGACTGAATACAATCTAAAAATAAAGCATTTTTTTAAACGTCGGACAAGTGCTCACATGTTTAAGAGAGATTACAAAAAAATTACGTCATTATTATATACTCTTCAATTAGAAATATTCTTACTTAACTGTAATGAACGAGGTCATGATAGAAACAGAGAGATGAATTAAGAAAAATAAGATATTCATGTGATAAATTCAAGTCATCGTCACCCTATATTCAACTTCAAATGATTTCGAATGATTATATTTTGTAATTTCTCAAATCTGTATCGACAGGTTGATTAAGGAACAATCTGTGTTCAGCAAGAACAAGGTCAAACATACTTTCTAACACGTACGATTAAATGCTTTCAACACCGTGACAATTCAAGCACCGTTTATCTTTCCGATGACGCGCTCCAATGTCTAGGAAAATATTTAATAAAGAGTTTTATGCCGATAAGGAGTGAAAATCGGCTTTTCGCCGTATTCACAGAAGTGAAGAAGACTTGAGTTATAGAAAGGCACTAGTTAAGGAAATCTAATTAAACGATCTCTCGAATTAACGCAACAGGTTTTACTTTACATTTTCTGTTGAGCTTACCTCACAAATTACCATACGACTCTAAGTAATCCACAAAGATCCTTCATATTGACATCACAACATCATCGTTTTTTGTCATCAGTTCTTGCAAACGGAGACAAAATGAACGTAACTTGACCACAGACCTAAACAAGGACTCTCGTGTTTAAACATAAAGCCATTGAAGTAGTTGAACACAATTGAGCAACAGGGGACAACATTGTTACCACAGACTACAAGATCCTCTACATAATGATCAAATTTGTGTCTGCTTTCTCTGTCATGCGTATTAGAATAAACTTTACAAACAAAGAATATGGAAAATGATTAATCAAAAAAAAATAAAACAACGTTTAATTTTACATGTAACACATTAAATGGCTGACATGGCAACTGCCATGTTGCACGTATAAGTACTCAAGACTTAACATATAATTCCTATATTTAAATGAGCTCCAAACAGCGCAAAAAAACATACAAGACTTCGCATTAAGTTGAAACGACCTTGAAACGGAATTTTTAAGCATATATTTGTGGAATATGGCATAAAAAAACGTTCCTATAAAAATACAATTGGTGATGAACTCGAACGACAAAATAACAAGGGGTGATGTGCACTGCTAATTTATAAAATCAAATAATTTCTCATCATTATCTAATAATCGAAATTTCTTCCCAAACAAAGTAGTCAGTTACGGCTAGCAAAGAAAAAAGTGAAAATGCTTGAAACGGGCTGCATGTTCACTAGCATGCACGTATCAAAATTTCCATAGGGCAAAACACTTAACTGTTAATTGGAACAAGAGCACACACAAAAAACACAAAGCCGCTTTACTTTAACACGCGATCTATGGGAATAAGTGATGCACACTTGATTTCTAGAAGTTTTACAGCCACTTACAATTGGGATGTAACAGCTATGAAAGAAAACCGCCATGATGTTATGTTTTTTTTTTGATGTCATTGATAAAAATACGCGCGGATTTAGCTTTTAATCTTAACACCATTATGAACAGACAAAGAAGAAGATATTAGTACATCTTGTAATATCTCCGTTTGTTTACATTTGGTCATGACACGCAATAAAATATTTATGAAATAATCGATGATGTATCTTTTTAAATTCAAAAAATATATAACATCACTGTGGGGATATGTTTTTTCCCCATAAACACGACGATTAACCTGTTTTCAGCTAAAATACATCCTATATAAATCCAAAATATACCTCGGACACACCCAGCGTCACAATACCTATTTTCTCATTAGCATAGCGTGCGCTAGACTCGACTAAGCGCCATAAATCGCACAGCAATCTCATCGTTCATGTGAACATTCTCCCACTGGAGGTGTAGTAATGTTACAGACATTCTCAGACAATCGACGCTGAGTCATTAACCAGTGTTCTCCCGCCTCATGCAAGGCAGTCGTAAATTTCTTCGTCGGTAAAGTATTACATGTTTCGGGGGGTCATGTCGTGGTTTGATTGAACAAAGCGACAAATGAGACAGATGAAAAAAACAAATACATCAAAAAGGAGTAAAATAACAGGAAGGATGCTGATTCTAATACAATAAGAGAGTCATGCCCACAAACCGTAGCTGTGTCGCGGAGCTTGCTTAAAATATATGGGATAAGGATGTTGATGAATATTATAGAATAGAACGGAGACAACCACCAAAAATTCCTCTTTGATATGATTTATAGAACTTTCTACTGATGTTGTTTTCACTCTTCTAAACTACACAATTCTGAGATTAAAGCAATCGAAAATTGCCTCTTAGGGAGATGATGAATTTCCATCAAAATAACAGGCTAATGAAGGAAACATAAGTTTCTTTTCTTATCTCATCCGTTGCAAATGTAACTAATAAATATTGTCTGCCGGTAGGTATATCCCTCATTTTCGTAGGTAGCTAACAAACAACAAAATTTCAACCATTTCGAGTTCGAAAAAAGAGCTGAGGTTGCACATTTTAAAGCAATTATAATTGCTTAAACAGTAAAAAAAAACAGTATGTCGTGTGTTTTGCCTGTCGGTAATCGGGTACACTTTCCCTCATGTTACATGCTAAATTGTTAATAAACACCAAGACAAACAAACGTAAGAAAACTTCAACATGTTGTGATTTTAATTGAAATCAACGTCGCCGTCCAAGGGTCAGTGTCAAAGCGACATTGCGGTCCTCGACATCACAAAGAAACCATTCGTATTCAAAGTAATTACAGCACGACGAGAGTTCGCGGTAAGAAGCGGAACACAGACAAAATTATCTATATAAAGAATCATTAACAATATAGAAAATGACCTAGGGTCGTAAAATACAAATATCGTTGACCTCTTTTCATCGATGGTATAGAAGATTTCTCCCGTTCCTAGGTAGGTAAAATTTCATCGAATTTTATCTCAAGCACATTTTGTGCGAACACGAAAAGCAAGTTTTTGAAACATATACAGGTATTGCACACTCTCAAAGAAAGAAATGTTGTAGCTATTATCTTTCCAAAGTAAGCAGCAACATAATGCTACCAATAAACTACACGGGAAAACGTTTCTAACGAGCCTCGTTTTAGATCCTTTACAACACGAAAATAAACTACATGGGAAAACGTTTCTAACGAGCCTCGTTTTAGATCCTTTACAACACGAAAATAAACTACATGGGAAAACTTTTCTAACGAGCCTCGTTTTAGATACTTTACAACACGAATGCCAGATATATTTGTATATTATGACGGGAATTGTTCCAAAAGGATGTTGTCATTAATTACAACCCAATTAAAACCTGATGCTCAAAAATGTCCATTATTAAATAATTATTTAAGTAAGATGTAAGAGCCATTTAATACCATTTCATTAGAAATGATTTCAGAAACAATTAAAACGATATGAACTGAAAACGAATTGGTCTAGAAGGACGGCGGTACATATATGTGTAACATACCTGTACTTTTTCCCCACCATATATCGATTATTGTTTTCAGTAAAGTTTAATTCCTCGTTCCACAGACGAAATTTTTCACGAGAAATAATACCGCGTATTATGCAAATGATGCACTTTACTGATCCTGTTGAATTTTGATTAATTCGATTTGGCAGTCAGGGAAATGGAAGCTCGCTGCCAAATAGAACTTTTTTCTTGAGATATTCTCGTGTTCTTCCTCACGCTCGCACAAAATCATAGCGCGTTTACATTTTCGGCGAGAATTTCCCATATGGAATTAGGCTGTAATATTTAAGCCGACGGCAATAAGAAAAAAAACTTATTTATATAAAGGTTGAGTACTGTCTGCGCAATTACATGCAACGTTCGGAAGAAAGTGTTAACAGCCGGGTGGTCTCATTAAATACTAAAAATCAATCAACAAACCACACGAAAAACCAATTCAAAGTTGCTTCTTTAGAAAGCTTTGCACTTAATACCCTTCACTGATGAAATCTATCTCTATCCTTCTAGAAGATAGCACGTGGGAACGCAAACAACAAGATGATTTTTTATACTCTCAGAGTATCAAGATCATGTGAAATAAGAACAGGCATGACATGACACAATGAAATGCTGGCATAAGCAAAATATTTACAAGTAGCTAGCACGTATAAAAACGCAACGAAATAATCACACATTACAATGACTGCATCATAACGCGTATTATTACATATGTGAATCATGCTGTTTTATTACAATTAGCAAAATCAAAGACAAAATAATCACAACAAGCGTGTTGATTGACATCGCAGCGTGTGAACTATGTTTTCAAACCACATTGAATAAGCGATTTGTTTTTCTATGTTTAAGTATCAGAAAATTGACAAAATTGCAAACAAGGGCATGACGAATAGTTTGCATAATTCCCGCAGTCAAAGAAAAAAACAATCTTTACGGTCTGGGGTCCGTTTCCAGCGGAACTTCGTTGCAGGAAACTTGTCTTATAACAATTTAACGATTAAAGTATAATAAGCATGAATTCAAGAAGCGAGAAACGTCGTCAATAGCTCAAATACGCAGTAACTTCGAGAAGTTCACGAGCGAAATTATTTACCAATTATAGCGGATAAGAATGTGCAATGTAAACAAAACAATGCATAAAATCTCTCAATTCTGATAAACACTTCCATTTTTGTCATGTAAAATCCAACTGATCGCTTCTTATATGCATGTAAAGCACACCATCGATCTGACGTTCTTAACTTTATACGGAGGAAATATGCTTCAATATTAAAAATATGCAGCCGCAGTTAAATGGCATTATTGGAAAAATCCCAGAAATTAATTAATGCTCTTAGAGCGGAAGGTCGAGGCGTGTTAACATATGTATTACACGATTAGATATGGGGACGCATAGATTTTCATCGAGAGTTGCAAATATTTTAACAAAACACAACACAGTCACATTAAATTAAAACGTTCATACACTTTTTGTAATTCTATGTACATATCAAGTTCGGGTTCTTTCTGGAGGACCATCAAAAGGAAGGTCATGACCTACTTTTCCTATGTGACAACAACACAGCACTGGTCTGATTTAAATCTTCGCTATTTTTATGGCTGCTTGCGCAGCCAACAAGCAATCAACAATTCATGAATGGCAGATTCATTTGGACACTTTTTACGGCAAGTAAGATCCTCAGTCATAGTTTATCACGTTCACACATCACGCAGTAGATTTCAACCATTAGACACACCAATTGTTAACCATGTTCCCACACCAAAAGTTAACCATCTATCTCCATACACAAATACTCAATCACATACACACCAATACTTAACCATGTACCTATTTCAAAAGTTAACCATCTATTTCCATACACAAATACTCAATCACATACACACCAATACTTAACCATGTACCTATTTCGAAAGTTTACCATCGATCTCCACACAAAAATACTCAAACAACATACTTACCCCTATTTACAACGTATTTTTTCGAAACAAGCAATTCATACAATTAGTTAATAAAAACTGATTAGGCAGAAATAATACTCGCGACAAGAAATTTTGCAACGCATGAAGCATCGAGTTCATCTCAAGAGAAGTATGCGTGAAATTTACAAGAGCTTAAAAAGATTAACCTTCTTCCCTTTTCCCATAGACAAAAAACATCACAAAAACAAAAAGGAGCTAATTGAATGTAGGATTTTAGTGCTAATACTCAAAAGGTTGTGTGCAATTACACACATGTTATTCTGTGGCATTAAATTCACCGATGACAATAAAATGATTGCCAATATTTACCAAATAGGGTGTCAAGAAACTAGACATTGTATAGCAAGATAAGTAGGTATTAGTGGATATTAAGAAAGAAATTAGCTTATTGTAGAGTGCTACATATGATTTAAACCTTTTCGCGCGTGATTTGCAACATGTAAACATTACCGACTTGTAAAGTTCTCAGACAAAATGCGTCATGCTTTAAATTTTACTTTTCCAAGACTGACACGCCCTACCATGGTTTTGGACCAAAGTCATTTCCTTCGATATCGAACATGTGGCAATCAAAATATTTATTGTGGTCAGAACAAGATCATCTAATCTATTAACCGTGAGTTAAACCACCACACTTATCCACAACAGAGAATTGGCAACAAACTTTTCTAATAGTAACTTCATGTAATACTATATGAAAGGACTATGGTAGTACACATCGTATGATACATGGATGTTGAATTTCAGCAGGCTTTTGTCTTTGCTATTATATTAATGTATTATGAAAAATAAGACTCGGGAAGTACAAAAATGTCCTCGATACCATGAAGATAAGTAATTAATAAAATCATGAATAGATAAAACAGCCTGAGGATATCGCCACATGACAATGTATTAATTCTGCTTGACACCTCATATAAGTGTCACGACACTGTCAGCATACTTGAGACATTGGCGAAACTTCCCAAGGTAGAGGTGCTCAGAAACAGATACGCATTGCTCTGAAATATACTGTAGCTATCCATAGAGAAGTCGCAAGACGAGACAAAGAGAGAAGAATCATGACTAAGCTATACAATTTCAAGGTAGATATTTTTATAGACCAATGTTAATTTATAATATAGAGTACATTTTGGTCGGAAAAGATAGTTTTGGCAGCCTAAGACGTCCATATAGTAACGCATATGGGAGTATTAATGCCGTTTTCGTCAATCCTAATGGCCTAACGTAAAAAAATCGCGCCGATAGCTAGGCAATAACGCATTGTGATCGCATAAAGTTAGAAGTATGAATTCTGGAGTCAGTTAAAGACACATTCTTTTAAATGGGTAAATTGGTAAAGGCAAGTTCAACCCTCCCAATTAGATCACTCGTTTTGCTTTATAGAAGCCATGAAAACATTTAGAACAAGACTTATATTATTACATAAGACACTAACTATTCCTCGGCGACTTCTGCATTTTTTGAATCAAGAATCTCTTAAATATAGCTCCTCTGAAAGACACGATTATCTTTCGTGCATGGGGTTTAACCAAATATAAATTTCAACACTATTCGTTATCTTCTATCGTCATTATAAAGCACTCGAAAATCTCATACGACCATTAAACCAATTATGTAATCTTTGTATCTGATAAATCTTTCGTAGACTGGAAGACGTTATCAATTAAAATACTTTCAAAGATTTCTTTAAAGGTTTTTCAAAGGCTTTTTCAGGGAGTTGGTTTACTAAATTAGTTCATGAAAGACTTACAATGATTTCAAAGAAAGCAATTCCAATTGCGTGGTAGTTTAAAAGTTTCTAGTTTGAAGCAGTGTATTCATAAATGTCTGGAAATGTAATTCCTCAAAATTCCAACATAAATCACGCCTTCCAAGTACAAAGTGCTTAAAATGATGCAGAGGGCAACCTCTTTTAACATTCCACAAACATATTCCACAAAAGGATTCCAACTATTTCTGAAAAATCAACTTTAAACCAAGAACTATTTGTTATGTAAACTGAGGATGGATAAACCTGCATATATAGATTGGGAAAAGTCAACATAAATCTTCTAATCTTCTAAGCGTTACAAGATTGCAATAAGCACATAAAGCAAGCAAATTTATAAACATAACCAAAGCAAGTTAAGGTAACCAGACATAGCGATGGAGGATTACCCGCTAATGAGTCTTAGCCAGCGCTGGTATATTGATTCTAATGAAGAGCGCTCATCAAAATATACCGTTCAAACCTTTTTAGTACAGACTATTAGACATGTCATTCAGGGATTATTTATATTAGTCAAGTATCGAACAGATAATACAATGTCGATGTACGAATTTTAAATATTTTACAAACTACGATACATGACTAATTGCATTGAGCGTCCAAAATGTGCAAAATTTCTCAAAGGATTTTTACCATTAAGTTATGGAGGTTAAAACATCACTTGAAAATAGGATCAAACACTTACCGATCAAGTCCCCATTTTATTCCCGACCATCACGACAAACGGCGAATGCATCTCGGAATACAACACTTTATTGATCGCACTGACTGGACTTGAAAAGTAAAAGAAATGGGAAAAATATTAAAATTATGAAAGTGCTATACAATACACACATCGCATTATCTAGAAAATTACTCTCTCGTTGATTTACACCATCCACGAATATAAAGTCCAGCAGGAAACCGGCATTACAAAAATGAAAAACAAAACGATAATGCCGCTATAGTTAAGTCTTTAGCAGTATATTAAAATCAACTTAGAAAGTGCGACATGTATGGTGACAACATGAGCGGGTATTCAAAAAAGAAACATTTGTTGATTAGAATACATAATAATAAAAGATTGTGTATTCAAACAAACAAGTGCTAACAGAAGAATTTGAATCGTAATAAATTTATATCATTACGTGAGCTACAGAGAGAACTTAACAAACCGCTAACTTCAAAGAAACCGGCATTGCTAATTTAATCAAACTATATTTTTCAATCGGGTCTCTGGGGTTGATCCCTTCAAACCATAATCCTGGCACACGATCCGGCGACTTTACCCAATTGCAATAAAAATGGCGCTTACTTAAAATATTTCGCTTACTTACTGTATGTAGAATTGCGTGGGCAGATAATAAAACTGTTATTGCATGAACAAAGAAACTTACCAAAGTGGTAAAATAACGTTCTAGGATTAAAGAGCACAAACAAATAGAACATCTTCAAATATCTACAGGATAAAAAGTTTAATATGACAAAGAAAACATTAATTATAAACTGCAATAGGAACATTTAGTTAAAAAAACTTAGTTAATTGCATGCGGAACACAAAAAGATGGGGGTTGAACAGAAATTGAGCTCTCCTAAATTGTTGAAGAAGCTCACGCAAATAAAGTCCAAATCACACTTGCCAACAGCATGAGACTGTTCAACACATTCAGTCGTGTGGAAAATCACGTAACAAATAATTCAATATTGCACATATCCACACATATCCATGCATGTCCTCCTATAACTACGTCAATAGTTCAGACCGTCGTAATGTTTTTGCGCCCACAAGACAAGAAAACTTTTAAAAAAAGCAACATTGTCAATGATCGTGGTATTTACGTAATTCCCATATTGAATAACAATAATGCTAAATTAACAAGAAATTATTTTCCACTGAAATTTTAGAGTGCTTTTTTACTGCTGATTATCGTGACCGAGTCAATCATCTGTATACCAATGGCAAAATCTAAACGACGACGAAAGTCCCAGGCTTCGGGTGGAAGACCAAATGTTCTGCAAGTTTATAACTACACCGACGCTATAGCAAATTCCCCGACTAATTTTCGCACAATGGTGTTATATTCAACCAACGGTCTGGTCTATCTTCAAGTCAACAACAACATGAGACTGGGAACGAATCAAACCCTTGGTCCTAGAGGTACGCACGCGGCCAAAAGCAATAACGAATATTTATACAATATCTTATGTGGTGATCTGTTTTATCGATTTTCAGCAAAATTCATTGGTGAAACTATGTCTAACACGGTACTGAGGTTCAAAAACGAGGTCAGCAAACGATATCTTGCTATCAATCAAAAAGGAAGATTGTTGCTACAGGTAAAAAAAAACTCAGCGTAATTATGTCACAGCGAAGATGGTACATAAGAAATCAATGTACTTGATCTTCTTATAATTATGTCATAGTGACGATGGTACATAGAAAATCAATGTATTTGATCTTCTTATACATATGTCATAGTGAGGATAGTACATAAGAAATCAATGTACTTGATCTCTGTATACTTATGCCATAGTGAGGATGGTACATAAGAAATCAATGTACTTGATCTCCGTATACATATATCACAGTAACGATGGTACATAAGAAATCGATGTACTTGATCTCCGTATACTTATGTCACAGAAACGATGGTACATAAGAAATCGATGTACTCTACCTCCTTATACTTATGTCACAGTGAAGATGGTACATAAGAAATTAATGTACTTGATCCCTTAAACTTATATCGTAATGACGATGGTACACAAGCTAACAAATGTAATTTCTTAATTATAGCGCAAACCAAACGACGACTGCCTGTTTGTAGAGACATGGAAGCAGGGATTTCACACATACGCATCATTTAAATACTACAAGAAACAAAAATATGATACATTTATTGCTGTTAAAAATAGCGGCGATATAAAGTCGCCACTATTGACAGCAAGAGATCAAAAAGCCATCTTATTCATGAACAGCGTTTGATAGGATGCGTCAAATAACTACAAAAATAGAATTGTTTGAAAACAAATAACCATGGTACGAAAAATATTCAACCTCCAAAGTTTTTCTAAGATTGAGTTTCAGGCCATTTAAGATTCAAAGTGTAAAACCAAGTATTTAATAGATTGAAAGATGAAATTGATGCAGTCTGAAAGGCAAATCGAACAAAAACTTCCAACTTGATGTAGCCTGGAGATTAAAATTCTCCTACCATGGTCATTTTCACGACAAAAGCTGAATGGATACATTTGACCTTTGTTTTATAAATATACTATAGGTAAAAATAGCTTTCAAACATAAATAAACTTGCTATTTGGCTTTTGCTCGCCATTTCATGAATACACATCGTCAAGGAACATTCTTATTTCAAACTCCCACGGCATTTAACTATATTTATTACGTTAGCGCATTTAATGTAAATTATATATCGAATAGCGAAGCATATAAAATAATGACGAGTACTTAATGTATGAATGATTATTAAGTAAAATAATTGTATGGTTTAAGGAGATGTTGTAAGGTATTTGCCTTTTGAAGGTTTTATAATTTATTATACAAATAAAGACAGCAAGAGTTCAAACGTGTCGACTTGTTTATCTATTGAGCACATGAATACAGTTTTTACCCTATTTCAACAATCGTTTGAAAGCAATCGTGGAGTATCATCTTTAAATCGTGTTAGTTCACACGTTAAGAGGGTGAAACATTACATTTTCAACACTGAAGCGAGAGGGTATTGGATTGAGCGGTTCAAATCGTGACATCAGATTGTCTTAGATTCAAGAACTTCTCCCCAGATAGTATGTTAGATCTTTATCGATTAAACCTGTTCATACATTAAACACCAAGTAAAGTTCCTTGCCAAAGTTTTTTAAGCCAACATGGCAATCGAATTAAACATGCGCGTCTCAAACTGCTATATTTTCCCAATGTCATGGTCAAACCCCATTGTTTCATCGCTATGTTTGGCCCGCCTAATTTATTGTCGAATTAAACATGTGCATCTGAAACTGCCAAATTCTCCCAATGTCATGGTCAAACCCCATTGTTTCATCGCTATGTTTGGCCCGCCTAATTTATTGTTTCAAATATCAACAAAAGATGAACACAATAGTTGAAGCTGTGTGAACGAATGGAAAAGTAACAAAGAGACTCCTACGTTATGGACGCCTGTATAAATATCTTGTTTGTGGACTAATTCGCAAAAATATCAAATTTTCTTAAGAATTTGGGTCGCCTGAGATAATACAAAAACGCCTCGCTGAAGGATCGTTTGGTATAAAACCGACTTTATATTTATCTAACTACCTCGTTTCTTTTCTCATTTCTTTGTCAAAACAAAACCACCCGTCCAAAAATATCCACCACCTTGCTTGACATAAAATAACCTTGAAATTTCCGTTACAATCTTCTCTCGGATCAACAAATACGCAAAACTGAGACAAAAATAAAGTCAGCGGGTCTTATGAAAACCTAATTGGTCGCGTCCCAATGTCAACCAAAACCGAATGTAATTGGTCAGTGCTGGACGAACCCTTCTATCCCAATGAAACCTGATTGGTCAATAGCTCGCTACACACAGTTCTCTACAACAAGAAAACGCAACTTACATCTCAACAATTTACGAGCACAACGATCTTTCGGTAATCGCTAAACGAATTGAAAGGATTCACAATAACACTCGTGAAATACAAAAAATTCAATTTCCTGGGCCATCACGATGTCATGTTTCGGACATTACGAGCCTTCCAGGCTTCACTAACTAGTCACAAATATACACCCTATAACCCATCACAAAAAGAATGAATGATACTATTCAACATTCATGGCAACTTTCCAAAGACATATACAATACCAGTGCGAAAATATTTTATTGTAGTTATGACCTCCAAGCGTGGTACATGTAACGAAATCTGCTGAAACATCATAACGTAATTATTTATGACGTAAAACAGCAAATTATCTTGTATCATCAAGGTGCATCGACCTTGAACATTCATTTGTAGATCATTTCAACTCACAGTGCTATCAGCATGAGTTGGATACGTTACAGAGACACGATGCAAGCAGCGAAACACAAAAATATCATGCAAGGCAACGCCAGTTTAAACAAACAAACGGCGCATGTGTGCAGGCTGGGTGGAGACACTTTTTATGATAATTTTTTGACATGATAAAAGCTCTTTCAATTCTCGCTAGATTACGTGATTTGTCTTAGTATCCACAAAAACATTCAGGAAAGCTTTTCATTATATCTTTATAGCGAATAAACTCATCAATCCTTTATGGAGTTAAATTGAATGTAAGTTTTAGTACTAAATTCACTGTAGTCTATCGTCATTAGATCAACTACATCAAACCCTCAAAGTCGTAGCCTGGGAGACGTTATGAATTAAAATACTTTAAAAAGACTTCTTGATGTAACATAAAAGTTTTCTTAAAGACTTTTGACCATATACGTTCATTTACAAAACGAGTTCAAATAAAAAATGAAAGACTTAAAATGATTTCAAAGACAGCTATTCCAATCATGTGATAAATTTCTATTTTAAAGCATTGCATTCATACATGTCAGGTAAAGTGATTCCTCGGAGTTACGGCAAGCACGTGATGCAGTGGTGACGTCAGAAGGGGGGTTCAAAACCGGTGAATGCAATATACAAATATGAAGTACAAGTACAGTAGGCGCTTTTTTGACTTCCTCATACTAAATACGAGATAATTTTCATGTAAAATAAATACAGGCCTGGTAGCCAGATAGCTTACACAATGCATGGAGTTGAAATATTATAAATATTAACATACAATGCCAATGAAAATATTATGATCATGAAAGTGATGAAACATTTTTTGTCGAGACTTTTATAAAAGACGAACAAATAAGTAAATATCGATATGAGAATTTTAAACTTTTCGCTTAATAAGATAGATGAATAACATCGTATTTGGTAGCTTATCGATGTGAATATGTACAACATGTTGAATTTGACGGAGTGGCGTAGCCAGCACGCAAATTGGGTCCTGCTATGCACATTAGTCTGTGCTAACTAGCTGCAACAACAATACTTTTCTAAAGAAGTGAATGAAGATGTTGTGAAATTTACAAAGCAGAAGCAAAACTTGCTGGCAGGCTACGCTACTGATTTCTGGCAGGATTTTTTCTTAAGCCATTAAGGTTGAAACACCACTTAAAATAAGTATCAAACACCTAAAAATTCACGGTTTTACGACCAAAGTCGATTACACGCGACTTCGTTCATCGCAATATCGCCATGTGTTGACTGATCTTGACAAGTAAAAGAAATGGTAAAAATATTTAAAATGTGAAAATTATGGTCATCTCGATGAAAAATTAAGTGTATATAAATGAAATGAAGGTAAAGGACATATGGTACATTTCGGTACGAAATCTGCATGTGCGCAACCAGAAAAAACATCAACGACAAACAAAGCATGTGCACAACCAGAAAAAACATCAACGACAAGCAAAGCATGTGCACAACCAGAAAAAACATCAACGACAAGCAAAGCATGTGCACAACCAGAAAAAACATCAACGACAAGCAAAGTGTATTATGGTTAGGTGCTAAATGAAGCATGGTGGAGATAACTGCCTACATATCATTATTAAACAAGACAATTAAAATAGTAATATTTCGGTTTTATTTCAAAACCAAAATCATCAGACAGAATGATGATAGTTTTGCAATAAAATCGAAATATTACAGTTTTGATCGTCTTGTGTTATAACTATAAGTTAAGTTTACAAGATGTCCTTTTTTGGATTACGTTTTTTACTGGGTATTAAAGTTCACTATACTTATACGATGTATTTGATTATGTTTTACGCAGTGCTGTAGAACTAAATTTATCAGATGGGGGGGCTCTCTTGACGTTTTTGTAAATAGTGCCCTTTTAAAATTACCCATTTCAAAGGTAGAAGGGGGGCTCCTTCCCAAGCGCCTCCCCACCTTCTACAGCACTGGTTTCACGACTCCAAAAAAACACAAGTTATTTCTCGCAAATGAAAAATTAACGTGATGCAATAGCCGACTCGGTCACCAGATTTGAACTTTTTAAAAAATTTAAAGGCAGAATCGAATCGTTTGATAAAAAACTTAAAAACTATCAAATGATGATGAACTGATTTCAAATGCTGCAAAATGTAATGCATGAAAAACGAAGCTAGTTCAAAACATAACAGGCACAACACTATTTTTGCTATTTATTTTTCTTTTAATGGCATGATTGAAATTATAGTTCATCTATTTTTCGATAGTATTTTCTTTCATTTTTGCACTTTTCTCCAAAACTTGACAAGCTAAAAACGATAATTTTTTATCGAGGGTGTACTATTTTGGTCATCACAATGTACTTTGAACAGGGTATGGCAAACTAGTCCAGCAAACGTACAATTTTAACTAAACCATTGAAATTTAACAAAAATCTGCGTACTATTCAACACACATAAAATCGTAGGCAGAGAAAAGAAATTGATTGATTGATTGATTAAACTTTATTAAAAAGAGGGTAACACGTGACACAACAAGTGTGAAAAACTTGTGGCCCTAAATTGCATTTAAATGCGCTAAAAACTTACCAATAAACAAAAATAACACTTTTGAATCAATATTACCCGTTAAAATTCCACTAATGAAACTTTCAAATGATTGAACAATTAGGAAAGGCATTTAGAACACACGAGGGACGACAAGAGAAGATAGCAGGGGACATGATACACCCGGAGATTTTATTGAGCTATTCAACATCAACATATAGTACTACTTTACCAAGGTGCTCCGATGTTAATAACATAAGTAGGAAGTTACCAAAGAGCGCAAATTAAAACATTTCAAAAGCGGGAAACTTAAATTATTGTAAACAAAGCAATTAAAACGGCTGGCGTAAGTTTTAAGTAAATTTTCTTCAGCAAAGCAGTTTACAGTTCACCGTTTGCAAGATGTTTCTGGATGAAAATAACAACACTGCTAAAAGTAGATACCTTGTTCTAGCTGCGTGTGCGGAAGCTATGGTTTTGTGAAAAGTAAAATCTGACGGAATTGAAAAATACGAGCCGGTCGGTTAAACTCGCCGGCTGAATTAATGTACTAACGCTGAAGTTAAAAGTCAACAGAATTGAGAAATTTTTTCATGTATATCATTAGTATAGGTAATAGCATGCTTTCGAGTGCAATTTGAGAAAAACATGCACGAGTGACTTTTTCAAAGGCTATTAAAATTGCACGAGTTCGATAGAGGAGTCTATGAAAAACTCACGAGGGCTTGTTTTCCAAATTGCACGAGAAACCATGCTATTACCTCTACAAAGTGCGTTGACCATTGATTTGTTGATAATTTCATTTCACATGGTATCAGCACGATTTGTCTCTGCGTTACAGAGACACGATGCAAGGCAGTAGGCAGGAAAAACTCATGCCGCACAGCATTCAACTAACGGCACATGCGTGCAGGCTGGGTGAAACCGTTTTTTATGATAACTGTTTAACATTGCACCATGTAAGCAACACGTGACATTCATGCGTGGGTGATTTTATTATTGCATCTACAGCCAATAGAATACTATACTGGTTTTACTAAATACCCAACATCTGGGAAATATTCGAAAATGAAGACATGAAGTACAGGATTCGGGGCAAACTCTTATCGTAAAGCTGGTTTGTGATGGCAAAATTGAAAATAAATTCAGAAGTTGCATCTCAACGTAAAAAAAATCTAAACAGGCCGTTGATATAAAAGCACAGCTGAAGATCGAACACGCATCGTATTTTCAAAAACAAAATTGTTTTCCATTGCCATCGAAAATACACAACAATGTACTTAATTATAAACAAGAACAGACAGCGCACGCGCAATGACCGTCAAATCAGGTGAACGTACATAATCAATACTGAAAAAAAATACAACTTTTTTCCAACGGGCAAACGATAAAAAAATCAAACTGAATATTTATAGTTGAAGTGGCAAAAAAACGATTGCGTTGTCTTCTTGACGTAAGTACGGCTCTTGTCGCGTAGTACTTAAACTCTGCGATAAAGACATGAAATTCAATTCGCCAGTTCCTCGTAGCTATAGCATTAACATAATATACAAAATAACAAATAACACACTTATTGTGATAAACGGCAACGACCGGTTTGTAAAGTATCGCATCGATAATCCACGGAATAATTCGCAACATCAGCGGAATCTACTAATCACATTCTCGAGGACGTGAATAAATAATTTAATCAACGCGCCCAAGGTGAGAGCCGAGATTACAACGCATCCATCAATTCTACGTATTCAAGACTCGAAATGATCCGTTTGCCTCAGGTATGGAAACATTTCTTTCGTATTAAATTACGGATGTACACGAGAAATGATATGAAATATGATTGTTTACGTGTGGACAGTTAAAGATTTTCCTTGTGTGTTTCGAACTCAGCTGAGTCCAATACTGCTCCTTGTATAAATGTTTGATAAGTTAAGCCGAATATGGTTAAGTAGCAGCCATATATAAAAATAATCGTTAGTCCTATATTTCACGGCATGTGCAGAAAATAAAAATGAATCGTCGATAAGACCAGAAGACCCCCCAACTTCTTCCCTTCTACCACTCTTTACATGAATATGTTGTGGTACATAGAATTAGTAATATATGCAACGTTAATTTGCAGCCCACGTACATCAATAGCAGGTATTTATCGCAAATTAAACTTGTTGTGTTGCAATTAACGGCAATATTGGAGCATGAAACAAGTAAAAAATATATACACTACTAATTAAATACGCGAGGATTTCTTCACAGAAAATGAGGAAAAATTTAACCGACATGGAGTTAGCAAACTGTTTGTGTCCATACTTGATTTTCTTTTTCAAATAAAACAACTCGAAATGGTTATGCTAAATATATTTTTTCAACAGATTGAAAAATAAGTTCATTTCGAACATACATCATACGACTCGATAAACTTTGAGTGTTCAAGGCAATTACCTTCACGAATTTTCGTTCGACTTCCACTTCCTTCTCAAAGACATTTTTCACATTTTGAGGCTGGAAAGCTGTACTTTAACGAGCACGATAGCGGAACTCTATATAAAAAAGACAATTTTATTGTTGACTTCAAACGACTAAAAACAAGAGGAATGTAGAGACAGCACAGAATCGTAAAACATGTTCCTTTGAAGAAAACAAGATGTTACGAGTATGGGAATGGATTGACAAATTATGACAAGGAAACAAGGTCGAATATTTCAGAATGTCAAGTGTTTGCGCTACAAAAAGCAACCTTTTGACAGGAATAAAAATAAGAAACATCCAGAGCACTTGTTATTGAAAGCTTTTTGATCAAAAAGTTTCATAATTCTTTTTCGAAAATATTACGTGCATGATATTGTGAAAAACATTGAAAAACGTCTTTGACGAGGAACGTTTCGTGATTAAACGTGCATGGAGACCGGATTATTGTAGTTAACGACTGAATTACTCCTATGTGCAATCCTCCAGAATTAGCCAAAAAATTCATGACAATCTCTGAGAATCGATCATTTTTAAGGTTGGGAGTGTAAAACAACATGATATCCTGTCTTTTAATTTATATTTAGTTCTTGAATCGTGTAAACAACCTCTTCAGTATGCTGTAGGGTCAGCTTGTCTAAAGAATCTTTATCAAACATTTCAATTGATCTTAAAATGCTTACCATTATAGACATTCTTTTTATTCGTTTCGCTCAATATACTATCAAGTACTTCACTCAACAAAAAAACAGAACCATTGATTATGAAGAACGAAAAGCGATCAGAAACAACGAACGAGGATTGGAGGAGACAGGTCCATGAAATGCCGTGGCCTGTGAACGCATTTATCGTAGTACCCACAAATATTGTAAGAGGCAAACTTTATTGTAAAACTGGATATCATTTACAAATAAGAAGGAATGGCATGGTATCTGGAACGATGAACAGGAATAGTATATACAGTGAGTTCTCGCTCTAATACAGACATCTCTCTCTTATAAAATCATCTCCCTCAAACACAGACTTCTCTCTGTAATACAGACATTTCTCTCGAAGAAAGACATATCTCACTCTAATACAGATATCTCTCTCTAAAAACATCATTTTTCTCTTATATAGAAAGCTCTGTAATACAGACATCTCTCTCACAAACAGACAGTTCTCTAGCACAGACATCTCTCTCTGAAACAATCATCTCTCTGTAATACAGACATCTCTTTCTCTAATGCAGACATTTCTCCCTAATACAGTTATCTCTCTGAAATACGGTCATCTCTCTGTAATACAGACAGCTCCCTTGTACAGTCTTCTCTCTCTAACACAGACATCTCTCTATAATACAGATATATCTTTGTAATGTAGTCATTTCTCTGTAATACAGACATCTCTCTAATACAGACATCTCTCTAACACAGACATGTCTCTCTAATACAGATATATCTTTGTAATGTAGTCATCTCTCTGTAATACAGACATCTCTCTCTAATACAGATATATCTTTGTAATGTAGTCATCTCTCTGTAATACTGACATCTCTCTAATACAGACATCTCTCTAACACAGACATCTCTCTCTAATACAGATATATCTTTGTAATGTAGTCATCTCTCTGTAATACAGACATCTCTCTCTAATACAGTCGTCTTTCTCTAATACAGACATGTTTCTCTAATACAGACATGTTTCTCTAATAGATTCATCTCTCTCTGTAATACAAACATGTCTCTCTACAACAGAGATGCCTCGTCTTTAAAACAGGCATATTAATACAAATCATTTTATTAGCTTTATTCGAACTTCAATCTTTTGGCCGAGGCATCGTACGAATAAAAAGCATTGCGACAAATCTTTATCTTTTTATGAAGAGAAACGGCCTTTTTAAAGGAATAGTGAGTATCCGGCATCAAGCATTCATTATTTCTGCCTTTAAACTCGCAATACTTCCCATTTTCTTGCAGAAAGAACCAAGAAATCTCAAAACGTTATTTAGTGAGCATCATCGTCGCAACGCATACAACACATACGTATCTTTATCATATTACCACAAGAAAAGATACGACATGTACCTCGGAATAAAACAGAACGGAAAGATCAAGAGGGCCATGAAGACACACAAGCGGCAAAGAGCAACACAGTTTCTTGTTATTAAAATCTGACATCAAAAGCATATAAGCGTAGCATAGAATGTCGAGTTGAAATATGCCCACGCCTCAGCTTCGGCTCAAAAAGTTGTAAGAGAAGAAAATAAACAGTCTCTTTAGGCATGCACGAAGGAAAGACAAACTTGTCGTCATCTGTTTGAACTGTGATCTTGCACGAAACTAATCACGGCAGAGAAAAAGTTGAATATTCCAGCAGGAAGGAAACATTTTGCAAAAGCCTTAATGGACGTTTAGAAAGGATGAAATAATTTAACGTGAAATAAATAACATTTGTACAGGATGTGATGTATCATAATTTCTACTAGTGTATACGGGAATGCAATAAGGGTCCACCAGGATCCACAAGAATCTTACGATAGTCCACAGATATCCATTAGGATCCATGAGAGTCCACGTGAACTATGAGCAGCAAAGATTACACATGAGGACCAACGAAGAATGACTGAGCACATCACATTTTAGCGAGAGATTTGCCAGGGGGAAAAGGATTCGTGTTGAAAAAACAAATAAAATTCAAAGTATAGCCATATTGTAAGAAATTATAATTTATTAAAGTAACGTTTCGTTAAAATTATCAAGGTGTGAGTTTATATATATACAAAGATTTACATAATATTTATATATATAAAAATATATGTATAAAGTATAAAGTGAGTAACATAGATAGAATATGGATGGCAAATGAACACAAAACATAGTGGGAGACTTAAAAAAGGTCGGTGTGATGGAACTGCCTTCGACATTCCGTGTAGGTGTGAGTTTAGAGATCAGGAGGCTTTGATGGATCATGAAGTCTGGGATGTAGTGTGAAGAAGAAATGATAGTAAAGTCGTCAAAGGAAGCTGTGTGACCTGATGTGTTGATGTGGGATAAGGTGCTGGATGTGTTAGGGCATGTTTTTTTCTGTCAAAGGCGAAAGTCCCAAGTGCTCTGAGATTCTGTTGTGAAGATGGCGTGTGGTTTGACCGACATACAACCCGTTATAGCGTCGACACTTAAAGAGATAAACAACAACAGATCTCAAGAATTTGGTAATCTTGTGCTCAAATGGAAAGAAGAAGGAAATGCGAGTAGAAGGACGGAAAACAAAGCTAATGTTCATGTGAGGGAAGGCAGCGTTGAAAAGGCAGTTAAGTTGGGAGCGTATTTGAAGAGAGTGTGAGCCTGTGTAATGAAGGCAGAAATAGATGAGCTTCTTTATTAATGGTGATAATAGGTGGTTTGGGGGGAAAGACGTCAAGAAAGCAGCGAACAATTCTGTCAAAAGGTTGAGAGGGGAAACCATTGTAATTAAAGAGTTTCCTAACCATTTCTACCTGATTGTGAAGGTTATAATTTAACACATGTATCTACACTCCTAACATGTAAATCTTTGTATACATATAAACGCACACCTTGACCATTTTAATTACTAGTCTGCTGATGTCTTGTTTAAAGGCGAAAAGTTACTTTCAATAAATTATAGTTTCTTAGAAAATGGCTATACTTAAAATTTTAAGTTGGGTAATTTTTTTTTGACATCAAATTCTCACCTTTCAAAATTTTGGTTGAAAAACAGGCATAAAGATAGAAAGCCCGAGTATAAATCCGTATTTGTCAGTAGCATGTCAGTTAACGATGCCCTCAATTCGACTACAAAGATGTCTATAGTCTATACAGCCTCTATTAGCAAAGGTTGATCGAATACTTTTTCATACAGTGTTTATCAAACGAAACACTTTCCATGAATATAACTTCAATTCTCGTTTAAGGAATTTTTAAAATGACAAAGGACTTCCCGAAACAGTTCATGCCTCACTATTTAAGAGTTTTTTAAAGTCCGATGTACCCAACCAGTGACGTTCCATTGCACTATGAATAGCCGTAAAATTTCAAATATCCTGTAAGTTTAGCATGAAATGCACGGGAGGACTTTTATGCCTCACTATGTACCCGATGTACCCGACCAGTGACGTTCCATTGCCCTATGAATAGCCGTAAAATTTCAAATATCCTGTAAGTTTAGCATGAAATGCACGGGAGGACTTTTATGCCTCACTATGTACCCGATGTACCCGACCAGTGACGTTCCATTGCACTATGAATAACCGTAAAATTTCAAATATCCTGTAAGTTTAGCATGAAATGCACGGGAGGACTTTTATGCCTCACTACGTACCCGATGTACCCGACCAGTGACGTTCCATTGCACTATGAATAGCCGTAAAATTTCAAATATCCTGTAAGTTTAGCATGAAATGCACGGGAGGACTTTTATACCTCAACAGTTCACAACGAAGGTAACTCTGCCTGGACAATGTTGAATATCGGCTGACATGGTCATTCAAGATATCGTAAAGCAATGTTACGACTTTGTTTGTGTAAATCGAGCATTATAGATACATGCTAGACAATGAAAAGAGATATGCACAAAGTGTTTCAGAGAGTCTACAATCATTTGAAATTTCTTTTCAATAAAAACATAATTTGAACAGGAAAATTTTTTGCTTCTTAGCGCTTCAATATTTGTTTGTACCGAGCGCTTCAATAGACGTATAAATATTAAATTTCAATAAAGGTATAACCAATATTGCTCTTATCTAAATCAAAACTATCCATGGCATTGTTAAAAGACAATTGAACAGTGCAATTGATCCACTCTAATTCGCGACTGTAGCCATCATGACGACGAGTGAAAGGCGACCAATGCAATGATATTAACTTCAAAAAAATGACAGAAAAAATTTCGGGTCAATAAAACGAACTGGTGAAGACATTCCATGCGCCGCGAGTTTCTGACAGATTTTTATTGCACATCATAAATAATAAATGCAACGCACTTGCAGTATTTTGTAAACAACGATGTCAGCCAGTAAAAAGTTCGGAAAACTTTCATTTCAAACAAAACAAAGCACAAAATGGGTGATCCTGTTTTCTCCGCATATGAACAGCAAGCATCGCAAAGAAAACAAAACACTGCCATGAGCTTGCTAGAAACTTTACGTGAAAGATTAGCGAAAATTTGTCTTTAAATACTATTGTCCTTAGTAACATCGCACAAGCATTCAACGAATCCATAAAAGCGTGTTTATTTAAATATATATCTATATAATAGGATAAAAATGAGATTTGTCTAGAAACCTAAATAAGGTTGCCTTATCTGACATATAGACGAGAAATAATACACTATCAAGTGGCGATTCGAGCCTGTATAGACTCAACTTTATTTCTCCTGTCAGCCATTCATGTTTTATGTTATAGCACTTCACATAAAAGTATAAAAGAGAACTTAAGAGAGGGAGAGAGAACAAAGATAATGACGCGTCGTGGGAAGAAATAAATCGATAAAGACGTTTTGTGACTGCACTTATCGAAATCCACCACATCGAGCAAGACGTGTTTTAAAATCAGGAAATGTCTTCCAGTCGAATGCAGGAGTCGTATTCATATAATGTGAGTATTGCTATGTTGAATCCAATATACAAGACCTTTTCTTTGATAGGTATGTGCATGGAAATGGTAACAACTGAAAACGCTTAGTACAGCACTAATCAACTTAGTATCTTACTAATGGCTCTTCAATTCTGTGACATATCCTTTCCTTTAAGTTTACTGCTATGTAAGTTGGTTATGTAATACAGCTTTTTGGACTTCCAGAAGCACGCCACACGAGAGCGCGCATAGATTAAAGGGATGTAGAGCTAGCGTTGTCAAAAATGTTAAAGCCACAGTTCCATTTCCCAAATACGAGACATTAAGATAGTTGGGCGAAGTTAACAAAACAAATTGGAAAGACAAAGAGCACAGTAAGACACATTTTATAACCATAAAGGGTCTATACTCAAATGATTCATTTTCTTGTGGGCGTCAATGACTATACGTCGTTATGTTTGTAGTTAGGCAATTTTTACACGTTTCTAATAAACTCTTTGCCTCTATAAATGGTATGTGAAGGCAAGAATCATGCCTATTTAAAGAACTGCGAGAACAGTAACTAACACGGGGAGTGAGAAAAGCTTTAAATAATTCGACATGCAGCAGTATAGCTTCCATCAGTAAATGTCCCTCAACAAAGAAACATAAAACGTACAAATGCATTAAAAACAAGGATACGATGGCACTATCTCGAATTCACAGACTCTCATTGGATTTTTCGCCTCGGTTTCACTTAATCCACTTATAGTTTTGTCATATTTTGTTATACCACACACTTGGAGAAGGTGAACTATAGCCACAACATACGAGTGCATTGTTGCAATTAACAGCTATAAAAGTATCGCGCAGTTGATAGATGAGGTAAAAGGTTTAACACCAAGAGATTGACATTACAGACAAGAAAATCTCCCTAGAAAAATATGATTTTGATGTCCAGAGAGGTTTTTTGGACGTCGAATTCAAGTTTAATAAAATTAAATATTCGACTTAACTATACGGAACGGATTAATACCATGCGCTTGGAATATCGGTGAAACGTATCGAGATCTTAAATGTATCAGCCTAAATCATTTAGAGCAAGAAATCTCATGTCGATATGTGTGAATAAGATTTGGATGAGAGCAAATGAGATAGAAATATGGGGGCATTTCTTGGGAAAATACAAAGCTCGCATGATAAACTTAAAATAACAAACCAAACACTTTGCAAAAACGAAACCAAGTACCCAAAAAACAACATAGTTTTCATATTGAAGTTGAAAGTTGCAAATTTATCCCCGTAAACACATGCCTCAATGGTCAATAAGCACATTATATTTCTCGCGCAGTCGACTTTGTCAAAGCCTTTATTTTTATTTTCAAATTAAGAGAACAAACAGTGGTAGATTTGATATAACTACAATTAATGTTCGAAAAAGGAACCGCGCACTTAAAATAGTGTCAAATTCGCCATGAAGGTTCATTAAAAAATCACGCTTCATGAGTGCATGTGGAATTCCAGTTGCGCAAGGTATGTGTTTATCAAGCTAAGCTCAAACCTAAGCTGTTCAGACAGGTGCTGATTGTTGTTATTGTCTTGAAATTTCAAATGGGCTGGAGGAAAAAATCTATAGAACAGCAATGAGCTTTGATTTCACTTTTTAAGTTTTTGTTGATAGTAAAATAAACAATTTATGGTCTGTAGTTTTCTCGCAATCAACATTTATAACAGCTGAAAATTTTAGATAACACAAGTAGGTTTGTAGCACATACAAAAACATCTTCAAAAGGACAGACCCCACTAATTCTCTAGCAGGAATATCACAACACTTCCAGAAGCAGACATGCATGCATATATGAATGTTGAAAAAAGCCCATTACATCTTCAGAAGATCTTTTAAGACAGTAAAAATTTTGTGCCATAGACAGATCAAGTATAAACCTTTTGTCCTTTCAGACCATCGTATTCGTTGTGCTCTGCTTGACACTACAAAACGTTCAAGGATGTCAGTTGTCGGCCACAAGCCCTATCTCTAATACCACGGTCAATCCCTCAGTCCTGGACAAGCAATACATACTAAAACTGAGCAAGATTGTCAATCAGAAATTCAAAGCAACTTTACTTCAAGAATGCAACGCGACCAAAGAAATGGTGTTGGACGAAATGATAAGAAGATACAACATGGTGTTGAAAAGGATGAACAATAATACAGTAAGACGTGTAACTCGAATACGTCTTGGAGATTTGGTGTGTGAAAGAAACATCCGGGGCTCATTTACCACGTCAACAAACCAACGTAAAAAACAAGTCTTCTTCAGAAATGGACTTCTACTGTCTATTGGCCACGACGGAAAGTTTTCCGGAAAAAGTTTAACGTCAGCAAATAAAAACAGCAGTAAGTAATATGTTCTGTTCAATACTGATGACGTTCAACAGGGAGGAAGCGCTTATGTTCAGGAAGGAGTTATATGTTGTAGGGATTAAGGTGGTCATTAAGGGATAGGGGATCTTAAGGAGGATAAAGGTTGTTCGGGAGAGGCTGATGATATCCAGGAGGTAGTGATGATGTTCAGAAGAGAGTGAAAATATTGTGTTTTTGGAGGGATAGAAGATGTTCAAGAGGGATATTTAACATTCAGGAGAGATAGAGCATGTACAGGAGTGAACGATGATGTTCAGGAGAGAGCAATCTTAGCAGAGAGATTGATGTTTAGAATGGAAAAGTGATGCTCTAGACAGTTCTGGACAGAGGACGTCATACAGTTTTCTACTTTCTGACATTCTGATCTGTAGTTTTTACATACAAACACACTATCGTAACATCATTGTTTATATAAATTGCAATCATTTAGCAATATTTTACATCAAGCCAACTGCAACCCAAGTTGTTATGATCCAATCAGTATCAACCAAGAAGTTTGTCACAATGAACCGACACGGTCATATTTCAGCCAAAGTAAGTCATACAAGAATCTATCAGAGTGTTATGTTATTTGGTTTTCTGAAGTAGCTGTGTTTGTTTTAGTCAAAGCCAGACCTAGAAGCATTGTTCTTCATGAAATCAGAAGAAAATCGTTTCCATACACTTGCTTCCTTTAAGTATTACCTCTCCTGTCCATACGACATGTTTCTTGCAATAAGAAATAACGGAAATATGAAGTCACCTTTCCACAGTCTTCCCGGACAAGACTCTACACAGCTATTGTTCATTCCTTTTAAACAGTGAGACAGGAAAATATTCAACTGAAGTTTTATATCACTGTGGGGAAAATATCATTCCATGCTATAGCCATAACATGAACATTCACCTTGACGTGGATTGCTTATCATTTTTTCATTTTGCGCATGACAAGAAACGAGCACTAATCTTATACTTCAAAAAATAACATTGGTTTGTCTTTCTTAGTAGAACGTACACTTGTTTGCAATTGCATAGGCTTATATTCAAATTCAATAGCAGCTAGCTTTAACCATGCAAGACTGGGTCTATAAAATTTACAGTCTTGCAGACGGACCAGAGGCACAAGACAACGAAATTTGAGTTTTTGCCGAGTCGCGATTAAAAATATAACAGAATAATTCAGCTATTGATTCAATTTCCATCTAACCTTTAGTTTAAGCAACTCAATATTTTCCTAACGGTTTAAAGAGTAATAAAACAAACACCATCTTGTCTAATTTAACATATGTAACTTGAATCGTTGTTGACACTTACATGATTTGAAATTCCCTTGAGTCGATAATAAAAACAATTTTCACAGATTGGACGTTGACAGTGATCCATTGCAGATTGTATTTATCACCATAAAGGACAAAATTAACAAATATAAGTGTTGAAACTAATGAAATATATCACAATTTGAACAAGTACATTTACAGTTGTTTGAAAAATACTGAAACGCTTTCACTCATGTTGGAGCCTGCAATATGTTGCATGTAAACATAGAGAGGTACTTCATGCTGCATTAAATACAAACGACTCTTGTAAGTGTACTATTTTATATCACATTTTTAAAAGTAAAACCAACTGAAAATGGTCGAAATTTTATTATTATTCCTATTTTATGTAATGTACAAAATATACTATGTTTTTTGGCGCCAACCAAATTATGATATTTTACTGTTCTTGTTAACGGTTACAATGTACAATCTTCAATAAAAACTCAACTTTCCTTATACCATGAACGAGACAGTGGAATCGGACATACAAGGATCTAGTTCTGACATTCTTTGTGCCACCATTCAGCAGTTCATACTACTCATATCACCTGGAAATCTGAAATAGGACATCACTCAAATGCAATTGTATCTCGGCATCTAACGAACGGGACATGCTTAAGTCTAAGATGCGTTCTTGAAACGGTATTAAATGACGACTTGGCGTCCGTTTTGCTATACAGGAAAGTAGACTTGCTGCTCGCCTCAACATACCCATACTGACGCGTAAATCATTATCCCTAAACATCCCCGCGTGTAGGCCCCGCACTGCCATAGATTCCACGCGATCACGGGAATCCTCCAGATATCCGACGAGAACTGTAAAAAGATTTCGTTCGGAACTCATGCTAAAACTTTCCTCGTTCGTGTGAGTGAAACTTGACAGCAAAACTAACGAGAATTCTCGCGTCACCTCGTTTGTCTTATCCGAGAAAAGTTTTACCAAATACTCGTACGCTTTCGCAAGCCGGACTTTGTCTGAGGAGTTGAACAAAAAATCAACATTTCCCGAAAGGACACTCATCTTGGCTAAAGTCTCCAACACAAGTTGCTTTGGTGTGAGAATCACCGAGACGCTGGTGGATCGCAAAGGTTCATCTGCAACGGCCGAATTGCTCACAAGCCAATGTAATAAGCCATCTAACAATAACCGGCTAACCTGTGCTGTAATGTGAGAAAAGTCTAAGTACCCGGATATGTTTGCCACTGTAACAAGTGTGTTCTCGCGTAAAGTATCAAGGCAATCTTGCCACCAGCATTCCGTATCGATGTACTCGCCATCAGATGAATGTGGTTGCGATTTCGATCGTCTGTTGTGATAAAGTAATAGTAATTTAGCGAGTATCAACAGTAGAGATGGATTTCTCGCCATTTCAACATCGTTACCAGGTACGAAAGATAAATTTCGCACTACGTTCGACACGCAATTACACGTCTTGATAGCAGAATCCTGTGACAGAGTAAGACTACTCAGAGGAAACTCTTGCTTTAGTTCATACTCATTATTCGAAGGAACACTGGTTTTAACATCGTCAATAGTCCTTGTCTCGTCATCGGTTTTCACAGAAGAAAGAGTTGTAGATTCTGCTGAATCCTGGCTGATCGTCTCGATGTCCAAATCTAACTCCGTTTTGAGTCTTTTTATTAATAAAGACGAAGGGTCTTCGTGCTTCTTTTCAACCTCCTCCGTCGTTGAATCCTCTTGCTTTTCCTCGCTATCTGTTTGACGTTCTCCATTTTCAACGACAGAGTTTGAAACGCATTTATAATCGTCAACACTAAGTGTGCTGTGTTCATCTTGGCATTTATCGTGGAGCTGTGAATTTTCACTCGATTCTTGTTTAAGATCGACTGCAGAAGCCACGGGGCTTTTTGTCTTTTCAATATCATTCACTTCATCATGTGTCGGCAAGCTATTGCACTTCGTGTCTTTTTCTATTTCAATACTCAAACAACTATCTGCATCCATCCCACAATGCCCTGAAGCATCACCGTCTTCATCGACAAGCTCATGGCATCCACAACAACCTATATCTTCGCTTTCCGAAGTTTCATCTGCTTCCAAGTGTTCGCAATCACACTCCCCACACCCAACATGCCCCTCGACATACTCGCGTTCATAAAAGCTAGGGTTCGTTTCAAAATGAGTATGAATATGAACAGTTGTATCGCCACCACCCGCAATCCAGTCTTTATACCCGCCTGTAAATCCATGATCCTCAATATCGGGCAAACATCCGGTGACAATGAGAGATGAAAAACTCTCTCTCGCTCTACTATCAAAACGCATATCATCGAGCAATTCGTTCAAGCTTTCGTTACTCTCATCGTAAATCGAACCTTCAGGTAAGCCAACAGATATCTCGTCCTCTCGAAGAATGCCAAAAACATTGATCAAATTACGACGAAAGTGCTCAACAACCGTATCAAGAAATCCCGGAAGATGAGACAGTTTAAAGAACGATGCAGTCGTATCATCACTAAGCAAAACAGTGAGCGTGTCTAGTGCCCATGCCGTCTCGGTCAGTAGACCAGATTTCAGGGACATCATAATCCGCCATGCTTCCACAGGACCTTTTGATTAGAAAGAAAATAATCAATGATAGAATTATCAAATTCGCTAAACATTAAACGTCCTAAACGAGCAAAGAACCAGCCAAAAACTTTGATTGATGGAAAAAGTCGACGAAGATATAAAAACGAAATATGAATCACCTTTATGCATACATCTAACCTACTTAAAATGCAAAAGGGTCGTTCCATAAGAATAGCCTAAAATGATGCGTGGCAGCAACAAATGCCGGTAAGTATTTACCTAATACGAATTGATTTCTCTCGAATGGATTGAAGCAAACAAAAGCGATGAACAGAAATTATTCGCTCTGTAGATTTGTCGTTCATACAGCGTATTGTACTTTATTGTACTTCAAACTACTTAAAAAAAACCTTGATCATATTGGTAGATGCTGCTCCTTAATTTGGACTTATCACAATACCGGGAACGAAGTCAACAACCAATAAGATCTCTTCATTGAAATTTTCTGTGTAAAGCAGAATTATTTTGCATGTGATTACCGTAATGGCCGACAGTAAGTTGCCTTTACAAATGACGAGCTGGCTACATCAGTAATCAATTAAAATCGTCGAACGTCTAAACAGTGTACTGCAGCAAAACAACTGAGCAAATGCGCGAGGATTTTATTCAACAAACAGACAACCCTTCACTAGTGAACATGGTGTTGTGAACACGGACCTGTTTATGTTTCTCGCGATAAGTTTCTATGCTGCAAAGTTTTAAAAACATTAATATTTCATACCTATATCCCTGGCGGTTAGCCGTCGCTTCTTCTTGACAATCATCTGCGTGGCCTCCACACATCCAGATGGAAACAGTTCATCTTCTTTCTTCGCCAGGCCCGAGCTTGAACCAGTTTTCATCGCCTGGAGCTGTAAATTCGTAGCAGCACTCTGGGGGGTGGGGGAAGGTCTTTCCTGTTTCGTATGAGGGTACGGAGGTGGAGGGCGGGCTTGCTTCAAAACAGGAGAGTGAGAATTATAAAACGGAGTGGATGTACCAGCTGATGCTGCCGCTGACTCGGGGTAACGTGGACCCCACGATGCCTGCACACGTGATCTAGGTGAACCCATCTAAAACACATACAGAAGAAATAGTTAGTCCTCTTCATTTGAAAGGTAGTAGCTGCTCTACTTTCTAACTGCAAACCACGTTTACGGGTCAAGTGTGGGAACCGCTCTTGCGATAAATTATAATCAAGCTATCACAATAGCTTGATAAAGGTATGGAACATCAACAGAAAACAACAAAATAGCATCAGAAATCACAGTTGAAAAATACAAATGAATACCTACGTATTTACATATTTCGGTGAACAGAAAATAAACAAACCGTTCCGTGCATAGAATTCCTTTTGTCCATTTGAAGGCTAGACATCGATGTACTTTGCTGCTGTTGATACAAAAACTCGGGTGGGTGCTGTTGACCTTGCTGTTGATAATTTGCAAACATGGCTTGAGATTGCGTATCTTGTTGTAATTGTTTATTTATTGCTGCGGCACGATTGAACTGCCCAAGCATGGCGTCGGGGGGTACAACGTTGCGAGGGAAGTTTGGATAACGGGACGGGGGTACCATACCATTATGATACGCTGACATTTGAGATGCGGGACCTTGTACGTTGGAGTATTGGTGATTGGAATAAGCAGAATGCCCGGATGGATAACCAGGAATCCTAGGCGTTCCTTGTGGATAACCAGTATATCCGGCAGATGACTGAGGATAACCAGGGCTATTTCTGTAACTAGGATGCTGAATAGGTGGTGTAGTAGGGTATCCTTGAGAACTCGGAGTAGCGTTAGGGAATGTTTGTTGTTGCATAATTGGCGTTGCTGTTTGGTTGTAAGGAAGTACTTTTGAATTGCTTTGAAATAAATTCTTATACGTCATAGTTGAAAGATCAATATTTCGAGGCTCCGAATTTGATGATAAAGTAGTGATGGCAGACGGTAAATGAGAGTTGTTGGCAACAGGATCGGATCTAACTCTGCCGAACTTATCTTCATACGGCAATAGATAATGAATATAATGTGCTTTTAAAGTCTGAAGATGTTCGTTGGTGAGGTTAGTCGAAGATTTAGTTAATTCATAAGCCACATCGATCCAAACATTTTTCCTCGACACCTGATAAATGGAAATCATTATAAAACAGCATTGTAGAAGCATAGAAAAACCTCATCAGCTTTGCACACATCTAAAGTATTTATTTTCAAATCTGGAATGACCGACCACTTTAATGGGGGAAAAAACCCCATCGGGTCAGCAGCTTTATTTGCAAGCAGCATGTGCTCTAGCATGAAATGGGACGTGTATATGTATGTATGGTCAAAACAAACTAACCTCCTGCATTCCCCCGCGCCTTGACACGATCATATAAAGTTTAAATAAATCTAAAACGGAGCCATTGAAGTTCGGTAGTTGATTCAACGATTTATCTAAAAAAAATTCTCGCGTTACAAGACAACAAATTTACGGGTTTTACCATGGGCGGCCCAGGAATCTGTTTAAGTTTTTTTATTCAATCGATTGATGTAAATAGTATATAAATTATTTGATTCATGTGCAATGTTTGACACGCACGCGATCTCGCGGGACTTCCACGTTTGTATGGTTTCATAAAGGTCGTATATTTTAACAGATTCCTGGGCCGCCTATGGTTTTACAAGTAGACAAATTAAGAGTGTAGCGACTCTCGTTTAGACATCCACATGCTTAAACACATAAACGCATTTCTATTTCATTATGAATTAAGAAAGAAAGCCTACCATCTTGTTCCATCATCCACACTAACTTATCCAAAAAATCTTTCCGACTTGGATCGTCAGAAATTTTATACAACTTCCCCAACTAAACAAAAAAATAATAAACTTACTGTAAAGACACTTTTTTTGTAAAGCAAAAATACACAGGAGTCAAACTTACACTGCTATCATTCAAGGTTGCTGAGATCATGTCAAGATCAAAATCCGTGCTCATTGAAGGCGAAAAAGGCAGCGGTAGCGTAGACGAGATCATGTTCGCTGACGGACCGTGTTTACGCTCTACTCTCCCTGTAAACAAGGATGCAAATTTTTTAAAATAATCGAGGACTGTCGCCTTGCTTTTTGTTTTCGCGCGTTGGCATCGTCAGTAAAAAATTAGAGTGCTTTGAATTAAAGTTTCATCATTTACTCAACATCGGAGTTTTCATCATACGATACCATCTGGTGAAATAACAGATAACCAAACATAGACGGATTTTTGCATTTTTTACTCGGGTAAACTAATAAAAATGTGTCATAATACGTAACCAAACCAAAGGAAAACTAAGAAACAAACTAACAAAGTACCCCAAGTAATCTACATATTGGAAAGAAACACTCTCATATTCTACTGGAGTTATCATGCTAAGCCAGTAAGTAGGCAAGAACGTTGTACAAAGCCGCGAATTTGCTTAGTGGTGCAGGAACTGATATTTCAAAAGGATGGAATAGAGCCAACTACATCGTTAAAAAATCCGTCTTTGTAATAAAAACGAAATATGTATGTACTTGAAAATACTCACGTTTCTTCTTTCTAGAAGATTCTCTTAGCATATTATCTGACATAAGCGGGAGATTTGATACTGGTTGTATCATTGCCTCAACATCAGAACTTGATAATTGATGAACTGAAGGCGATGGGACTCGTCCTGTAATGACAATGATATGTACATACAACTCACAATCAACTGATAAAATAAATGCCAAATTAATTGTAACTGAAATATCGTAAAATTTGTGTACCGCTAAAATCGTCAATCATTTTTTACATTTTCGCTAAACTAGGAAAATATTTACTTTTTTTTCACAGAAAATTATTATATCACGATAAAGAGAGATAGAAGGTTTTTGAAGAGGAAAAATATTTTAATCGTATCAGAAAACAAGCTTCAACAACCTTGCGTTGCAATATTAAAGCATGCGTACTTTTCTTCGGTAATGTATGACAAAAAAATTTTATGAATAAATTTTCACAATGAACTTCTGTTAGCATGTAACCTGTTTCAAAATCCATGGGCAGATTAAGTTGAGTTGAATGCTCATTTGGATGCTGTGGAGTATTTCTTGTTAGTGACATAACGGGGCTTGGCGTCGCTCGTATGTCGTTGATTCCAGACCCTCCCGACTCCGATTTATGATCGCTGATAATGGATGTTGAAGGACTTCGCGGGTCTTTAGAATGAAGGCTGGCTGGTCTTGATGGAACAGCTGGTACACTAGGTGGTCGAGAACTCACATTGTGAGAGTCTGGATTGGCAGTGTTTACAGCTGCCAGTACGGCTGCTGCAGCAGCCACGGCAGCCGCATTTTGATTATTTCCTGGTGATGTCACGGCTAAAAAAATCGATAGATATAAACAAGATGCGGTCCTTGGCACAAATCAAATGAAACTTGTAGAACTTTCGTAAACCTTCTTCCTGTTGTCTGAATGCAGGTTTTTTGGGCATGCCAATGGTGACATTAGGAGAAAGCGTGCCCCTCATGGAATGAGACGGCTGATAACCAGGTTTCCCAGACATCTGTGGTGGCTGTGGGCCACCTGGATAGTTTGCATTAGGAAACGTCACTTGCCTCTCATCAACCATATTCTAGGATCGAATAAACAATTACAGTTTACACAGCAGATTCAAGACAAAAACATTTCCAAAATTTACTACTGAACTCACAGACATCATTGCAGAAGGACCATTTGTCTTGGGGCCAGCACTAAATTGTTGATGGTACACAGAGTCGGGGACCTTTTGAATGACAGAATGGCCAAAAGGACTTGACGAGTTTCTTTGATTGTTAGTAAGATAGTTAGAAGGAGCACGAGACACCTGTGCTTGATGATACTGTAAATAAAACACAGGAGGAGTTTATACAAGCACATTCCCAAAAAAACCTGTCATGCAACAAGTTTTACTACAATACATTATATTTCCCAAATGTGTTGCAAAGGAAAATTACAAATCATAGCATAGCTCATCTACAAACTTTTTTCATGTAGCATTAACTTGTTAGAGTAACTTACATTCGCAACTCTCAGCGCATCTTGTTGATAGAACTCTGGCGCATTGAAGTTGCCTGAAGTAACATTTCGACCTGGAAAAGCTTGTTCGCGGCCATGAACAAACATCTCATTAGCCATGTATGCCGCTGACATAGGAAAAGAGTTTCTGGGACTTCCGGCAGAGCCTGGACTGGGAAAGTTCTGATCATGAGGTATAGTTTGAGTATAGTTAGGATCATGTCGGCTCTGAATGAAATATAATAAAATTATACATAACATCAATAACTAAAACACAAATCCAAAGGGCAAGTAGTGCTTTCGAGCAAGTGACAACAATATATCATTTTCATATAAGTACTGTTACATGTTTGTAAATGTCAATCGTCCAGGTTGGTATAGTCCTGAGAAGGACTGTTTTTGTTGTTGTTGACTGACATTTCGACAACCTTAGCGGTAGTCATCTTCAGAATCAAACATTTGACTCTGAAGATGACTACCGCTAAGGCTGACGAAACATCAGTCAACAACAACAAAAACAGTCCTTCTCAGGACTATACCAACCTGGACGATTGACATTTACAAACATGTAACGATACTCCCGGGTTCAAACCATTTACTTTATAAGTACTGTTAATAACAAAATGTTGAAATATTGTGTTTAATATTTAACAGTGCCCTTATAGCCATTTTCCTCCAGAACATTGTACTTCACGTCATTGTTAAATCATTTTTTAGGTACAATTAAAACATACTTTGGCTGTAACAACAGTGAATATTTCACTAATTAGGTATTGAATAATAAATAGTGAAATAAATGTTAAAATTTGAAAATAACATCACAAAAAACAGAGCATTAGTCGGCACTTTTTTAGGCAACAAAAATTGCACATTGAACATTTTTGTCACTATGGCATAGGTAGTGGAACAGACCAAGGCTTCTCTCCCTCTCCTTAGGGCTTTGTCACTATGATGTAGGTTAAGGAACAGACAAATACCCTCCACAGGACTTAAAAATAGGCATTGGGACATGAGTTTGTAGATGAGCCTCATGTAATGTAACAAATGGCCAAGATATTTTTGCCATTTGCTTCACTTATTTTTACCTTTATGACACATGTTTAAAAAACTGTGCTTCAACATGATACAACCATTCAAAATCACCAAGTTTCACTTTCCACATTCCTGAATTATTTATTATTTCCAGCACAGCTATTTCTAGTCATATTTTTTAATGTGGCAAGCACGAAATTTGTTTTGACCAATAAATTTAATATCCCTTGATTGGAGTTGTATTTGTCAACATTAATAACATTGTCAGCTAATTTTTGTGGAAATCAGTCTGTGTTGTGGTACATGCACATAACATGGGGCATTTTAGTCATGAACATGTATTTTGCCTTCAATGGTCCCTAGTATTCATCTTGTTTGGGGAATATTGGCAGTAATTCAACCGATTGTTGAAGTGAATGTCTGATCACGCATCTTGTTCAACATGGATTCAACCAATATTGAGACAGAAATGTTGAGAGCCTTTGTTTGCACTAAGTACACTTCAAACTTTTAATAGAAAGGAACTGAGTTGGTCATAGTTTACAGTCATTTTTAGGAAACTGTACTTGTGTGCTTCACAAAGACAACGCACAAAAAAAATTAAAAATTGATGAATACATATGTAAGCTTTAATGAATTTCAATAACAGGCTTTGTAAACAAAGCCTCTGACTGGCTACTAAAAAGGAACTCATATATAAAACCTGTTTTCAAATTCATTAAGAACTTTAAAACTTGGCAGTACACAAGTAAAATTTCGCCACAAAGTTCAAAATACTTTGAGAAAAAGTTTCATTGGAGAACTGCTGTAACAAAGCAAATTCAATAAAAAAACAAACACTTCCTCACCACTATCCCAGGTTTCTGTAATGAATGCATTCGATTGTTCTGGTTGACATGGTCAGTGAGCCAAGGTGCACTACTGTTAGCAATGTTTCTTTGCTGTTGGACAAAGGTTGAAGGATCCATGTTTTTGTTTATTCCAAACATACTGGGGGGTCTAAATTTCCTAACCATAGCAAGTTGATATGGATCACCAGTATTTGGTTCGAACACCCCAGCGGGTGTTGCAGAAGCCATTTGAGGATATTTCATCGTGGGAATGCCTTCGATGTTTTCCTGAAATTGTCTAGATTGTCCAGGGTAATTATTCATACCATGATCAAAATTTGTTTGAGGGAAAGGAACGACGGTTTGTGAACCCATGGTAGCCCCAGCGATCATATTTTGAGTTGATGGTAAATTTTGAAAATTCATCGACGCATTGTTATTGATTCCCATGTTGTAATACTCCATCGGTATATTCGAGCCGTATTCACCAAGATTTGACTTTCTGTGTACATTCATGTTGGTTGCCATTTCCTCGACAAGTTAAGAGTTCACAAGGTGTTCTAATATATTTAGTTTCCTTTATCATACGTGTCTTCTTTCGACGATTTCAGCTGAATATGTTCACTGCATAACACTTCCACATGTTATTATTAGTATTGAACAGCTTTCACAATAATAACAATGCATTTTGCTCCTTGTGCGCTAAATATCATAGAATTTCAACGAACTGCCGTAAAAATATAATATCAACAAGATCCAAAAACGGGTTTGATCGTACATCATAAACAAATGGCCTTCTCGGCCATTCGTAAATAAAATGTGCTCACAAGAATGCTCCAATAAAATTACGAATTTGTGTACAAAAAGCCACGAAATCAAAAGAAAAACAAGCCAAATAAACAGAATAATCTTCTGAGACTACGTCAAACCACCCCGCTGGAGGTATAATATAGAAAAACTGCCAATATTGCAACGGTTTTCTGTAATCTTTTCGTAAATTTCGGCCTTTTCTTTCTTGTATCACTTGACACAGTGGCCGCGCTCGTTCTACGTGACGTCATTGAATACATGCGTGCGCATAGCCTTCAATTGGGAAACGCTAGCCGCACCATATCGCAGATTCAGTCACTGCGTTTCCATTTTCATAAGATAAACTTCGCAATAGAAAAAAATTCTTCTTGTACATTAAAGTATCTTTGTGTCCTATCAGATTCACCTGTGTATTACACTGCATCCGAAAACCCCAAATAAAAATGAAAGGTATTACAAATTATCCCTACCATTATGTCTTCGTCTACGCTCTTCGAATACCAACTAGGTTTATCACCATTAGGCTTGTGAGATTTCATATCATATAAAAATTATGTATATTTTTTACCACTACGCTGATGTAAAAAATTGTTCTGGTAACGTAGTTTGAGAAAAGAAAATCCACATTCCATAGGAACGTTGAGTTGGGTAAAAAATTGTTGCTCTAGGAAGTAAAGTACAAATAAATATAAACAGCCACGGCTAAGTGTCTCAAATTAGGAAAGATTGTTATATGAAGATCATATCTTCATTTAATGTCTCAAATTATCTTAAAAATTATCCGGGTCTATTGATTAAATATGTAAAACTATTTCAGTTTTTACAGCAAATGGAGTTGACGCACGTTTCCCACTTTGTCATGAATGGTTGTGAAGGAGAATATGATTCACTAACGCTTGTATTGCAAAAGCTCAATAAACTAAGCGAGGGGCTTCAAAATCACCTCAAAACTATTCCAGAAGATGGCATATTCACTCCGCTGATCTGAAAAGCAAATTTCTTGCCATCAATGGAGAAGTTATAAGCTTGTCATTGATTAGCGAGAGCGCAACTTCTGCATGTGTCGTACACATTGAGTGAAAGCGAATGAGTGTGCTCTTAGAATACAAGCGCTAGTGTTGTAGTTTATTTTATACTAAGTTATTACGAATTCAATAAAAAAAATTATCTTAACAAGTAAACATGACAAAATATGGCTGATTGGAAATTTGGCTCCATCAAAAAAAAAGGTTTTTTTAAGATTAACAGGAGTTAAGATGGATATGATTGTTCAGCCGACAAAAATGGTATCGTTGATTAACGTCTGTATAAGGATGTCTTAACTTTCCAGACGTTTAAAGCACAAAACAATGATCTATTTTCGTCGTAATATTTGTTATTTTACGAGCTGTAGAACTTTCTCCACTTACGTTGATAAACGATTTCGATGAGTTGCCGTTAGCCTCAATACGTTCAGAGCAAATTCAATTTCCGTGTTTTTACGATTATGTGTTATTTTATGATGCCTGATGCGAATATTTCTGAGCTGGAGGTCTATATTGATCTTTACCATCTATCCAAACGTAATTATTCCCTATTTAAAGATTTCCATGTGTCACAGTATATTGCACAGATTTTTGCCTTACATGTTCGTTTTACTTCGAACTACCCGACTGCGTTCGAGAAGGCACAGCGCTCAAACCTTTCACAACTACGTATCATTAAGCTGTACTTTGAAAAATGACAGTACTTTGAAGATGGAAAATGGGATGGTGATGCAAAATAAATCACTGTAAGGGGAGATATGCACCTTGCACTTAAAATTGTCTACAGCGGTCAAAATGGATGGAATGTTTTAGTGATTGCGTAGGCTTGACGTCAAATGTACAAAAACAAAACAAAAAACTATGTTAAACAAGACATTAGAAAGTTGAACAAGTTTATAACAAATTATTATACAGAACAGTTTGAAACCTAACTTCAAATTACGAATGTTCAAACAAGCATACCACTCTGATAAACTTATTCCTACAACAGATATTACTTGTCCCAAACTAAATAGCGAAGCCCGCACGATGATTTCCGAACATTCTAACGTATTTGTTCTCATTACCTATCATTAGCAAGTTTAAATTGCAATACTGTGAACATTTTGCTGAATTAAAAATCAATTAAATAACAGCGGAGGTTAAGCTATCCTACACATAGCTATTGATGTCCTGTTCATAATTGAAATTACCTAATGATTTGGTGGTGAAAGCCGACCGAATTCCGAATGCTTGTTCCATATTCCGACATTTCCGCGCAAATTATGCTAATGAGCTGTGAACAGGTTGCAAACGTTGGCCACAAAAATATACACAAAACTATTCAGAACGTTTTGACATTGCCGCTGGATTTTATGGACGTCTTTAAGGAAGGCAACATATATACACGTTAGCCAGATGAAATTACTTGATTGTAGTCAAATGTTCTGGAAAAAGACAAACACCTTTTCAATTCCATAATCAAGGGCGGCATATTTAAGGTTTCTCATTGGTAAATCTTTATCAGCATGTAACAGTCACCATCTGCCAGTCATTCATAACACGAGCCAAAGTTAACTTTACAAGAACATAATTATCATCATAAAAAGCGTAGCCATTACTGGGAATGCCTTATGCTAGCAATTTTGTTGCGCTTTTAACAAGTTCTATTTATAACGAGAAAAAAATGATGCAGTGTTTATCATTCTCCATAGGACATCGTCGTTATCGTATTTATCTGAATACATCAACGAAAGAAACAAATAAACAAAGCTAGCGTTCTTGATCTCAGCGTAGTTTCAGCAAACAAACAGAGGAAATCTAGCTATTTCAGCAGGACAAACAACGCTATATTCTTCAACTAGTACCAATACATAAATAGCTAAATAATTTCCTATTATCAATTAGCCTGTTCTCACTTCAGTTCTATCTATAAGAAAAAAATTTTGAAATTAATGTGCGCCAAACCAGAAAATGCTAGATTGAATATCAGTATGAAAGATAATTAAATAGTTGAGGATACGATACACAGACGATAAACAGATTTTCTTGAAAACCTGTGGGGTCTGTTTAGCTTGAGAGAGGAAGTGTACAATATACATATTGACAATGACAAATTCTTGGGAAATATAATCTAAACGAACGCCGAATGTTGAAAATCCTTCGTTGTAGATGGTTCACTAACACAAAAGCATAACACTCTAGTCATATTTTTACCTTTAAAAGCCTAGCAGGAATTGAGCATTTGTATTTCCTCAGGAAATACATTGTTGTGCTACTTACTTCAATTCTTGTAAAGTTAATTGGTCTTTTAGGCTATCTAATCGATTCCTGAGTCATATGAGCGTTATGTCCTGACTCGCGCATCAAACTTCGTTCTAGTTTTGACGAGCCACAGATTAGTCGCGTTTTGCGGTTTCTTAATGGTTAGATAAAGCTCCGATATTGGGTCCATATAATCATAAAACAAAACCAAGTCGCTAGAACTTTACAACATATGGTTAAGCTTCGACCATCCCTTCCCTGTAAACGGAAAACCTCTTTTGACGCAATGCCCCAAGCAAGGACGGGGATTTCAAAGTTTATGACATTTGTATAAGGATGTTTTAAAAAAGCGGCGTTTCGATCTATGGCAGGAAACCGTAGAAAAAGTATTATTCACTATTGAAAGCTTCATACATCGTACAATTATGTCGTTTGTTGTTTCACGAGCTTTGCTGAAAGCGTTCTCGCGTCTTTCGTTATAGTTTGCCGACTATAAAACATAACATAACGCAAGTTGGTCAAATAACCTAATTAGAGGAACAACCTAATTTGCCACCCCTACAGATATTTTGCAACAAAAGCGCTGTAATTTTTCCATAGTGTCCCCATGGACTGTTTTCCACGAAAGGCTGAATTACAAAGTGACTTTAGACTTCTCAATTGTCAGGAAGGTTTTTCTTACACATTAAGTCGATTTAAGAGTTGTTGAAAATTACGGAAATTGAACTCTAAAATGCGATGTTTACCATGCATTAATGATATAACGGTCCTCCTTTCTTTTAGCTCAAGTAATAAAATCCCATTTACTTTGTTATGCTTCACAAACATTTAGGAGTCATTTTCAACAGCTTTGCAAGACTTAACATTGGAGACAATGTGTGCGTAATAAAAAATACGATTACTGCTTGGAAAACTATTGATTTAATAATCTTAACTGCTAAGTGGCCAAAATACTTGCATTTACTTCCATGCTTCGTGGTATTATTCCCTCTAGTTGTTTGAAAAATAAATATCTCAGTCTAAGCTCATTTAATTGCTTCATTCGAAAGACAAAACAACGCTGTAACTATAGAACTGAGAGGAAATGCTCAGAACAATCGGCTGTTTTTTCATCGTCTACGTGAAGCAAGATTCGAATCCTCCAAATAGATGCTGTCTAGATAACTAAGTAATGGTATTGCCCTTTTGGCAGCCTGCAAAACCGCTAACACATTAAACTTAATTAGTATCAAGCTAACCAATTTAAATCTATACAACTTTTAAATACCAATGACAATAATTTGTCACTGACAATAAAATAAAACGATCGATTAATCAAGAGACATAACGCCATAGTAACTGCTATTGTTTCACTCCATGCAATTCGGTTCGCAGAGGAGAGGAAACAGGGAATGCTCAGGTAAAAACCTCTGAATAATAGAGAGGAAAGAGTGATTTTGAAGAGATTTCGTTCTTTTGTGACAACTCTACACGACAGGAAACCTGTCTTCGCCAAAGAACAACTACAACGCGGAAACCAACTTCTTATTCCGGTCGACACAAGCGCGAATTTGGCGGTCGCGCTCTGCAAAGTACACTGCTTAGAAAACGTCATTTTAATTATTACACTCCTGCTGAGTGAAAGTTCATTACTTAATTGATTGGTCATTGTTTGTTTAGCTTATACGCATGTAACAGGCTGTCAATGGCATATTTATACTCCAGAGTTGACCTTATGTAAACGCGCGTCACACAGCACGGTGAAGACAACAGACATAGAGAGGGAAAGAGCGACGACCTAATAACGTGTATACACGTCTTGATATCGGCTACGTATATCACCTTTCTTGCCATGTTTCTCGAGAAAATTTTATTTCTGTTCAGTGTTCTGACTTTCACTGGTTCTGGCAATTCCAAATCATTGAAAGTAATTTCGAGAAGAGTGAAACGAAATTCTTTCCCGATAGCCGAACGATTTTCAGCAAGCAATTCATCTCCGAAGGCGGAGTGGAAAGTGAACGAAGGTAAGCCGAAGAGTTAAAAGTTTGATTTCCAAGAATGTTTTATATACTTGTTCACATTTTCCAATACCTCTTATTCTTACTCAAAAGAAGCCCGCATGAACCCAACGTGTACAAAAAGTAGCTCAGAACGACGGTATATTCAACTTAAATTACAAAATACGTGCATTCTATAAGACAAAAGAACTGTCTCGACATATTGCGCTTTTTAGTTCAACGCAAACAGAACCATGTCTTTCTTGAAACGTACCTTATGGTCTATGGATTTTACATTTTGCCACACACGAGTACCAAATGAAAGATCTTTTACGAATCACGGTCCAGAAAATATCTATCGATAGGCAGTCATATTTTGAACACACAAAATACAGGAAATAACATTCATTTCACGCGGCGGCTTCGCGAACAACAAAACAGAAATTGCCGGGCTTCAAATTGTCACCTTAAAAAAGCGAATCAACTTTGTTTCTAATTCATACAAGGTAGAAAAACACAAATGGTTGATGGGGAGGAACACGAAAAGCTAAGACTACCATTCAGCCGTTTGAAAGTATCTGATATGATGATATGAAGAGCTTGCTGCTATCGTTAAATATCACTCGAGTTTCAAATTCTTGTTGTTTTTTTTTGTAAAATTCTTGTATTAGTTCTCGAGGAGTTCTTGTAAACACTAGAACATAAAGACTTTTGTAATAAACAATTATGTTTCTCATGCACGTCTATAGGTTTGAATTCGACATTCTTCCAAGGAGATATAGTTCTCACTAACGATCAGATAAAGCTTCTAAACGCAAGGGCAAAGTCAAGAGGCAAAAGAGCCATTAAGAAAGATAGCAACTCCAGATGGAGAAACGGTGTCATTCCTTATGTATTGGACAAACGTTTGAGTAAGTGTATCAATTACTTCATGTAGTACGTTTTCAATATTTAGTATCGAATGATCGAAGGTTATAATTTGAGAAATTGTACGCACGATAGCTTGAGGAAGAGACTACACAACAGATCTCACGGAATAGAGCGTTCCAGACATTTAAATAACTAAAATATTTCGCTAATGTCTTTTTCTGAATTAAATTAAAACATGCGAGGGCAAATATAAGAGTTTCATAAAAATAGAAATAGACGATACGATGATGTACATGGTTGTTCCAACAAACGAACCACCTTAAAATCTCTTCTCTATGTCTTCAACGAAAAAAATCGCGAGTACAAATTTAACAGTAAAAGTATTTCAATGCAATTTGCCAAATAAAAGAATCTCAATTAGAGCACTTGATGTATGGCACATTTCTTGCATTCCACAGTTCAACTAAAAAAATCCGCCGTGATAATGGATTTTATTACTGTAAGTGCATGTTAATGGCTGTCATGTAAATGAACTTGTACAGCTATATAAGCTTCTTAGTACTTATTCTACCAGTAGGAAGCTTGTTTTGACGCTGTTCAGCTATCAAGCTTTCTTTCCCTACCAGTAAGACTTGAGTTTCTACCCTCCCAAGAAAATATAATCCTAAAAATGATCCAAATGTACATGTAGCAATGCACACGATTACAAACGCGTTTCTACATAAAACAAAACTGGTGATTTTACTAAAATAGTAACCTATATGTCACCAACTAAGGTATAATTATGAATCAGAGGGTTCATCCAAGGACACCCAATAATGAAAGCAACGATTGCGTGAATGGAGACCATAAGACAAACAAAACTTTCTTCGACAATTATAAACATTTGATTTCATAAAACGCAAGAAATTTCCGAGAAGGAAATTGTTCTCATTGCACGTTTAAAAATTGTTAGAAGTCGATGAAAAGATGTTTGACATAGGTCTAAATAGGGCTTTTTAATTGGCATTTTTGTTGGCAACACTTACATTCATGTGACAAGTTAAATTGCAGTTTCCCTCGTTATTTAGCTGCAGCTTTCGTCACGAGAAGACGCTTTCGCGTGCTATGTTTAGCTTCACTTTCGGCAAATTTACGACAGAGGATTAGCAAAGCAAGCTGTGCGCAAATTATAGACTGAATCGTCAGGCAAACGTGATTTTCACTTGGGACCGTAGACTAAGAATATTGCAGCGACGTGCAGTCAATGTATTGTTTACATGCATTGGGGTTGTGCGCGGAGATAAAATGTGCAAACACATCTACAAACCTGCAAAAATATCCGTGAACACTTTAAATAAACACTAAATCTTCATTGGTCCGTCTCTTCATGTTTGTCTCTTCGCAATGATTTGTTATCGATACTCTATGAGCAGAAAAAACACAGTTCGCTTCACGATTATGTTTGACATTCTTCCTATATCGCTATAAAAAAAATCGTGCCCGTTCTAGTTTGCATTTCATTCAAACTAGCGGCACCTTATAAAGACTTAATTTCTTTCCTTCAAAAACCACGCAGACTCAACTTCCTGCGAAATTAAAGTAATTATCGGTCCTTGTCAGAGTTAATTTACGTCTGGAGTTAGAAACGCCAATGCCAGTTAAATGTACTCTATAGTATTACAAGGTCTAAATTTCAAACGCTAATTCAGAAAACTATGTGATAAGTTGCAGCCGCAAAAAAGAAACTGATACTCATTAATCTTATATGTCCTAGAGCACTCAGCCAAAGTTGAAATCCACAAGGCGATTCGGCATTGGAAGAGACACACCTGTCTTAGGTTTCACAAGAAACGCTCTAAAGACGTGGATTATTTACGATTTGTAGCAGAAGACGGGTGAGTTCATAATAAAGGTACAATATGCAGGGGCGTCGCGATCTGGGGGTTTGGAATGCCAGACCCCTCCCCCCCTCACCAATCATTGTACCGTCGACAAAAATTTGTTCCTCTCTCGGTAAATTTTAACGAAATTTCAATACGTTTTCAACCATGACCATGACATGTCCAATTTGTCGACAAATTTGACGCTCAGACCCACCAAAAACATAGAATTCGCTACGCCCCCGACTATACGTTTGTCAGAACGTAGCTATGGAACTGATCGAAGTGTACGTATTACACAAGTAAACACGAGTCCTTGAGGTAATGGGAAATTTAACTTCTTGCAATTCAGGAGTTACCAAAGTGAAATAAAATGGCCAATTACAATTGTTGGCATCGCTGTATAATATCAATGTCTTTATCTCCGAAACATAGTAATGAACTCAATTAAATTTCTGAAAAACGTTTTAGAGTAATTGATTTTTCAAACACAATCCGGAAACGCACTGCGATATGAAAGTGCAGATTTATCGCTCGCTCCCTGTCATTTTTGTTCCTAATTTCCGGTTCTCTAATTGCACCGTAAACTGCGGCGAGTCTCGAGTGATTAAAACTATAAATTTACTCGAAAGATTAACCATTGACAAAATGTAATCAAACTGAAGCCTGTCTAGTACATGCATGCTATTCCATCAGACCTTCGACACTGCTAGAACATTGCTAGGAAACTGCTAACACATAGTCACCAATCACTTACCTAATTCAGCAAATTGCATTAGGGTCCCAGCTAAACAGTGGCGGACTAGAAAATACAAAAAGTAAAGTGTCACCAACTAAAGTACAACAAGCATGTCTTGATTATAAGTTGAACTTTGCATTTTCGTCGACGGCGATGGTTATATAGTTTCACCTTCGATTTGAAAGACCCGATAAACGTTTTTAAGTTAAAAAAAACTATGTGGGAAATCTCATAAAACCTAGTGAGTAGAAACGATTTTAAAATAATGGTTTTCATATGCTGTTCGAACCACAGTCCAAACCAAAAGCAATACTTTATTTTACAAAGCAATACATAAACGGAGCAAGGTAGTAAGCATAAAGCGCTCAAATAAGTCAAATTCAAATTGCAGACTTTTTTTAGCCTTGGGGAGCTTTGATTAATCGCATTTATTCCTATCTATGAACAAATATTTCACTATCGTGTAATCCTTTCGTGAGTCATGTAGTTTCCTGTGGCAAACAGACTTGAACCGCAGAGAGCCTTGACGATTGACTTGCTATTTTGGGAAATTCATGAAATATAATAGCAGTTGTTTTCGAAGTTTTGAGCAGATATCTTTCGTCACAAGTACTGTAAGATCACGTATTGAAAATCACTTTGACAAACAGGGTTTCTTTCATTAACATCTGTAACTGGAGAAAGTGGGGTGTGTTGTAAGTTATAATCAAAAGTCATAGTCATAAACTTGCTGGAATTTATCATTCACAGATGGACATTTAAGGGGAGGATTTCACGGGGGGGGAGTTTTATTCGGTTGATAGAAGTAATGGGTAAGGAGACATACCCTCGAAGACTAAGACTTTAAAAAGTCGCGTTGTGAATCGAATTAGTTCTGGTATTCTCCCGACGAATTGACATTGCTCAAAAACTTCCTCAAATGTATATTTCCTAAAGTGGAAGTGCCCTTTCATAGCCACATAACGCACTCCCTGACTATTTCAGTCTATTCGCAGTAAATTAATTATACTTTCGGAGGGTCATCTTGAAACGCGTGTATTCAGCAAGGATAACTAAAAGAGCAAACAAATGGATATTTGCAATAGTATTAATGTATAAAAATGCTATGGGAGGGAGGGAGGGAGAAAGGGAGGGAGGGAGGGAGGAGAGGGAGGGAGGGAGAGGGATGGAGGAGAGGGTGGCTGGTATGAGTAACGGTAAGCGGTATGTTGGGGGTTGAGGATGGGTTTCATAGGCAAAGTAATGAAACACAAGGGGAAGAGGGAATGTTTTTTTCATTCGCTCTGTGTTAGTTGTAAACAATCCTCAAAAAAATCAATAAAAAAACTAAGTTTCTAATGTGAAACAGACGAAATGATAAAGGAATTCATCTTATTTAGATGCTGGTCAACGGTCGGGCGTAAGGGAGGCAAGCAGGATATCGGTGTAGGTAACGGATGTGAATATGCAGGCACTATAATTCACGAGATTGGTCATGCCGTGGGTTTTTGGCACGAACAGAGCAGAAGTGATCGCGATAAATATGTACGGGTGGTGTGGAAAAATATTGAAAGAAGATATCACGAACAATTTGGTAAGTTGCATGTGTTGAAATTATGAATAAAAGATCGCGAGGGTCGATGAAGATTTCAATGTACCTTATTTTCTTACATGAAATTTCATAGTGAGGATAGTACATAGATAATCATTGTACTTGATCTCCTTATACTTATGTCATAGTGAGGATAGTACATAGATAATCATTGTACTTGATCTCCTTATACTTGTGTCATAGTGAGGATAGTACATAGAAAATCATTGTACTTGATCTCCTTATACTTATGTCATAGTGAGGATAAACATAAGAAATCAATGTATACCTGATCGCCATGTACATATGTCATAGTGAGGATGATACATAATAAATCAATGTACTTGATCTTCTTATACATATGTCATAGTGAGGATGATACATAAGAAATCAATGTATACACCTGATCTCCTTATAAATATTCGTGTGATAAAAATTAATGCCCAACATAAAGTTCTCGCTCGGCAAGTCTCTCGCTACAATCCTTATAAATATGTCATAGATATGTCATAGTAAGGATGGTACATAAGAAACAAATCCACTTGAACTCCTTATACTTACGTCAGACTTAACTTTATCCATATTTAGACAAAATGAACGCGAACTTAATGGATAGCATGGGATACGCATACGACTATGAATCCGTGATGCATTATGGAAGCAAATTTTTCACGAAGAATAACAAACATACCTTACGTATTCTTAAATCCGGCCCAAAAAACGTTCGCATTGGACAGCGTAAGCGTCTTTCCGACATCGACATTGCGCAAGTCAACGCTATGTATAATTGTAACCGTATCGCCACCGCCAACTCTGGTAATAACCGTCTATTTAATCTACAACGCTTATATCGTAATCTATTTAGTTTATTTATTACAGCATAGAGTAATGAATACGTTGCGCATCGTGCATGTCAATTGAAAATATCAACCATTGCCAATGTCAACTAAAATATGCACACTGTACACGTCAACTAAGCTTATTTCTCTAAAACTTTCAATTTTCCATCAACAGCCAGGTGCATCAAAAGTAAAACGAGGGACGGTCGAGATTACGGGGGGAAATTGAGCTACACGGAGAAAGGAGTAACTTGTCAATCCTGGGACAGCCAATGGCCTCACAGACATAGATTTTTGACGAACAACCACTTTATCAACTTCAAAAAAGGCCTTATGGTAAGGAACAGCCGTGGCTTCTATATATATCACAACTATTGTCGTAATCCAAACGGTCGTCGGGCGAGACCATGGTGTTTCACTACGCTAACTAACACAACGTGGCAGTATTGCGATTTAAAAATATGTTGATCACCCCGTCTTATTGCACAGACCACGCATGCGTGCGTGTCCGGTAATGTCAGATAAATTCCCAAATTGACCGTAAAAGAATGATGCTACGCACTGCATTATGGTGAAATTGATACTTCACCCCTCCCTCCCCCCCCCACACACTTATCTTTACCGTAAAGTAAAGCGGTCCTCTCCTGCCACATCACAAGGTAATAGTTTCCCATAAGGCAATGGGTGACAGATTTATTTTGCGGTCAATTTTCACTGATTGCAAATAGGGAAAAAGAAACCTCTACGAAAAATATAATATAATTTTAGACGTATAAATATTTCTTATAGATTCTAATCAACTCGCGATTGACGAGCTAGCTCAATATCTTTTTAGCGTACAAAAATGGCGGGTTTGTAAAGATATTTAAAATATTCGCGTTGTGGTCTGCAAGCAATTCATCAAAAACGCAAACAAAAAAAGCAATCAATAAAGCAGTTGTCGAAAGCTGCAGGTTTTCCAACGAAAATTGCTCTTAACCACAACTTGGCTTACGCATGCGCATCGCTAAATGTAAATAAGATACCTATATAAAATATATTATTATTATTATTATTATTATTATTATACTAGTAATAATACTAGCCATAAAACTAGCTATACAGTAACTTAAGAGTACTTTGTAAATCATTTTTATTTATAATCCTGCATTAAACAATCAATTTGAACATTCGAGATTGTTTTACAAAGATCAGACGCATCGATTAATATACTCACAGTCATTTTTGCCTGCAGCAAACTATATCATTGTTTTGGATTCATGATGTCAAAATAAACTTCCGGTTTCTTTCTCGTTACCATGCCCTCGAGACAATGAGCCACGCGTAACGCGACATGCTCATCCCACCATGATGCCATTACTTGCATTGCCACAGGAAGACCCTTGTTGTCATATCCAATGGGCACAACAACTCCGGGAATGCCGGTGAAGTTGCCCAAGAAATGAAATCTGTTTAATAGCGGGAAAGATTGTCGTTTATTCAATATGTCAAGCACAAGTTTGTAGATGTTGATCATCCAGGATTGTGCAATCCCGAGTCCAACATTTTGTGTTGGTTTTTACTGATGTTTCGACAACCTTAGCGGAAGTCATCATAATCAAGTGAGAGGTAAACGTCAGTTTTGCTGAGTTGGTTGCCTGGTTCATACGTCATCGTGTTGTGTGTAGATAGCCAACACCGACAGTCGTTCTGAGGACTGCACTAACCTGGACGATCTACACGTCCAACTATGAAGCGATGCTCCCGTGTTCAAACAATTTACTTTATGACTAGCACATTTCTCTATAAAACAATCAGCTCAAAAAAAAAAGAATATTTTCCAAAACAGTGTCGACATGTAAGTCATAAACAAAACAATCGTATTGTTAAACATGCAACAATCGTGCGTTCCTCATTCTTATTTGAATGAACATAAACCGTTATGAATGACATGTTTTTAAAATATTCTAACTTTTTGAGGTGAACCGATATTTTCTAGATACAACATCCCAGATAATTCTGTGTCAAATAACATGAAGGATAACAGAACAATTATGTTTCAAGTTGGTTTTTTAAAGGAGATAGGGGTGTGTTGCGCCAAGTACAGGTAGGCACGTTTATGAAAAGAGGTTCTTCAAAATCAACAAATTTATTTTTGAACAACTGTAAAAGTACGATGTGATTACCTCATGTGTTTTATCGTTGTAGAGATATCATTCATTCCACAGTTTAAGTAATCCCAAGGTATTTCTTTAGCTGTGCAAGCAGATCCTTTAAAATTAAAGAGAGAATAAATGTTATCTATAGTTGCATAAGCAGATCCTTTAAAATTAAAGAGAGAATAAATGTTATCTATAGTTGCATAAGCCGATCCTTTGAAATTAAAGAGAGAATAAATGTTATCTATAGTTGCATAAGCAGATCCTTTAAAATTACAGAGAGAATAAATGTTATCTATAGTTGCACAAGCATATCCTTTAAAATTAACGAGAGAATAAATGTTATCTAGAATTGCATAAGCAGATCCTTTAAAATTACAGAGAGAATAAATGTTATCTAGAATTGCATAAGCAGATCCTTTAAAATTAGCGAGAGAATAAATGTTATCTACAGTTGCATATCCTTGAAAATTACACAAAGAAAACATGTCGATGGACTATCTTGGCTCGTCAAAGACAGATCTGCAATATTTTTGTTCGTGCAAGTTGTGGTACACCCTACTATATTGTACAGGTATAGTTGGGAGTAATGGTGGTGGTGGTGGTGGTGGTGGTGGTGGTGGTGGTGGTAAAGGTGATGGTGATGGTGGTGATGAATGGGGATGGAATGGTGGTGGAATGGATGAAGTGGTGGAATGGATGGATGTGATGGATGGAATGGTGATGGATGGTGGTGGAATGGTGGTGATGATGGAATGGTGATGATGGTGGTGGTGATGAATGGTGGATGATGGTGGTGGATGAATGGATGGATGATGGTGGTGGCGATGAATGTGGTGGGTGGTGGTGATGAATGTGGTGGTGATGATGGTGGTGGCGATGAAAGTAGTGGTGATGATGGCGGTGGGCAATATGCTGTGCAAACATCCAAAAAATACCTCCTAATGACATAAAAATAAGACTACTCACCAAGATCAAGTCAAGCATGCTGTAGTGATGTACAAAGACAATGATATAATCATTTTACATCCTACTCAATCCTCTCGTTTCCCTCGCTATCATTTATTTACTTTATGTTTCATTGGATAGAAATCTCTCATGCAAACGTTACAGTACGAACGTTGTAGTAAAAATGTTACAGTACAAAAATTACTAGGGCCAAATATTGCTTTAATAAATCAAAAAGTAATTTTCACTTTTTACGTGGCGTCAATTGTTCAGTGTTTCAAATGTGACAGCATGAACGTGGCTATACACATATACAAATGTTCAGTAGAAACGTTAATGTACTGATGTTAAAGTAGGAATGTCGTGTGATTGACATTGATTGACATTGATTGACAGTGATTACTGTATAAGGTATAATTAGTTAATAAAACACAAGACAAAAGACACTCCGTATAAAGTAAACATCATTTAATCTTGACGTTTCAACAAGTGTTACATATCATCATCAGTAGAAAATGATGAAGAAATGTAACACTTGTCGAAACGTTTACATTGAAAAATGTTTACTTTATACGGAGTGTCTTTTGTCTTGTGTTTTACTAAAATACTCTTTGGCAGTCACAATAATTAGTTAAGGTACGATGTATTTTACGATACGATACGAAACGTTACGGTGAGATACGATGCCATATGGTGGGATACGGGTTAATTAGAGACCTGCTTTAAGAATTTTTATAATTTTCTCCGATAAACTGCTCACACTAAGTCTCACTTCACCATATGTCATCAAACATACCTGGTGTTAGAATACAATCGACATTTGAGAAGATTTCTTTCATAAATCCGATAGCGCGAGTCCTTTGTTTTTGCGCCTGAATAAAAGAGCAACATATATGACGCATGCGCAAACAATAACGTCGACAAAAAGAAATTTGAGCATGAGACTATTGTATCCTCTCACCAGCAGATAATCCGTTGGCTCGAATTTCTTAAAAAAACTCATAAGAATAAACGTGTCTGGGTTCTAGACAAGAAAATATAGCCACGTGTTAAAGACTTAAAGCCTGGGGTCGGTTGCATGAAGCCAGGATAGCGTTATCCATTCCATGGCAAATTTTTTTAAACGGTTAAAAAGGAAAAATACAAGGATTGAGCTGAGCAATCACTGAAATGAAATATTGCTTCTAAGATTACAAAATTTCTTTGTCGTAACAAAAATATAAACACCTTTTCACAAGTTTAAAAAATTTGCTATCCAATGGATAACGCTATCCAAGCTTCGTGCAACCGGCCCCTGAAGTTTAGACAGCATAATAAAAAAGAAAAAAATCTCACGGGACAAAAATAATTTGAAGTACAATGACGTAAAACTCATTTAGCATTTAGCAAGAACTAAGGTGTTATATAGATATGGGACCTCATGTGAGCGCCTCTTTACTGATCTAAGATTTTTAGCTGGAATACTAGCTCTGATATTTGGGCCAAAGATGTTGCAGATCTAAATTTGTTGACTCACACGTAACATTAGCATAAAATCGTAGCATCATACGCTGATTTGAAACATGCAATGAAGCATGTTATCAATCCTGGTTCCAAGTACGTTCATTGCAATAGCTCTCTTGCGGCAAAATCTCCGGTAATTGTGTTTGCTTTACGAGCATAGTTGACATTACATAAGATCTTACCAACTGTTCGAATTCATTGGGATGTTTACTGTCTATTGAAGCCACCATTTCCGTAGATATTGTGATTCCGTGAGCGGTGCGCGTTTCTTCCAGTTCAGGAATTTGTATAGAGACGATATTTGCGCCCTTTTCCTTTAGGTATTCAACACCTGACATAGAAATAAATACTTTCTTTGGTAAGAATAAGTAAATCCCTCCTTTTATTGAAAACAAAGGTAATACACGTGAACGGATCTTGTCAACTGATAATGTAGTAATTTCGTGTATGACCGATTCCCAATTAAAACAACAGTTCTCATTCATTCTCGTCCATCATTTTACACCCCTGATTAACCCTAAAATCCTCATTTGTTTTCATCCATCACCTCTTTCATTTATAATTAACCCCAATAGTCCTCATTTGTTGAGAATGAATCCTTACCTTTTTTAAAATGCTCGACGATCTCTTCATCGGCACACTAAAAAGAAACATCGAGATTAACACTCCAGAAATTTATCGTTCAGTCACGATAGAAGTAACCTGTGCATAATCCCAGTCAACGCCAATGTTCAAATTTGAAAGATCCATATTTTCAAAATCTTTAAGAGTGGCATGTTCTGGTTGGATCATTCCTACACACATACGAAGGAAAGTTTGCTAAAATGAAGTATGGTCTGTATTCAAGATGAGTGTGCTGTAAAACAAACACGTCATTAATAAATATAAAGAGGTACTTGTGGGGAGAAGTCATATTCTTACAACCTTAGGGCTCGCTATCTACGCAATACGTATGCAGAGGAATTGTACGCCGATGGAGAGGAGCAGTAGATAGGGAAGCTGCTAGGCTGTTGTTTAATACGAATGACATTTTGGAACCTGATTTGGTTTCCATGAGTGAGCATACTTTCGAACATATTTAAAAGATTGTGTATGTCAATAGTTTACCGAAACTGGCCAATATAAAAGAAATAAGAAGCCTTAGCATCAATTGAACATTGATTGAAAATAGAAAAGCTGACATTCGCCTTTGGATAAAGAGCGCAAGATATACTGAGGGTGGGGGACCAATGATCGTATATTTTTGCACAAAGAGGAAGGAAGTGAGGAAGTGTTTGAAATTTAGAAAATTTTAAACAAGTAATGACAGGAGGACCCTCAGTACTGACTAGGATTTGTTAACATCTTCTCCTGCAGCTGTGTTGGTACAGTGAAATGAGGCAAAAGACGAAAATATGGAAGAGTGGAAATGACAAGTAGATGTTAAATTCGTTTACTTACCAGGAGGGTATTCAGGATCGCGACCAGAGACAAGAGCTAAATGAAAACATGATATAATTTCAAAGATGAATATTGCATGTGAAAAAGACACAACTGAGTTCATAACTCACAATATATTATCGCTGTATCGCGAACGTTATTGCAGATGGGACCTGGAAAATAAAGAGAACATTGTCATTCTTATGTCGTAAAGTATCTTGGCTCAATGTGTAGCGTCGTGCTATATGGTATACTGTCGTGTTCTCGAAATAGCGAGAATTATGCAGAGGACAATTGTTGACAAGAAAGGTCAGTTCAGAAAATCTATTAAAACACTGTCAATGAGAAGAGGGAGAAGAAGGAAGAGGAGAGGAGAGGGGAGAGGGAGAAGGAGATGGAGGGAGAGGAAGGGGAGTGGAGGAGGAATGGAGGGGGAAGAAGGAGGAATGGATGGAAGGAAGATCAAAATATATGATAAATACCAGCGTGTGTAATAGAGAAGCTTCCTGTCCATGGCGTTTGTAAGGTCAATCTACCAAAAGTGGCTAAATGTAGAAAATGAGAGCATTTATCAGATTGCATGACTCTAATTATTTGCAAACTTTCATTTCATATAACAAACTTACGCTGTACAACAAACCTACGTCACATAACAAACCTGAGTTACATAACAAATCTATGTTATACAAAAATTTGCGTTTTAAAACAATCCTACGTTATACAACAAACCTGCGTTAAAAAACAAAACTGTGTCATAAAACAAACCTAACGTTATATAACAAACTTACGCTTCATTCCAACAACACCACACAAAGTTGAGGGAATACGAATCGATCCACCTCCGTCAAAACCAAGAGCAAACGGACATAAACCTTAAGTACACAGATCAGTAACATATAAAGTAAGCAATGAAAACCAAATGTGAATGTCACGTGTTTTTGAAAACGTCTACATCACTAGAAATACACAATTTTACACGTTTTCATAGTCCACACATCCCCGGATGTGATAACCTCGATGGTGGTCCTTACCAGCAGCGACAGCTGATGCTGAACCACTAGAACTTCCACCGCTGTAGCAACTTAGATTATAAGGATTACGGGTGGTACCATGGTATCTTAGAGGAATACAAAGGATACAAGTAGCATAACATACAACGATAAGTCATGTACGTAAAAGCTTACCTGTTAGGATTGACACCAGTAGTACCCATTCCTAACTCATGCATATTTGTTACTCCAATGATAACAGCACCCAGTTCTTTTAAACGCGAAATCAGGTTGCTATCAGTTTGTTCAACTTCTTCGCCCATGAATGATGTACCATATCTTGTATGATAGCCAGCCTAAATGAAGTACCATTTTTTACGTGAGCGATGGTAATCAGCAGACTACAAAAACATGAATGTTTTAACAACCACTTGTGTCTCTTCTTTAACACCAAAAGGAATCCCATCAATAAGAGATAATATCTTTTTCTCAGCATAGCGCTTCGTTGATTCTTCAGCCATCTATAAAATGCTGATACATTAATACTCATTGTGCAATACATGGTTGGTGTCGTTGTTTCGTGTTTTTGAAGATACCTTCAATGCATCCATTTTGTTGACTTGAACGAAAGCTTTGAGAGCCATCTCATCCTTCTCGGACATTTCAATGGCTTTTAGTGCATTTGTAGTGACTTCGTATGGTGTTGTTTTGCCGCTCCTGGATTAATGAAAAAATAACGTTTGGAATATTTTATGAAATAAAATGACAAAATTGTAAAATATGCCTGAAATTAACACTGTCAGGGGTGCACTGGGGTCCACATTCTGGAATTGAAAGAAAAATCAACAATTTGAGTAAGACAGACCTTGCTCATCCTCAATCAGTTTCTGGACTGACTAATACATATTTCACAAAGATGGGGTGTCAATTGCCCCTCCCAATGTACCCCCTGAAGACAATGGTGGAGATCACCTTGGAAGTCAAAAAAATTAAGATCTCAAATTTCACCTTTAGCTTAACTGGAGATTATGGAGAAAAACTTCGCATATTTTACACTTAAGAAGAAAAGTAAAAATATGGCAAAATCTGGTATAATAAACTTTGTAATTACGGCATACTAATTAAACAAAAAGTGAAATTTAGTGCTGTGTAAACTCCAATTTTTCACAGAGCTCTGGGAAGCAAAAATAGCTGGAGTCTGGCCCAGCTCTGCTACACAGCACTAGTGAAAATTCACAAAGTAAATAGGCTACAAGATCAGGGGCGTGGCCAGGGGATAAAGGTACAAGTACCCCGTTTTCCTATGACAATGTCAAATTGACATCTATAATTTTTTGGTGGGTGTCCTTTAGAAGTGACTGCTTGCCCTTTTTAATAACCCCTGTCTGTGACCCAGGAGATGGAGAGAAGTACTAACTTGTATGCTTCAATCAGTTTGGCAATAGATATATGTTGAAATCCTTTGACATTAGAAGGTTTTTTCAACAATGCCTGTATGTCTTCCGGTGGACAATCTTGTTCTTTAGTCGGCAATACTTGAGGGATAAGGGTGGGATGATCAGGGATTGCCATCTGCCGTAAATAGTGAACATCTGCATTTCTAGATAGCAGTAAAGTGGATGACAAAGTTTTGTTATTCCAGCTCCAACATCGTTTGCAAAGAAATGAGAACAAAATTGAAATACAAAATTTACTTAAAAAGAAATTACTTGAGGGCTTCTTTGGCAATGATGTTTTTTAGAAATGCAGCAAATTTCTAAGTAAATGTAAAGTAATAAATAATTACAATTGATACAGTAGGCTAGTCTAAATATTTTCAGTAATTAGCCATTTGAGATTATGAATCACGATAAAGCAATGGCAAAAACTGAGAGAAAGTAGGATTTAAGCCACCTTAGTGGTAACATCTCTGTGGCAAAATAAACCTTTCAATACGCTACTCACCCATGTAAAAATACAATGTAACAAATACAACTTCCATCCTGAGAGTACTGGAAATTCCTATGAAGATAAAAATTACAATTTGCAAAATATCTCACATCAATAAAACAACAACACTAATCATGAACTAAGCATGACTCCTTCGAAACTGCTCGTATACAACTGGTGCCATCAAGTTATAATTGACTTAATTCTTCACGAATCACAACAGTGATTTTCTATCTATATGTCGATTTCTTTGCTAGCTTACCCCGTCGTGTATTTTGCATTCAACGGGTTCGTTCGGCTTTCCCTTGACTTTCTTGACCATATCTCTTCGCCTCATTTTTATCCAGTCCATGAAACAGAAAACAGCATACGTTGCAATGCCAGCGTAAATAATAGCGGCTAAAACACCAGCCATAATGCAATGACGGGTTTAAAATTACAGAGGAAATAAAAAAGTTATTTCTGTAAAAGGTTCATCGACTATTTCACGTACCAGTTGGACGATGGACCATCGTTGCTCCTGCTCGCAGGTTACCACACTTCCTTGTTGCTTCGTTGAATCGTTGAATCCCAATCCCACCCAAAGGTGTTGAGTCAGAGAAAGGAGTTAGTGGGTATGGTCCAATGGTATGGTCGAATAATGGTCACTCGTATAATATGGTGTATAGGGTGTAAATAGTAAACCTAATAATTGTTTATCAAAGAAACTGGGTATCTGTAAATAAGGTGTGCTCATTGTTCTACTATATATCTCTTGAAAGGAACCTTGAATCCTTTGATAGGAAAGGCCTTCAAACATATAAATATATTATTATTTTAATAATTCAATCTTATTAGAAACTATTCTATAAAGAAATATAAGATCTAGTTGTCGTTCCAAAGTAAGCAAATCAACATCAGTTATTTTCCAAAAACTCTGTAATGCGTTGTGTAGTCTTTCTGTTAAAAATGACCGAATATGTAGCGTTTTTATTCTCAAGAAACTTTGGTACATTCTCAGCCTTTCCTCCACTTCCTCCGAGTAAATCGTTTTCTCCGTAAACAGGAGTACCTCCAGGACATTTCTCAAAGACTGAAACCATTTCTCTGACGCTAACGTCTCACTGGATAATGATTGATCTACATAACACGAACAAGAACACGGGACAATTAACTGAATATTTTAGACATTCTCAGTTTTAAAAGCTTGTTACGAAGAAACAAATTACAAAAAAACAACAAGATGCAAGCAAATATTTTCATGAATATATTCAACTTTCAACATCGAAAGCAACAACTAGTTTTAGTAATGACAGCAATGTTCATTCCCTTTTTTACGTGGAGAAATCAAAACTGTAAGGGGTTATTATTTTTAATTATTTTTTTGGATATTATCTCATGACCTATTCAATAAATGAATCGTCCAGACAAGGCTAAAAGGGCGAAATGTTCAACAGGACCTTAATACACAATCTAATTGCTGACATGTGAAGAAGCATGCAGACATTTCTAAATGACACCTGCTGAGTTTAGTTTACCTTGTTCTATAAATGCCTTTAAGTGGCTGAAGACATCAATATTACAAAATAGTTTTCGCCAAATTTGACTCAGTTGTACGTAATGGTGTTTGACTGAAGACATCGTCATGGAAGAGAAACAACTTTGTCGTTGATAGTAGAGCAATGACGAAAACATTCGTAGAAAAGATTTTAGTGTATCTTCATTCCACACTTGAACACTGAAAAAAACAAGCTTGTTTCAGAAGATTAATTTGACGTTTTAGCAAGATTTCTAGCAACAACATACATATTGATCATCTTAATAATTAACTTAGTCAAAGTCATCGTAAAAAGAGCGTGGGTTTTTACGAATTGGCAAAAATAGTCTTTCACAATTGGTTGTTAACATTGTCGATTTTCTACCAGTGAAAAATCATTTCTCACAGTGCTCAGTTCACCAAGATGTTTGCTCAAACCGTTATGAATTGAAACAATAATTATAGTTGTCTTTGCTGTAATGTGTTATCACATTTTAACAACCAGATTTATGTTTCTATATATGTAGTTATAAGTTGAAAATACCTCATCGTCGAATTTAAAACAGAGTTAAAAACGAGCAGCATTTCCGCAGAAACATTCTTCGGAATGTTTGATCTATTACTGCAATCATCTCCATTCATCGATTCTTCGTCATGTGGTCCTTTTCCACCAATCAAACTGGACCAAATCGTTGACAATATATCGATGGACTGACGAAATGTATTGGAATTGCTGTGTGGTTGAAAGACAGAAATATTAATATTGTTAATGCATTTTTCAATCTTCACACGAGTCTCTACTTACATGGTCGCGTTGAACAGTAATCTGCACCAAGATACAAGACCATATTTAAAACAGAGATCGTACGCAGCGACATGATGAGAACAAACTTGCTGCACAATTTTTAAGATCAAACGCTGTAAAGTGAAAACAGACAAATAGGTTGGTTGAAATCTTGAAGAGGTAACTACAAATTTTCCACCCGGAAAACGAATTCTTAAAATAAAAAACAATTGCCTAAAATAAATCTTTCAATGACCTTTCAATTATTCAGTGATGTTTTCTACATAAAATTTAGCGGGATTAAGAAAACGAAAAACTTTAAAATTAGGAACAGAGGCCGCCCAAGATCAAGTTGTCCTCCCCCCCACCGAACTTTTGATCTTGGGCAGCGAGGAGATAAAAAACAAAGCATAGGATATGTAGCTCATAAAATACAATAACAGCAATTGTTTCCATTGCATTAATAGACACAAGAAATACTGAGTTCATTTGAAAATACTTATCATTGGATTACGTATACAAAAAAATTAATTCGCTCTGTAACTAATCATTATCATCATGGTCAATTTCCTTGTGGTTTACCTTATTGAATTGCAAATCCAAGATGCGCAAACGAAACATTCTAGACTATCACTCACTTCAACCCATTCCCTCACGCGGTCGACAAAATACATTCACCGCTCAGAAACAAACAACAGTGATGAACTACCTTGACCGATTGATCGGTTGAAGCACAATGATAAAGCGTCAACAGTTGTTGAAATACGTGAAATTTTCTGCAGGTATAGTAATCCATCGGATCCCTTAATCCATCAAGGATTAGATGAAGAAGCCAAAGCCGTTCAGTAAGAAACTAGAAAGAAAATAATTAAAAGAACTTTTTATCCAGTGAACCTCCATTAATCGTAACAATATTCCAAATATTCCGTTGAAAACAAATTATACAATATGAATTGTTTCAAAACAAAAGATTACTCTCAGTAAAAAACTCGACGATATTTATTGTAATGATATGTAATGATTAAACATACGATAAATACATAATGTAATGATTTACATTACGTATAAATGTAAATCATTACATTTCTACGATAAGATTATTTAATTAAATACTGTGTGCACTTAAAAGTCTTACAATTCTTCAACATCCCCCTACCCCCCCCCCCAGGTCATTTGCGCGCATACTCAGCTTTTACATCGTAAGTGTCAAAGAAAAAACGTTTTTACGTACCGATAAGTCAGAACCATTAAGATGAGATAAGAATAAAGGAACGTCTTTAATGTCCATGAAAGCTTTTTGTAAAATATAACTATTCACGCTTGTATAAAGAGGATCCTCTAGGACACATCAAAAAAAGATATGGAATTCATTCCATGAAATATACGATTGCGATGTTTACAACAGGGACGCAGGAAGACCGATTATAGGGGGGGGGAGGGTAGTATTCAAAAATGCACAAGCCATTTTCTAACGATTTTACATGCAGATATTAATATACCCTCCCCACCCCCTCCTCTCCCACCATCGATATTCCGATGTCTATGGTTTACAACACGACATTAAATGACCACTTTATATATAATCCATTTAACTAACCTGGATAAAGAAAGATGTGAAGGGCTCTTGTCATGAATGACGTCATTAAGCTAGATATCCTGCAATTAGGCTCGGTGATCCCATTTTGGAAGTAGTAAAGCAAATGGGCAATCTGTGTCGCACAAGGAAACATGATGTGAATAATATTACAAGTGCATTTTTTATCATAAAAATCGGTCTCAAACAAATATAATAAAGCCCAGAGCAGCAAAACTGACTAGCAAAAATCAAACAAACGAAAGTATAACAATTGTAGGTGTAGACCGTTCTGTTTAAAGGCATTGTGAGAAAGACTATTGGTGTTGGTTTTGACTAACATTTCGACATCCTTAGGGGTAGACAACTTTGATAGTCCTTCTCACGAGTGCACCAATTACCAGTTATTACCTGGGGTTTAGCTCGAAATCTCGCGGTAGTCAAGTGTTGTTGAAATCTTGACAGTATCTGATAAGCAAGCTGTCGCATATCTTTATCATGCGACGTCAAAGCATTAATTGCATACGCAAGCGCAGAGCATTCCACGAAACGATGACAATGAACCTCGTCACCTATAAGTAACACAAGAGACTGGTGTTGAGTCGATGAAGCAATGGTCCACTTAATGTGAAGTAATCTAGGTTGAAATTTGTTAAAGATTACCTTCAGACATAAAAAAACTGAATACTGGAAGAAGAAACGAAGGATCGTAGAGATGCGATTTTTCACGAAAGTCCACAACATTGATAGGCTGCAGGACAAAGAACACAATCAAATACTCAAATAAATGGCTCTTGAAAAAAGACACGAATACAGCCAATTTACACCTCAAGTGTTTTCTCATGTGGAAAATTTTTCGCAGACTGTAAAAGAACTTTGGCATCAATAAGATCCAAAATTTGGGTGATGTTTATTTTATTCAACGAAGCAGAAGAGTCGTTCTTTGTGGTCTGGTACGAGTTGACGGCGGCTCTACCCCAGAGAATACGACTAAACACAACCATAAAAGTAACGATGATGTTGCTTACATGTAGATACATGATTTAAATCATGAAACAGAAGACTTTATTAAAGCATAGATTAATAGAAACTGGTTAACACAACAAATATCGAAATTACATTCTGTTTCTCCTGGGTTCGCATTACATAAGAAAACATGTGCTAATATTAAATGTACTGTGATACAAACCTTCTGAGTATGGGTTCGTAGGAAAACATAGGAAAACGTAGGATTACATAGGAAAACATGTGTTAATATTAAATGTACTGTGATACAAACCTTCTGAGTATGGGTTCGTCAAGCTGAGCTTCGTACGTATACAACAGACGAAGCAATTTCTGATCTAAAGAATCGCAAGAAAATACAGCCAAGAGTGACAGTTTTATAGGAACTAAAACACAACTTTTGTAAAAAATTTTTTACAACAACAATATTATTATGGAATATGTTACACGAAAACCGGGTATATCTAAACTCTTCATGGATAAGGACTTTTCAATTCCAATAACAAAATGCTAGAACACAAACTAATCATATTTAAATTGACTTTCCAACAAGTAAATTCTATTGATTGTCTAGCAGCCTTAAGAAGATTTATACACAATGTAGCAAGACATTAAACTCGTATTCAAACCACTTGCTTAAAGATATTAAACGTTACTCTTTCAACTCTGTCGTCTACAGTATACACATTACCGAATCCAACAAATTGCGTGAAACCGGCAAGGGAAACTTGAAAAGACTTACCTGATGTGCTGAGTGTGGCAGTGTATGCAGAAAGAATGAAAGATAAATGAGTTGAATGACAACATTGTCCGTCTATATCCACAACCGTTTGTAACAGATCGATAAGAGCTTCTGAAATACATAACAAACAGCGAAAAATATTCAATTATACTCGTTCAACACCAACCCAAATATAGCCATGATGTACCTTTTGTATCAGGATTGCCCGACGCCGTCGGTTCGCCCAAAATTATTTCCAAGAATTTCGAGTGGTTCAAGATTAACTGGTGGAGATTTGTTGGTTGAAGAAGCAAATCACTGGAGTGAGCAGAGTAGATGTTTGAAGTTAAATTGGTGAGAACGCGTATTGTTTTAGAGCAAGCGAAATTGCATCTGTAAAATAAAGAATTCATAAAGTATAGAGTATTTAAGTGTGTTTCATGTCTGGGATGCATGTCTCCTTAAAAATCACCAACCTTAGTGCTAACTTTGCGAAAGTATTCCATGTATTTATAAATTCTTCATAAGAAAACGTTTCGTTCTTCTTCAACCGTAACGAGTCCTGAAAAAAGCAATTCTAAGAAAACGAGCCTTCAAAAATAACTACAAAGTTGGGAGGAAGCAAACCTTTCCACAATTTTCCAAGCAGTTTATTATTTTCGATCGCAATGATTCTCGGTCTTTATCACAGCCGTCTTTCGCAAACTTTATGTATCTTTGCATACACACGAAGATAAACTGTGCTCGGTACTTTTTGCTGTCTTTTTCTTTTGTTGAATGTTTCACAATGTACTCTAACACACAGTTAACTGCTTCAATTTGGTAGCTAGAAATGAAAACAAGAAATGAAAATTCAGCCAAATCATTTTTTGTCCAATCAAACACATCGATAGTTGGTCAGCGGCAACATACAAGTTGAATGTTTGAAACTGCTCCACAGCAACTGCTTCGGCGAAAGTTTTCCTCCCGATATCTAAGTCTGAAAATATCAGCTATGAACGCACGCTATTGCAAATTCCTCGATCATGTTTCATTTTATACCTTTTTCGTTCGTGTCCAAGTGGAGGAAAAGCATGTTGCAGAACTAAAATAAAGAAAATGGCCGAGAGTTTAAAAATGAGAGGTTGAAGTATAACCAGCATTATCCTACCTCAAATGAAGGCCCCTCATCTCCTTCTTTTTGCAATAACCACTGTTGTAATTTCATCCAAAATACATTACGAAAAAAAGTCATACACTTTTCCTTTTATCACTGCAATCCTCGTTTTCAGCTGTGCAAAAATGAAATAAAAATAGCATATTGCTTTTTGTGCATCATAAAAACAATGGAATAGATTATACACAAAAATCCAGTTTCGATGTCAGAGATTAAACACAAAGATAACAATTGAGTAAAGCATTTAAGGACTCAATTTTAACTGTAGATCACTTCTATCTGATGAACACACTAGTCTGGAGCATATAAAAACTCGTGTACCAACATCAGATCACTTCTGATGATGACACTAAGACTGGAGTATATAAGAACTAAAGTTTCAACATCAGATCACTCCTGATGATAACACTAGAGTGGAGTATATAAGGACTGAAGTTTCAACATCAAATCACTCCTGATTATAACACTAGACTGGAGTATATAAGGACTCAAGTATAAACATCAAATCACTCCCAATGAACATCAGTAATGAAGACACTTGAGTTCAATTAAGTTCAATCAGTGAAGACACTCCAATTTTAATAAATCAGTTGAAAAGCTTTAGTTAACAAAAACAGTTTACCTTTACAAACAGCTCCTAGATACATCATTAATAAAGGTTGAAACTTTTTCCACTCGGAATCAGACTTCAAAAACGCACATTTCTTCGGTGATGTTGGATCAACCACTACATCAACACGCGATAGTACCCATTCTTCCAGTTGACCCAACAGCTTAGGGCACTTACACAGTATAATGACAGCAATCCCAACTCTATCACAAGACATTTTCTTTAAACAGTAGCGAAAGACCGTTTTCAGTACTGCATAAGACAAACAAGACGACTTCAAAACCACTCTTGCTATGATTTTGTCAATTTTTTTGCAATTCATCAACATTAGCAGTTCAAGAATATCTTGGTAAACTGTTTGCCTCTCGGTGTTTTCTTTATCGAGGACTGAAAAAAAAAATATATGTAAAAAATACAACATGCTTCATTGACAAAATAATCGAAAAAAACACAAAGTTGAAATAAAGTAAAACGCGCTAAAATAATGCAAATCTTAACACTTGCGCTTGAATTTTAAAATAAGCGAGAGAAAATCTACGATGAAACTGTAAAAAATTCATTATTTCAAATTTACTGCAAACCTTCAAGACCATCAGATTGTGTTGCTTCAACAAAACAGTCCACAATCAACAGAAACATCTCGCCATATGTACTGAGCGAATTTCTTTTTTTGACGGTGCTCTCCTGTATCGTGATCATTTGCTCTGTTGATAGGGAGGACAGGTAGAAACGGACAACTTTTTCGAGGATATCAACAGGCAGAAACATACGAAATGTTGTCAGGAGTGTGGTAGACGAAACGTTGTATGGACTATTCATCTCTGTATAAGAGACGAAATAAAAGATGAGAAAATGAACTACATGAAATAAAAAAGTGAATTGGTTATTACACAAGAATTCTTACAAGGAAAAAATACAGGCGTACTTCAATTATCCGTGGCAGGTCGCACGAAGACCAAATAGCGCTATCCACCGGAATGCTTTTGAACGTTCGAAAACCTCTCAAATAGGGAAAATATACGATTTGAGCTGAGCAATCACTGAAAGAAAATATTGCTTCTAAGATTAAAAACTTCTTGGTAATGAAAATAAGAACATCTTATTTTAAGTTTGAATATTTTACGATTCAATGGATAACGCTATCCAGGCTTCGTGCAACCTGCCCGGATGATTAGAAAAGAATAAACAATGCGGTTAAAGTGAGGTAGATCAAAGGATGAAATCTAAATTAGCGCAAACGACTTTCATGCTGGTTAAAGTGGTTCTATTTCAGCATTAAAATTGACTACCTACCCCTGCAATCGTCGTGAAAATTTTCTTCAATCAATCTTTCCAATAAACGTACAAAATATGGCTCCATTAACCCACGATACCTTTCCTGCAACAACTCGTGATGAAAATACTTCAAAAGTTCACAAACACAATCCGTAACTAACTCCGACACTTTGGAGATATCAGCTATCTTTGCATCGCCTGAATCAACGTAGTAATAAAACATTTCTTTAAAAACTTTGCATTCAAATACAATCTTTATGAATTTCTCCAACATTTGGGTGGCATTGCCTCTACCACATTTATCATCAACATTATCCACCCGTACTTTGAGGCTTTCGTCTATAACAGCAATCACATCTTTATGAAGCACGTTATCCCGAGTATTAAATATTACGTCATCGTGTGAAGAACTTGCGACGTCATCCATAATGACATCATTGGATACTTCACTATTCGTGACATCATCATCAAGTCTTACAGTATTTACATCGTATTTTAATCCTAACTCGCTGCAAACACCATCAAATATCGTCTTGTGAAGCTCCATTATTATTTTCATAATCTCAACCAGTAGATCTAGTTCCATATTTTTTTCAAGGTACATCTTATTTGAAGTAGTCATCAAAAGTTGACAAGCAAATAAGCATCGCTCCCAATCTTCGTTGCCCTTCTGTTTGTAAGAAACTAAGACTGCATCCCGCATTATCCCTATTGTATCCCACAGTGCAACATTTTCAGGGGTCAGTGTTGTTTCGTATTTTACGGCAAACAACAAGAGTTGACGAAGCAGCAAGTGACAAGGTATGCCATGGAGGATATCAGGTAGTTCTTTCAACTTGACTGAAGATATACAAAATTATAGTTTACGGGAAGAGAATTTTACAAGATAAACATAAAAGATGACAGCAATTTTAGATAAACTTGTCAATTGAGTAGAGCCTAGGTCACATATTGCAGACTCTGGTATATTTTAATAAAGTAAATGGTTTGAGCCCGGGAGTATCGTTACATGTTTGTGGATGTAGATCGTCCAGGTTAGTAGAGTCCTGAGAACGACTGTTGTTGTTGTTGGTGTTGTTCAGTGTTAGGTAGTTGAAAAGTCAGTCAACAACACCACCAACAACAGTCCTTTTCAGAACTCTACTAACCTGGACGATCTACATCCACAAACATGTAACGATACTCCCGGGTTCAAACCATTTACTGTGGTAGATTTTGTTACTTTTTGTCATTAGTGGACTTTTGTGATACTTAAATCAATAGATACATACTTTTATGGATAGTTTTGTGAAAACAAAAGTTGTATAGAGAATAGTTGTATGGGTATAACTCACTGAACACAATAAAAAACGGGATAAACTGAGATACCCAAAATTACAGGGAAAATTATACGCATTCAAATAATAATCGACTCACCAAATAAGCAGACAGGATTGCATTTTAAGTAAGTGACAACATCAAATAAAGGATCGCCTTTCTTGGAAGAAGCATACTTCGATAATTGCTTCGGAAAAAATCTGGATGCAAAATAAATAATAAAGAGTCATAAGATTCAAGTGCAATTTGTTCAATAAATATGTTGTTCTTGAATGTCAAAACGATATTTCAAGAACAAATCGTTGCAATGTTTGATGTGAAGACAAAAATAACAGAGATCTTCAGCACAATCAGTGGCAAAATACTAAATGATAATAAATAACAGCCCCATTTAATGTCAGTGACGTATCGCATGTCAACAAGTGATAATACAAAACGTTAAAGTCTTAAGATCTCATTGACATCTCAACCGTAACTGTTTTAATATTTGAGGCTATTGCATATCGAGGCTAGACTTAAGCCAGGACACATTGAATACCTCATTGAGCAATTGTTTTGTGGAGTAGCTAAGGAGGGTAAGGAGTACGGAGAGGGCTTGGGGTATGGTAGGAGGTATGGTGTGAAGTAGAGGGGCACCAAGGAGAAGATTGGTATATGTTGGTTACATATACTAAAGTCGGTCAAATTCACAAGCAGTCAATGGATAGAAATCAACTCGTGACCATATGGGAAACAAAACTAAATAACAAACCACGTCCACTTTCATCAGCAGAAATCCCTAATTCAACCCCATCATCATCAACGAAGTACCAATACTGTAAGAATTGGAGAAGAAACTTTGTTGATCGAGGATAGTTTGGCGGATCGCCTTGGGTTAGCATCTTGACAATCATATTGCACAGCGGTCGTGGATCATATTGCATATCCAGGATGTTCAAGAGGATAATATTGAGATAAGAAAATATTTTCGCTTCTTTTTTCTCATTTAAATACGATCGGAACAATTCCAAAGCACAAGGTACCAATGGCGTGAATGGCAGTGAAGAGCTGAAGAATTTTCAAATGCAAGCTTGGTTGAAACAATAACAAACAAAAACATCGTTAAGAAGAAAGTTTTGGCAAAATGCTTAAATTTGGAAAGCAATGCAAACATTTCACAGTCCACTGAATGTCTTATTTTAAATCATTCAAATGGACTCTTGCGTCCCCCCCCCTCTCTCAGTACGATTTTTTAATAACAGACGTGAATGTATGTACTTCATAACTACGACTTCTTGAATTTCAAAATTTGTTGTAGGAGTCATATAAACAAAATCCGCTTTATGAAATGCAGTCCCACGCGTATTTTAAACATTTCCATGTCTCATGTCTTCAAGAAAATATAATTTTCACTCCTAACCAATCCGGTGCATTTAATCACGTGATTTGAAAACGATGGCAACCGCTGGTCAATGATGTATAGCAACCTACCTTTTTTCTTTGGTCAAATGATCAGTTGAAGAATAAGAAACGGCATGCAGGGATTGCAATACTTGGTCGACAAAGTTAAAGGGATCGGTCGCCAAACAAGAATAGACTTGGGTCAAAAATAACACGATGTCATTTTTGTCGTTATAGACACACGGATCAAGAATGCCTTCAATCCAAAGGAAAACTTCGTTTTCATCTGTTTGGAAAACACCAGTTTCCACAATGAACTTAAAAGAGAACAAATTAAAAAGTAAATGATTTTCAATCTTTAGTTTTAGCGACTATAAAAACGTTGATTTGTCATAAAATGTTTGATGAAAATTTACCTTCCGAAGAAGTCTTCCCATCATGCTTTGAAAACGGATATTGGTTTCACGACAATAAAGTTGTAGGACCTTGGTGAAACACGAGGCAGTAACTGCTTTAGACTAAAACAAAAAGATAAATTCAGTTATGCTCGGTCGATGATCTGTTTACATAACGTCGGAGAGTTAAACCTGTCATTGTTGGTTCATTTGACAAAATCCTACAAAGCATTTATCTAAAACAAAATACAACAAATTCCGAAAACAGACATCTCGTTTTCTGGATATTCAAGATAATACAAGAGTTTTAAAACAAAAGATGGTGTAATATTTCGTCTTTATTCCAAAGACATCATCAGACTAATGATGAGTGTCTTAGTCTGATGATGTCTTAGGAATAAAGACGAAATATTACACAATCTTTTGTTTTATGACTCTTGTATTATCTTGAATATCAAGAAAGCGAGATGTCTGTTTTCGGAATTTGTTTTATATTGTTTTACTTAAAATTGTCTGCTTTGTCCTGATTATAAGAATTTATCTAATCAGTAATACGTTTGCCCCTTGCAGGAGAAGGAAACGCACGTGTAAAAGAGGAATTGTCCCGGCAATACAAGTTATTAGGAAAAGTTTGATATAATATCCGGGTTAAGCCATACAATTTTCAATAAATCAGTTGTTACATCTCGTTTAGCTATGTAATTCGAGTTATACAATCGCATTAAAAAAATAGAAATATCCCGTGTAAGCAGATATAAGCACGTACCTGCCATTTGAAATGTCGCAAGGGACAGCTCAATAAAATACGTAGCATCGAGAGTTTGCAAGATGAACTATAAAGTTTCTCCTCGTCAAATTCTTGGGTAGTAATTTCCATGGGTCGTAATTTGAGCGAACAGAAACAATCATTCGTAAGTTGCTGGTACAACGAAAGGCAAGCGAGAGTTCTACTCAAGATTGTCGAGGCGTCTTCAAGGGACATCGATGATTGTTTGTCTGCAAAAAACATGAGATCAAAATGAATTAGAGAACAAAGATGGAAAACGGATGTAGATAGACAGATAATCGATGAAAGATGGACAAAAAGAAGTTAGAATGAATCCAGTCTGCATTGTTTCACACAACTCATTATTACGAGATCTTTACATTTACAGTCTACATCTGACAAAAAAAAGTTATATAATATATAGATTCATCGTTGGCATGCACATACAGGTTACAGTATATCATTCACAGCAACGGTAGCTGGACTGATTACTGTACTTTGTCATGTGACCTGGCCACACAACTTATCTACAGTGTACGCAATGTCCAATATATCAACATATCTTATACAATGTCCATTGTCTTGGATTTCCTCGGCAGCAAAGAAAGGACTACCATACCTTTTGCATCATTCGTCTTGCTTCTGTTTGAAAGATTTTCTCGTATCCCAATAAGTGTTTGAAAACTCGGGAGAAATTTCATGATTTCGTCACGGAATGAAGCCATCTCATGATCGATAATGCTTTTTTGGTTGAAGAGATTCCGACAACGTCTTAGTATAACAACTAAGAGGCTAAGTGTGGTTCCTTTAACCAAGGAGTCGGATTGCTGTGAATAAAGTGGAATTGGTGTAAAGAATCGTATTCTTTGAAAAAGAACTTAAAACAAATTTACAAATCATTGCTTGTCTTAAGCAAATAAGACATTTACACGAAGAACAAGTAAAATACGCACAATTCTGATGAACGAAAAATACGAAAAGAAATTAGAATAAATGTTTAACGTGAAAAAATCATCGAAATTAATGAGAACTCTGATTTCATCACTTATTTCAAATCAACCCTAAAAATATTTAATACATTCGTGGCTTGTCAAACTTTTCAAAATTTTCAACTCGCCAATTCAGACGAGCATACATCGACCTCATCACAAATATAAAAATTAGCTGAAGTGATCGGGAAAAACTGAATAAAATACACGAAAAAAAACTTCAACAGCTGAGCACTATTTGTCAACGCATACCTTCCCTACACCCTGAGAAAGGTCTATAGTATCGTGCTATCCTCCTTTATCAATGAGGTGAATTTTGCCAATTCACAATATACATGTTATAAAGAAAAATTCACCTGTAGCCCACGGACCAAATGGCTTCGTTTCATGTTTTCAGGAGATACAAGTGCGAGAATTTTTGACTTGTTACAAGGTCCAGTGAAATTGCGGGATTCTTGAATATTTCGTGAGGCATCGTAAGATGATTACAGATTTATTAGAAACAGTATATTGTTCACCCATTGCGACGAGTTCCTGGGTTCGAGTGCCATATGGTATCCACGAAGGTAAGGAGATATAAGATCATGAGAGTAATAAAGGATATTAATGATAAGGTCAACCATCAGATTATCGTCTAAAGTCTTTGGTAAAGACTGAAGGAATCGAAGCAAAACAGGATTGTTCGAACTAGAAATGATAGTAAAACATCATCATGAAAAAAGTGGTGCTTTAAAATGCTTTCCTTACATATCCCGCCATGTTGCTTCATGCACTCAAGAAAACAGTTCAAAATAAGCCCAAAACTTGTATCCTTGATTTGAATATAGACTTCAAACTGTAACATCCCCTTTTTAGTGTTAACTATTGTGGCCATTGAACGATTCCCGCAAGTAGAAAATGAAAAGAGCGTATTCTTTATCTATTTCATATAAACAGATGAAGGATATACGCACATGCAAACATGGATACTGAAACTACTTTTTTTCAACTAACATAGGCTCAGTGTATCTCAATCTTTTACTGCCATTACACTTTTAACAGAACGCGTTATACACAACTAGCTTTCACTTTTGTCCATAGGCGTACGGGCCAAGGGTTGGGAGCTTAGTCGGGCGAAAATGTTGCAGAACCTTCATTGTGAGTTGGGGAAAATATTTACTGCACCCCCAGAAATGATAGCTCTCGTTCGCCAATGCTGTTGTCCATTGCCGTTTTGTGTTAATATTATATAAGTTTCACAACAATTCACCTCATGGAAAATATTCCGAGTTTATTTTCAAACGCGATGCCGTATGACGACGCACACAACTCAATCATGAACTTATGAATTGTTTCTCTCGTGACGTCATCCTTGTCGTATGCATAAAGCATGGCCAGGTGACACAACGATTGCGATGTGAAGAGAAAGATTTTAGTTTTCCTCATAATTGAACGATCACGAACAACCTGAAAAGATGACAAAATGTAGTGAGAGGCAGACTTAAAGAATGAAAAATGGATGTATTATTGGTTTGAACTCTCGAAGCATGCCTGGTACGTTGAAATAATAATGCGTGCCATCCACTATCCGTTCATTGAACTAAATACAACTGGAACGCTACCTCCCAAAATTTGAAGTCATAAAAACTCAACTAGTCCCAATCATTCGTCTGAGGACAGAAAGAAAGTTCACGAGGAAACTAAGCTTAAATACTTTACGTTAAATACGCGTGAGTGTAAGTAAAATTTGGCGTAATACAAGTACGTATAGTCATGTTTACCTATAAGGGTAAAATTTAGTTACATATTCAACTAGATGGCGCATCTTTTCCTTTACACCAGCTGTCAATTTATGAAATTACGCACGTTTCACCGTTTTTTTCTGTTCTACACCCGAAGATTTTTAGGTACTTCTTACCACAGGGAGGGAAGGTGCTCAAGAGGTTAAATATCACAATGACGAATTGTTAGACGAAGACGTCAACAAGCGATGTCAGTTATGACGCAAATATATGACGCAAAAATCACTGTTGAAATCATTAATAAAACAGACATTTCACTAAAGAAAATGCTATGCTTTTGAGAATTAAATATAAAATCCACCAGCATTTCCTCCAACTTAAAAACGCTCATCGTTAGCAAATAAACAAGTGCAATAATCAATACAATACAAAAAAATATGCTTGTAGTATACCTTTGTGAGCAGTGTTGACAATGTCAAATAAACAATAGTTGGTGAATCATCCATGAGATTTTTAAATATAGAAGAAACAAAACCTAAATGACGAAAAAAAGCTTGTCAGTTTTAAAATGAAACATCAGATATCGTGATGTAATATCAAAACACTTTAAGATAATGCTCTACGAGAATATAAGTCCAATAACAACACCATAAGTACAATAAAAACACCATAAGTACAATAAAAACACCATAAGTCCAATAACAACACCATAAGTCCAATAACAACACCATAAGTACAATAAAACACCATAAGTACAATAAAAACACCATAAGTACAATAAAAACACCATAACTCCAATAACAACACCATAATTCCAATAACAACACCATAAGTCCAATAACAACACCATAAGTCCAATAACAACACCATACGTTCAAAAACAACACCATAAGTTCAATAACAACACCATACGTCCAATGACAAAACTGTAAGTCCAATAATAACACCATAAGTCCAATAACAATGCTATCACCTTTTATTTTTATAACTTGCTCGATCAACATGCCATCGCCAACAACAAAGAAAGACAAAGCAAACTTTATAAAACATGTTCGCACATCCAGATTTGCCTAGTAATACAATAGACAAGCTTGAGACTGATGAGCAACTGGAGTGATGATTTCATACTTGTAGGAAAATCACTAATACATATGTACGTAATTACCTTTGTATTACAACGACGAGCAAGTGAGACAAATGTTTTGTGAGAGAGCTCTAATGCAGATAGTATCTCTCTGGCTAAGACTGGACCATGCATAACAATAGCTGTCAACAGCCTGAGGGTGGCAATAGTAACATTTTCAGAGGAAGAAGGGTTTAAAGAATGATACACAAGCTTTTTGTGATGTGTAAGGAGCTGTAACACAATTACTTCTGCCTTTGACTTTAACTTCATGTTGTCTTCAGCCAATTGAAGTGTGATAATCTCTAATATTTCAAAAACAATTTGGACCTGTTTACAAAGAAATGAAATCTTTGCTTATTCTTGTTTGACAGTATTTTATTTGTACGATTTAATACAAATCAATGCAGACCTCAAATAAAGATCTTTCCTCCATTCCCTCGCGGAACACAGCAAACATGTTGGAGCAGTCAAGAGAATTTTCCAAATACTTCAAAACAAGTTCCGTCTTATTTGGAGTGGATTTTAAAGTGACAAGAAATTGTTTTAATCCTGCAAAATACAAAATGATCATTAAGCAAAAATATTGTGAAGCAGATACATATCATTGCTCAAATACAGTCTTGTAACCACTGGGAATGACATTGGAGGTCATGGTTGTACCAACTAACATTTTTTGGCAGGGGGTCCGTACATTTTCAATCTTGAATGACTTAACTTACCCAACACCTCGGAAAATATTTCCCTTTTTAACCCAACAGTCCCCCCACCCATCCCTCATAATACGCCTATGTTGGGAGTTGGTAATGCAGCTTATCTGTTAAAGATGTAATTGTAGTTGAACCATTCTTTTATAACTACACAATTATTCCGCACCTTTTAGCCTTGTTTGCTTCGCTTTGGTCAATTTTAAGAACTCATTTACAGTTTTATCGGCGCTGGTATCGCCTGTAAGCTGTTCTTTCGATAGTATTTTACGAGATTTGCGTTGCTGATCCACAAGTGAGTCAAGTGACTCATTATGTCTCTTGAGTTTCTTACGTTTAACACCAACTTTCTCCATTTTTTCAACGTATTACAAATCTACCGAACATGAAAATTACGTATTCGCTGTTTGGAGGCCCAGTTGTTTTACATTTTGTCAAATCTACACGTATAATCAAAACATAAACTTCGTTCAAAGTATCAACACCATTTGGTGAAGCAACACACGTGTGCTAGCGATGTGAGCCCACAACATGAACAATTGGATATAGCCATACTTCGTGTTACCTGCGCAACTATAACTGAAAAAGTACCAGTTATCATTTTACCCGACATAACGTGTGAGGGTGTTTAGTATGCGGACGTGGGGTCAAGGTTGGTATTGGTATAGAGCAATTGGTATGAAGGTCATATTGAATGACGTCTCATGACGTCAGGTAAACACATACGAAAGTTGATATTTGAACAACAAAAATCTAACTCTTTAGTGGCAAGAAGCATAACTTTAGCCAATAATGCATATCCTTAAATCATAAGGAGAAAAATTTCCATTCAAAATGAAGAACATTTTATTTATTCTCTGTCCTTCGACAACCACGACAGTCCCTATATATCATTATATGTACATTATCTACTAAACTGTCTTCTATCTGAGCGATCTTTCTTTTGTTTGAAGATCTTAGTTTTCTTTAAATTTTTTGCATTTCTGTAGTTTGCACCAAACCCTCCACCACCACCTCGTTTTCTAGGTCTATCGCCTTTACTGCTATGTACAGCTGTAGTAGCGAATTAAGAAATTAACAAAAAATATAGAAATTTTAAGGTAAAGCACGTATACCACTGGCGAAATTATATTTGTGTTTACAAAAGTACACTTCAACTTAACATACTAAAAAAGGATACACAGATTAACAGCAGGCGGAACTTGAAATCCAAACGCCTTAGCAACCTTTTGCAAATCCAACGTATTCACGTTAAATATATCCCTATGCTGATGGGAAGAATACGCTTGAAGATAGGATCTGTAACCCTCTTTAGCTGACTTGTGAAGATAATAGTTTTTCGTGATCAACTTTTCAAGCTGGAAAAAGACGAAAGCAGTGACAAACAATTCGCAGCTAAACTCATTTTTTCCAATGAGTAAGTAAGGAGTATATTGACCAATAGTTCTTAGCGATATACTTCGACACTATTACAAACAAAGCCTTGTCAATACTTTTCGCTTATTCCAGAAAACATTATCTAAAAAATATTGCCATTGTTCCGACTCTAGATGAGTGACAATGGTGACAAAACGCATTCCTCTTGAATTCAAAAACAGGGTTATTATCTAAAGTATGTTAAAGTTTATCACCCAGATCAGTGAAATCCTGAGGATTGAGGATTGTTGGTGAAGATCACAGTGACAGACATTTCCACTCTAGTAATTCTTAACTGTAACTGTTACCTGTCATAGTTATACTTGAGACTGTTGCACGTGATTACGATTTTTACTTTTGATTGTTACGCGTTACAGACATTTGCAATTGACTGTGCGGCTTCAAAACTTGACGTTGCCAACGGCTAATTTGACGTTGCTATACAGCTATCTGATTGTTTCTAAGGCGTAACCCTGAGATAGCGTTGGTTAATAACAAGTTCCTCTACGAGTCTACGACAAAGACACACTGTGTGTCACCAATACCAATTTGAAGTCCTATATCTAACGATAGAGTTCAACGCTTTCAAACGTCTTTCCATACTTGCCAAATTTCGACATGTCACGGTTGTTTATTAAATAAGAACATTTTCCATAACCTAACGCGTACGCCTTAGCAACAATGAGTTAGCCATTAGTAACGTCAAGTTTTGAAACTCGAAACAAATGTTTAATTTATGCATGCCACAAGGTCAATTCCAAATGGCTGTATTGTGATTGTTACCTGTGAATGTTACCTATGATTGTTAATTGAGATTGTTAAAAGGGAATGTGACCAGTGATAGTTACCTGTGATTGAACGTTAGCGATTTTTGACGAAGAAACATCGTATTCATTAAGGGGCACCTAAAAATAATAAGGGCACATTGTTTTACACTAAACAAATGTCTTGCATAACCCATTTTAGTTACTTTTCTTTTCCAAACGTAAACATGATATCATTTCACAAACCTTAGCGTGTTTGAGATAGCGTAGAAAAGCAAGTTCTTCAGGCAGCAAAAACAACAAAGCGTGACCCTTTCCATGGGCGCCTCGAGCCGTTCGACCAACTCTATGGATATATTCCTGAAAATATGGAAAGAGATATGAGTCTAGATTTCATCTTAAAGCAAGCAGGGGCAGATTGAACCTTACGCAAAATAAATTACATCAATCTATCGTATTGTAACATTTCATTCTTTCGAAATCTATAGCCTATGTTACAAAGGATTCTAAATTATAACTTAGAGAGTATAATTTATTTCGTCCAGCCCTGGATCCGCTACTCTTAGTTCTACAGTGTACTTTGCAACTAGTGTAAATGTAACTTAAACCTACTCATGTTATCTTCCATGATATACACAACACAATTTCCTTCAACTTTCAGCAGGTTTATTTAGTAGATGAAATTAAGTCTATCACTTGCAGAATTTACAAAAGTTTTGATGCAACTTTGTGTATCGTTTTCAATAATCGTTCGATTACATAATTGAAAAAATATATTGTATATCACTTTTAATTGTTTGAAAGTTTTTATTGTAAATATTTGTTTTCTAAAAACTTGTTTTGTTGTCAATATCTACCATATCATTTGTACAAGCGGCCGAAACAGTGTTGTAACTACAGTGAGAAATTCAGTATGGTTTCACATCTCGCATTCGATGACACAGAAAAGTCACATCAAAACATTGTCGTTATATGTTGGTCACTTGTGTAAAACGCAGTCTTGATGGCACCATAAATATCCTCAGTAAAAAATTAGAGTTTGAAAACATCATTTTTTTTATCAAAGAATTTCTTTAACATCATTGGATTTCATGGCCAAAAACCAGCGATTTACTACTCGAGGAATAAAGAGGTGCAACATAAAAGGAAAACCTGAATCCAGTACGCGATAAAATACAGTACTAAAAATATGTTATAAAATGTATACAGCAAATATACAGTAATAAAAGGGGGTGCGAAAATCACCCCAATATTCTTGAAAGATAAATACATTATACAAAGTAAACCTCTGTGTACGTAATGTGAAGATGAGGTACCTTAGGATCATCTGGAGGATCAAACTGCACAATCCAATCAACTTCAGGGATATCAAGACCTCTAGCAGCCACATCTGTACACAAAAGTGTACCAGACTTGGCTTGACAGAATTGAAAGAATGTTGTGGTGCGTCTTTGTTGTTTTTGCTTGCCCTAGAAACATAGTAACATTTGCCGAAATTACTAATTTTCCTTTTCAAATGTTATAGAAAATGCTTTGCTAAAAGCACTAATCAGTGGAGAATTGGGTTATGTATCGATAGTTTCATGATTTTACATTCAATAAACTTCAATCTCTCATCATACAGTGCTTGCTCTCTTTTTGTAAAACTATAAATTCAATGAAAACAACATAACGCATACTTACATGGATATCCATGACATTTAGATCAATATAGTTAAGAAGCTCTGAATGATATTTGACAGAATGACAGGATGAGAAAACACCATGATTTTCTTGTCACGATTTTTCTTCAAAATGTAAACAACACCAGGAAACGCTTGTCAGATGGAACCACCAAATACCCCTAGACAGACAAAAATCATACAAAACATGTTTTAAATGAATGTGAAATAAAACCATATATATCAACAACTACTATTGTTTATAAACGACAAAGAAGCAATGCATTGAAGTACAAGCTCCAGTGAATCAACACTATAACTCTGTTTGGTGAGAAAATTTTCTACACATTGTTGGAACATTTACCTGCTCCAAGCCTTCAACAGTTGCTGTTTCTTTGTTATCATCAACACCAACATACAAAGGTGCTTTTTTCAAAGATATCCTTGCCAAGTCTTCAACATTTTTTGTTTGTGTTGCTGAGAAAAGTACAGTCATCCTTCGACCTAAACATGGAAGAGGATATAGAATGATTCAACATTGAGATGCTTCTCCTAGAAAGGAAATAAAACAATGTCTATCACATACTTGGCAAAATATGTATAATTTGTTTCATTTCTTCTTCAAAACCAATCTGGAGAATACGGTCTGCTTCATCAATAATTAAACATTGTAAATTCTTGAAATTAAAGCCAGGTGTATTCTATAGAAGATGATTAGATATGTAAACACAAATTTAACATCAATTTGATTACTTCTGACAACAGAAAACCATAGCATTTTCAGACTTGTATATGTATTTTCACCAGAAAAATTCAATGTAGCGATTCATTGATCATCATCAAATGCCATGAAGCACAAACAGAAGCACTTTAAATTGTCTTTATTTGAAAATACTAAGTGATCACCTGCAAATGATCCAGAAGTTAGGTGTAGCAACCAACAAGTTTACACCTTTCTGCAATTTTTCTGCTTCATTCTTTCTGTTAGCCCCACCCATTATGATACCATATGTCTGATTATGGTATTTAAGCAAGTCTGTCACAACTCCAAATGTTTGTAGAGAAAGTTCTCGAGTGGGAGATATTATAATTACACCAGTTCCTAAAAATAACACACACTGACTCTACGGAAGATAAAGGAATGATTTGGATGTGGCAATAAAACCCTCAAGAGACTTAAGAACCATACCATTTCTAGGCTTGAACTCCAGCTTATAAAGAAGTTCAATGGCAGGTACAAGAAAAGCTAATGTCTTTCCACTTCCTGTTTTAGCAGCACCAAGAAGATCTCTATACAAGAAGTATACAGTGAATTATGCCTCCATTTCAGAGAGAATTAGCTATTCATTAAGCATACATTGGTTTAACTACAGGAGGGGGGTATCAGAGTGTCAGTGACTGAGGAATCCGAAGCTTTAGGAGCCTTAGACAAAAAATGAACATAAAAATTTATCTAAAACTAAAACACATTTAAAAGGGAAACAAATTTTGAACTACAGATGTTTAGGTGGCTGTTTAAAACTATTATGGTACAACTTTGTAATTTTACTACTTTTTCAATGAAAAATCTTTTGTGTAGAGGTATTCTTTAGAGGCGAACTATCACTTATTATCAAACATCTATGTGAGAACTGCTTTATATAAACACAAGTTGTAAGTTGCAGAAACATAAATTAATAAATGCCATTAATCAGCCTATTTCTAGTGAAGTAAAGGGGGGGACCAGCAATGACTGACAGATGGAAGGCACCCACCATCTTTCAGCGTGAAGTAAAGGGGACACCAGCAATGACTGACAGATGGAAGGCACTCACCATCTTTCAGCCTATTTTTAGTGAAGTGAAGGGGGGACCAGCAATGACTGACAGATGGAAGGCACCCACCATCATTCAGCCTATTTCTAGTGAAGTAAAGGGGGCAGCAATGACTGACAGATGGAAGGCATCCACCATCTTTCAGCCTATTTCTAGTGAAGTGAAAGGGGGGACCAGCAATGATTGACAGATGGAAAGCACCCACCATCTTTCAGCCTATTTCTAGTGAAGTAAAAGGGGGACCAGCAATGACTGACAGGTGGAAGGCACCACCATCATTCAGCTTATTTCTAGTGAAGTAAACGGGGGACCAGCAATGACTGACAGATGGAAAGCACCCAGCAAGTGTGTTACGCCATTGTATGCATACCTTCCATTTAATAAAGGTGGAATACTCTTGTGTTGTATTTCAGTCATATGTGTGAAGCCCATTTCTCTAATAGCTTCCAGTGTTTTTTCTGAGACTTTTTCTTTCAAGGATTCAAATGAAGTATTTTCATTGGATAAAGCTGAACATGAAACAAAAACAAACTAATTGTTCGCAACATGCTTCATAAAATGATCATCATCACATTTCAACAAGAAACTTACTTGATGGATCAAAACCAGTAGTCTCCAAATTATCATTCTCTTTAGCACTATCAAAATTATCTGAGTCATCCACTTCTTTATTTCCATCAACAATTTTCTCACCTAAATATTTTTGATTAATCCTGTTTTAAACTACTTATTTTGTTCCTTATCAAGCTAAGATCTAGTTTACAATAGAAGGCCTTTTTCCCCATGTTCCAATGGTCCAAGACAGCCAGACCATACATACCACACTCAGAGTATCAGACCCCCCCCCCTGTGAAAGTTATTGACATTTTCTACAAGTACAAATTATTTTCCTTAAATTAAAACTAAGACGTAATGAAAATAAACTTCCGTTACCTTCGCTAGTTTCATCAGCAATATCCCCAATCTTCTTAGCCTTCTTCACTTTGCTTCCTTCGATTTAAGAGGAAAAAAAAAACTTCAATTGTAACCCATTTTCAAGCCCTAGTTTTAGTGTTTTGAAGTCAAATATACCTGGATGATCACCAGCAGAAGACTTTTTTCGTTTCTTCTTGAATTTCTTGTTTTGTTTTTCCATTTTTTTTGACAAAACAAAACTTCAAGTGAGACGTCGCACGTGCTGAAGGTATAAGTTTACATTAGAGCCCGCAAACAAGAAGGTCAGTGGTAGCGCAAGCCTGCAAAATTGTTACATGCCTGACTAAAACTCTCCTCAAAATCAGGCCGACAATATGGCGAAAAAAGAACGTCTAACGGCCGAGAGATCTTTGGTCTGCTTACTGCAAGCTTGCCAAGGCTACAAAACTGTGATCGAGTTTCGCGATGATTCATTCGCGGATGGCGTTTTGACTCAGGTCGATGGCTTTATGAACGTGTTTATGAATGATGTGGATTTTACTATGCAAGGTCAAGATACACGACATTTTGATGAACTCTTCGTGCAGGCCAAACAGATAAGATTTGTTCATATTCCCGATGATATAAACATGAGAGAAGCTATTGAGAGACAACTGAAAACGTTCAACAATGCAAACAAACCTAAACTGCGCACACCTGGAATAAAGGAGTCAAAAGTATGGCAACAGCCAAGTGCCAACAGGGGAAATATTTAATTTAAAATAAGCGATATTTGTATGTGTCTATCAAATTTCATGTTTAAGTATATACCTGATGATTATTTTAAGAATCTTACTTGACGATAGACCATCTATGACACGAGAAACAGAGAACAAGAACAGTTTTTACACTACCTAAAATATAAACTAAGATAACATGTGTCATTGTTAGGTGGTGATGAATGAACAACAGAGAACCGAGAATGATGTAAATCATTGATGGCTACATTTTAAACCAAGTTGAAGTTTGCAGAATGTCGCATTATTTCAAATTTACAGCATGTCTATACGAATATGTTTTGAATACTTAAAATAATGATGCACTTAACAAAGCTGCTCTAGAATTACACCATAATTGAGAATAATCTTCTTACTTCGCCTGATGGTGGATTAGAAATGGGAATCGTATGGCAAATTGAATACATTTTCCTTCATGTTAGTTTAATGAAGTACAAATCACAACATAGAAAGAACAAAACACTTATCAAAATGCCAATCAAGTGAAAGTCTTGCAAACACATACACAACATGGCATCTTCGTTCTCAAGTATCCAACGACAAAAATGTAAACATCTTGCAGGAATTAATGCTTTGCTCCAGCAAATCACAGACGCATTATATTACAAAAAAAATTTAATTCATCATATTAATCTAAGGTAGGTAAGTTTTTTGATGCGTTTACAACATCCCACAAGACAAGACTTCCCATATTCAGATACATTAGACTCTGAAGTGATATGAATTAGTTTTACTATATATATGTGATAGTTTTAATACATATCTGTTTGTTTCACAAAGGTTCTACTGGTTTGGCATGCCTAAGAAAAAGAAATACACAATTATGCAATATAACAAAAAACTTCTTGTCAGACCAATAAACATATCACAGAGTAGCACAGAGATATACCTCCTATGAAGGGTTGATTGAAAATCAAGGGTAGAATTTCACTTTAAGGATGTAGGTAGCATGTCACTTCAGGGGTAGGGAGGAGTAAAATCTCTTTTTAGGGGTGGGGTAGGGATAAAATCTAAATTTATGGCAAGTAACATCAAGGCTGTACATAATACCTCACTTCAGGGGGTTGATAAAATCTCAACTTAGGCAGGAGGGTGATGTCTAAATTTTGGGGGGGGGGTAATATTTCAAACCAATGTACAAGCTACTTAAAGATATTGAAGTAAAATAACATGTGATGGCGATTGGGCAACATGCTCCAATAATATAAAATTTTACTTTGAACTTTGAAATGAAATTTTTAATTTTTAAAATCAGATTTTCAAACAAGATTTGGCAAACAATTTAGCAATACAGGTGCAAACAATGTAAAACGAATTTGCCCCCGATAATGGAAATTCTACAAATCTTTGGCTTATAAGGAAATACTGAAAAAATTTGATTGCAATTTGAGCATACATGAACTTGCCATAAATTTTTTTATTGCAATATTACTAGTGACAATAGATCTGTCATCATTCAAAATATTTAACTCATGTTGAATGCATTTCCCTTGTACTTAAACCATTATCATAAAACAAGTTAGTCTTACTCGTAATTTGCCCATCTTCCAAGCTGTATTAGTTGACAAGTTTCATTGGTCATGTGGCATGCCAATAGCAAAAGGTTACGAGGTTGGACTTTCCATGCAAACCTCATGAACAATGCAGAATAAACACATAATGCTAGAAAAGTTGAATAAACATGTTTTTTTATCGAAGTGACAGAAGAAATGAAACATTCAACAGAATTTACCGGACGTCATTTTTCCACTGATGTATTTGGGATCTTTCTTCATATCTGCCATTGCTGCCAAAGGTATGCCCCAGTTTGCAACTATAATGATAAAGAAAAGTGAAAATTATAAACATACCAGCAATATTTTGCCATTCATGACCAATTGTATGGTAGAAGACAAATTCCTTCATGAGACAATAATAAGATTCATCAAATAATAAATGTGGAAGTTCTTACCAGGACCCCAGAAATGCTAAAAAGAACATCTATGTTAGCCTTCGGTAATTTTACAAAATCGTCAAAACCATATACACTACCCAATAAACACACAGTGAGAATGCCCATTCTTAAGTTTGTGAGTACCAATTATGCACTAGTACCAGTTATGTTTTATGCGTATTGTATGCAAATTGCATAATCAAACTTCAAGTAGATGATGATCACTGCCAAGTAAGAAAATATAAATGTTTAAATGGGTTGTCTTAGAGTCGTTTCCATCAACAGGTAATGTTAATAAATATAATGATGAAAAATTACATAAAGTATTTGCAAGTTTGTAAATAAAATCCAAATTGGGCGGGCATTGCCCCTCTTTCATGATCAGTGGAGGATAATAGCCCTCCCCCACACTTCTAAACACATTACTAAAACTGTCTGATCATACAAACCTGCAATTCACAGCACATACTTTTCAAGACAATCAACTTACCGTACTGGAAAGAAGAAATAAACAAATTTTACAAGAATTTAACACAAAACGCCGGCAAAGTAAAAGATTACATTGTTTTTTTATCACAAGCACAATACACATATCTTATCATCTACCTCATTAAATATGAACGAAATTCTTTACTTCTTATCCTTGCAAACAAGTTACCAATCATCCTCGATGCCATATTTTGATTTAAAAGGGCAAAAAGACGAAAGCGACTTTGCACTAATCGTTCTAAAATACTATACTCTTTCCAAGACCGGCGTCCACGTAAAATAAGTTGACTTTAACAAAACCCCCTCCCGCACACGTAATTTAAGCCACCAGCTCCCCCCTGGCACAGCGAGGCATCTAATAAAAACACACTGAGTTTGGACTTTCGGCGAGGTCAGTTTCATACGAATCATAATGCATCGTTATTCACTAGCTACAGTTAATAAATTACAGTTTCTTTCTGTTGAAATTGGTCTTGATTTCGTCATGTCGGATGTTGGCCATTCTAAGATAGCTTGTCTACGGTATTTCTGAGGGAAAGCCTCTTCTTTTGACTATGTAGCTCAACATCAACCACCTTAGAACTTGATGAGCTGTATTGCCAATATCGAAATGATGTTTGGGAATGCAGTGGGCCATTTGTTATTCTTTGTCTATGTAAGGAAAAAGAATGTCAAAAAATTTGTATTTCATGGTTAATGGAGCTGCATTACAACATCATAGAAAAAATAAAGTTTAAATAAAAAAAAACTTTTAAATACAAACATGTAAAATTTGAAAGCAAACTTATCCCATAATGCGTGCAAAAGTAAATAAAATATTTGCATGGAAGATAATTTATGGCATGGTTTCAGCTTCTCATCTTATAAAACTGTAAAACTGAAGATGGTGTAAGTATGTGGACACATGTTTGCATTCAGACATTTGTAGAATATTCGAAATGTCTATTTTATCATGACACTAATAAAATTCATTGTTTATCACATAAACCTGTGTCTTGCATGAATGGGACTGTCAATATCATGAATTGGCATTCGGAGCCATGTTTGACAGGTGGTGTGCTGTCTTCGACATGGAAGCAAAGAATCACAAGGTTCAAGAGAGTTTTCAAATCCCTAATATTCACATATTGTCCAGCCCGGCATCTGGTTATGTCTTGCTGTTCAACAAAGCTTCTATAATCTTGATGTAAGAGTGGATCATTCCTGTGCAGATTTCCAACTCTTGCCTAGCCAAAAGACAAAGCTGCTGGTTAGCTTCAATGATGTTATGGTTGGAGGATCTTTTCCCTTCCTTTTTTCAAAGAGTCTCGTCTTGCAAATTTTGTCTGACATATTATCATCATTGGTATGAAGTAAAGTTTTGAATAAGTTCCCTCCCTCCATTTTTGTAAAAGTTGCCAGGCTTGTAAATCATTTAGTCAGTCCTTTTCCTCTCTCCTTATTGAAAAAGTTGCCAGGCTTGTAAATCATTTAGTCAGTCCTTCCCTCCCTTATTGAAAAATTGCCAGGCTTGTAAATCATTTAGTCAGTCCTTTTCCTCTCTCCTAATTGAAAAAGTTGCCAGGCTTGTTAATCATTTAGTCAGTCCTTTCCTCCCTTATTGAAAAAGTTGCCAGGCTTGTTAATCATTTGGTCAGTCCTTTTCCTCTCTCCCTTATTACTAAAATTACTGGCTTGTTAATCAGTTAGTTTGTCTTTTCCCTCCTTCCCATCTAGCAATGCTTGCCTGGCTTGTTAATCAGTTGTACCTTTAATGGACCAGGTCTTATACAATTCAGCCATGTAGGATCATATTCATTCGGAGAAATAACATCTAGAAAAGCTATTCCCTAAAAATGAAGGATTATACATTATACACCAAATCAACAGCTTTTGATAATGGCAGCCATTCACCAATCACCTTTTTATTCCTGTAATCAATGTATTGATCATATAGTTGCCTCTTCTTCTCTTTATATACCTTATAATGGCTGCTGTTCATTTCTGATTTTATTGCTTCCTTCGATAAATTGACACTCAAACTTCATTTTCATTCACGGTAAATCCACAATCATCAACCAAAACCCACCTGCATTGGAATGTATACTCTCTCTGTCCATTTCTTAAATAATTCTGCTTTTTATTATTATTTGCCTCATCAATATGTTCCAAATAACCCTTGACATTATCTGCAAGCAATTTCTCATTGTCGAGAACAGACCTGTATAGATTACGGACTGACCTGCTCTCCAAACTTGATCTTTTCTACAACATTTATTAATTTACGACAAAATGAATACCACTAAAGGTCAGAAGTCAGAACATCACACACATCACTTATTTTGAGATATTTTGGGCATATACCAAAATACCTGAATATTCTCAAAAGAATCACTATCCAACCAGCTCTGTATTTTACAATGACGCAAGGAGTTGGCTGATAGCGTCGACGTAGGTTTTTCTGGTTGTAAATAAGTTGGTAATGAAGTCTGTTTTCTCGGAATTGGTGGTGCGCTGACTGACCTTCGATAAAGTCTGTTGGCTTGCTCCTAATAACAGTTTTAAAAGCAAAGTAACAAAATAATCTATCAATACAAAAGAAGAAAGACAACAGCGAAAAAGATGAATTGCCAATTGGTGTAGAAAGTACACATATCGTGAACGGTGCACCGTCGTAACTCATAAGCACCTGATAAATATCCCTATGTAATGAATCGCCTGCGAAAATTTCTTGCATAATTTCAGGCGTATGAACTTCAATTCGTCCACACTTTTCTTTTATATTAGTCCTTGACATCTTCACCACAAAAATTGTAGGTTAAATTAAATGTTGGAGTTCCTTCGAGAAACAAATAATGTAAAATTTCATTATTTTGAAAGTACTGGCACCTGTTGCTATAGAAACACACTCGACGGACTAGACCCAGTCTCTCTCAAAATTATCCTCGTTCAACTATTTTAACATGATTTCAGCTTTCCTGACTATGCGTTCATCATATAAAATTCCATTGTTTTTATCATAAAATTTCATGTAAAAACGTAGGTGTTACCTTATTAAAGACAAAGTACTATACACAGCTGACTAATATTTTAGTTGACATCCTGTTTCTTTGACAAAAATCTTTCAACATATTTTGAAGTAATTTTAAGATAATAATCAGGTTGATTTGGAAAGTAATCATGATAGCTAAAACCATGATTTCTTGATTTAGGAATGGCTGTTTCAATTTGCGTGCCTTCATGCCACTCATTAAATGATGTTATGGAAATGATTTTTGGCTGAACAGCAAGAGCTGCTTGAAAGCTCCTTCGGTAATATTCGCCATTATTTCGTGATCTAGTGTTCTCATAATTCCATGGACGTATACTTATATCAGTGTAGCCAGGAGCAACACTAGGAATGAAGATTGTATCAGTTTGGGTTGCAAATGATGCTAGAGCAGACCATGCACTCCAACGTGAACCATAGGTAAACCCATTCACAGCAAAATATGTATAAAATCCATCAAAGCCACCAATAGTTATAAAATCCCTATGCGTGAACTCAACAATTAATGCAATCATCACACAATCAAATCTTGTATTTCGTATGGTCAGTCTACCCTCAGGTTTTAATAATTCAGCCCATTCCTGTGGTGATGTATGGTAAGAGTCATATATGTACAACAAGGGTAAAAGACGATCATCACGAGTTCTATGTTTATAAAATGCTGGGTGTTTGAAGTAGTTTTCATGTATGTATATTACATCTTTCCTTAGAGTTTCTTCATTACGACCATTATATGGTTCAATATGTAGAGTAACTTTAAGACCAAAATCATGAGCAATATCTAGAAGCTTTGGCACAAGTCCATCAACAGGGATCCCTTGATCATCAGCTTTACCTGCAGGATACCAGGATACAACTACTACTCCTGCTCCTGAAGAACGTATCTGTTCCATGTGATTCTTTATCGTACTCACATCACTTGAGCTGTAGCAGCCAAGTTGTGGATAAAAGTCTGATCCAATATCATCGGGAGGGATGTGAGCCCCATTCTGGAACCTTTTAGCTATTTCTTTTCTCCAGTGTGGCAGGTATTTGTGATTCCAGTGTATGTATTTGCCATCTGTTTTTGGGTTCCCATACCAAATGTAGTAAAATATATGAACATTGGGTGAAACTCGTTGAAATTTTATTTCATCTAGTGCTTTGTTGTTGACAAATACCATGCTTGTTTTCTCCTTCCCTTCACCGTATCTACACGAACTTGCAGTTGTTTGCGAGCTGTATCTTCAATTGATTGTGATGTGAGTTTTCCTTGATCTAATTCATACCTGTAGCTGTGTAGTTCATGTCTTGTGGACGCCATCACTTTGGACACATTTTAAATATTAATCTAATATGTCCGATCTTTGCATTTTGTCCTTCAAAAACCCACGTAACATAACAAATAATTGTTAAAAAAGCACAAGCGATGAGAAACTGCCATTGTTTTCTTTTTGTACCAACAAAATAACGAAGAACTTTCATGATTTTCGCTAACAAAATCCCTCCATGATGACATGTCTCTCATATGAGATTTTCACTCGTTTCCATCAACTACAAAGTACAAGGACATTAATTTAGGTTGTGGTCGGTAATACAATTGCTTTCTCTCATCTTTACAAACACTCACATTAGTGCCTTTAAGAAATATAGGCTTCATTAATAGATAAGTAAACAGATCTCTAGCTTGTATTCAGAAAAGTGTATTTTTAATGGTGCTTACATAAAGACGAATGGAACGTTTTTTCAGAGGTTTACTTTATATTTGTAGTTAGGTACCAATATGTACCTAATACCTTGTTGTGCCTCTTGTTGAGCAATAATTTTGCCAAAGCAAGTGGAACAAAGCTCATCCCTACATCGAGGAAAACTTAAAACTCTGGAGATCGCTCAACCATTCGTTAAATGACCACCCGTTTACAGAGAGAAATATAGAGTTTGTCTTAAGTCTGTTTGTACGCCAAAACTCTCGGATAAAATCATTCTCGTGACATCAATAGACCACAGGCAAAGCAAGCCCAGTTATAACTACAAAAGCCGACTCCAAAAGCAGTATATTTGTGAAGAAAAAATAATGATAAAGTTCTGAAATTTACATAGCAGGACTAAAACTTGCGGGCTGGCTAAGCCAATAATTGGAACGTGTATGCTAGAGTATTTTTCAGTAAATGGTTTGAACCCAGGAGTATCGTTACATGTTTGTAAATGTAGATCGTCCAGGCTGAAGATGACTCTGACTCTGATGAAAAAACTCTGCAGATAAATTTGACTCTAAAGATGACTACCGCTAAGGTTGTCGAAACGTCAGTCAACAACAACAAAAACAGTCCTTCTCAGGACTATACCAACCTGGACGATCTACATTTACAAACATGTAGAGTATTTTTTGTTAAGCCACGATACGATAACTATAACAGTTTTGGTGCATGCATTAATTAATGGAAATCACTTTCTTATCGTGCCGTTAGCTGATGAAAATGTGTTTAGATATTTTATACAAATGGATCAAAAAAACCTTAAAAGAAGAAAACCTATTGTAAAATGTAAATGTTCGATATACTAATTTAACTGGTGCAATACTGCGCATATTTTGTTGCTTGAGTTGAGGGTTACTTTTAATTCCCAGCAGCAGGAAAGCTTTTCCACTAATATGACAAAGATGTGTAATACATGCACATAGATGACAATACTTTATGCATTCGTGAGTCTAGAATAGAGATAGGCATTGCAATTATCACAAATTATGATTCACAATACGTCAATCGAGAGGTCTTCTTTCTTTTATACATCCTACTATTAGTCTTAGATAAATATAAATAAAATAAATAAAAAGAGATAACAAGAGAATTGGTCTTATTAAGAAGTGATGATCTTGCATTTATTTATTCATTGACTTATCATGGGTGAAGTCTGTGCCTTGTAGAAGTATACTGATCATTAATTCCTAAAAGCAAAGAATACATGTACCAACTTTATAGATGTGTTTCCTCCTTATCTCGCAGTTTCAATGCCATTGACAGATGGCATTGACATTTCCAAAGGTGAAACTGAATTATTTTTCCCTGTTTCATTAGCGTTGTTGTTCCCAACTTCATTAGCGTTGTTGTTCCCAACTTCATTAGCGCTGTTGTTTCTTGCTTCATTAGCATTATTGTTTTCCGCTTCATTCTTAATCATCACTGAGTTATTCTTGGATGACGGGTGATCTTTATCTGCGTCCCTAGAAAGCATTTCAAGTAGGTTGTCTGAGCAGAAACAGCGCAAACAAAATGATTTCAAAGCATCATGGTAGCTATTCCCATTCTCTCAAAGTCCTAACACTTTTACCAAAATGGTGGTTATGACATCATGATAATTGCTATGAGTTAGTAACGCAAGATGAAGTGATAATTGGAAGAATAAATAACTCAGTTATAAAAATAATCAAATCCTTTAAATCAATCATGCATTATTTACACAACACCAAGATAAAAATACGAAGTAGTTATTACTTTGGTTCTTTGTAGATGTAGATCGTCCAGGTTAGTAGAGCGCTGAGAACTGAAGATGACTACCGCTAAAGCTGTCAAAACGTCAGTCAACATCAACAACAACAGTCGTTTTGAAGATGACAACCTCTAAGGTCATCGTCTGAAGGTGAGTTTATCATCTGAAAATGACAACCGCTAAAGTTGTCGAAACGTTAGTCAACATAAACACAAACAGTCCTCGAGACTCTACTAAACTTGACGATCTACATCCACAAACATCTAACGTTACTCCCGGGTTCAAACCATTCACTTTTGTGATTACTTTCAAAATCCTTTTCAAGCCGATAATTTGAAAAAATACATGAAAAACACACACAATAAATGATAAATCTTGCCTCCTCCTGTTATAATTAGAATCTTGAGTTTACAAGATGATGTTTTTTGGATTGCGTTTTATCATTAAGTGATTACTTTGATTGACAACTGTTTGAATTTCACTGATTTAAAGAAAGGAAAATTGCCGCTTTAGGTATATGCAATAGTGTTTTGCCCCAGACAACGTCGCTCTCATATAGACTCACAAACATCACTAAAAGCCACCTTACCTCTTAGCAGGTGAATTCTGTTTCACGTCATCATCATCTTCAGGGTGTACGTTTATATGCCAACGACAAAAGATGGATAGCCATACTGGTAGGAAACAAAGACCGTGAAGCAGACCGAGAACAACAATTCCTACAAACATTCTGAAGAAAATTCGGAAAATCTCTGAAGACGCAAAAGCTGTTACCACCATTCCTAAGAACGTACTGAAACCTAAGGGAAAAAAATTTAAGTGATAAAAGTTGACGGATAGGAAAACCATATGTATAAATCTATGATTCAAATCACTTCAATATATAGTTGTTTAATGGAGGTGAAAAGAACATTGGTAAGGATAAGATGCGGTACGATACGAATTTGTAAAACACCTACCGCCCATTATTACACTTGCCCCTGTCGTCCTAAGAGCTTCGATAACTTTTTGTTCAGGATTGTTTTCCGTGGAGAATACAAACGAATGAGCTACGTGAGCACTGTAGTCAACAGCAAAACCGATCGCCATTACCAAGTTGATCATTGAGATGGAGTTTAATGAAACGCCACATATATACATGAAACCTGAAAAAACAGAATAGTTGAAATGTCGATTTTATGGACTTACAATGTCGCCTAATAACCATGATTGCTACGTCTTACCTAGCAACTCAAATATCAGAGACACAAACCCAACCAGCACTAGAAGAATGACCAGCGGATTCACCAAAAAGAAACTGGTTGCAATAGTTATGGCAATAGCAGCAATGACAAGACTACGCGTGGTTTCGCTTTGGATGGCTATGAACTGCTCGATATAGATGAATTGATAGGAGCTTGCAAAAATAGGAATGCTTAGTTTATCCTTTAAATCCTTGCGAAAGGATTCCAAAGCTTTGCGAAGGATTACAGAACGCGATGTTCCGATCATATAACAATAAAATCGCGAAGAAAGAATCGTTGTATTGTCTTCAGCAAAGAAGATATCTTTCCTGAACTGTGGGTGACTAAGCAAAAATCATCAAGAGAATCTGAAAAGATGTAGAAACAAATTGCAAGGATAGTCAAGAGCATAATGAGTTGAACAATTTATACATTTTCAAGAACTGTGACTCTAGAACTCGTGTGCTGACATTTGAAACACAAACTTGTTTAATTAGGATTTTCAAACTCATAGTTTTGATAGCTATATTTGGTGATTAAATGTTGCAAGTTGATTTTTTTCAAAACAACTTTTACAACAATACATCTACGTGCATCAGAACCAATTAAAATGGAAAATATTGAAAAATTCTTTAGTAAAACTTGATGCAAACAAAAGCAGTTGACTAGTGACTAGCAATCCACTCAGTTTCGATTTCAACCAAATCCTTAGCTAAAAATATTAAACTCTTAATTTTCTAGTGTAAACAACCTCGTTTCAAAGTTGGTATGTCATAAGGATTTTCGGAGCAAGAGGGAGTCAGACAGGGAGGAGTTTAGGAAAGAAGAGTAAAGGAGAATGTCAGTTTTTTAATCTTTTTGTTGGACGCATATACAACTACAAACATCTTACCCAGTACATTTTCTGTTTTGTTTCGAGTTTTGTTACGCCATTTCTGAAGTTCTGTAAACCATGATACAATGTCAGGGCGAAAATATTTGTTTTCCCTCACAATTCCCATCAAACTACTCAATTCACTCTGCGTTAAAGGGTTGGAATAATTCACTCCAGACTCCACGATGATATCAACAGGTGCATCAGTGTTAAAGTACTTTTCGACTGTGTCCAAGAATTGTATATATATTGAACCATCTTTGGCCAAATTTCGACGATCAAAATCTTCCTTTAAAAAATGTTGTTCCATAAATACCAGCTCCTAACAAGGCCATCGATACAAGAGCAATGATCACTTTAGAAGGTGGTTTCATGATGAAATTTCCCCAGTACTCCATAAATTTGTTGGACATTTGCGGTAGGGGCTCGTCCCAACGAGATTTCCCAGGTGGTGGGGGTGGTGCTTTGATAAAAGGGAACATATCCCGGCGGCCATCAAGCATACGACGGCAATCGTATGACATAAAAGCCACAAACATTGTCATTAAAAATACAAATGCAAATGAAATGGCAAGTGCAGCGAATGTGCAGAAGTAGACAATGGATAAAAATCTTGATGAAGCACCAACAGCAAATGCGAGAGAGTCTGTCAACGTTGTCATGGTGACTGCCGGGCCGACGGTCTTCATGACAATGCCAAGCCTTTTGGGAATGTTCTGGTCTGGTTCGGACCTATCGAGCTCATCAACTATGATAAACATGTCATCGATACCAACTCCAATGACAAGAAATGGTAAAATTCCAACAATGCTGGTAAACGGTGTCTGTACCAGCATTGAAAAACCAAAACCAGTTAGAATACCAAAGCCAACACACAGTATACCACCAAAGGCTAACAAACCATGACCAGTCAAAGGATTACGATACTTGCCCAACATGAAACACGCAAAACTTATCATTATCGTGAATGTCAAGGATACAAGCTTCACATCGTTCCCGGTACTTTCTGCGATTGCTTCGTCGATACTGCGTTCTGCGTTGTACACCAAGGATCCGCAGTCTAAAGGGGGATAACTTTCCATTTTTTTCAAAAATTCTTTCTCCCAATCCTCTGAGGATTGATCAACATCATCACCAATCTCAACTCCTCTGATGTTGTAAACGAATCTCAATCCTTTTGCAGACAAAATTGATCCATTTCTGCTGTACTTTGCTTTACCAAGAATCCGTGAAAACAGCCGACCACTTGTATTCGTGTAATTGTTCAATGTAGGCAACAAATTAACGAAATTTTGCGAGTAATTAAACATCCAAAACGGTTCTTCCCGTTTACAGTAGCTCGTTGCTGCTAAAGGATCGCTTTTTATGTTTGGAAGACAAACGCTTTTGTATCGTGGAATGGAAACAATCGCCTCGTGAAGTTGAAATGCTTCTATAAAACACTCTTCTGTCAAAACGTTTGACTCATTTTTTCCTAATATAATTATCTCTGCCCTTCTAGCAGGGTCATAAAAACCGTAGTTGTTTGCCTTTCTCAGATTCTTTACTGATTCGCTGTCCTTAGGAGCATACAAGATCTCTGTTCTGTTTTCCACGCGAAAAAAAGCAAATCCAGATGCTGAAATCGCCATAAAGAAAACCGCCAGTAGGATTGTTTTCGAGGGATATTTACCAACTTTCTCACCAAGAAAAGAAAAAAACCGAGAGATTGTGTCGTTGCAAAAACGACATAGTTTAAGATATCCTTGCCAGGGATTGTAACGCTTCCAACAAGAAAGTCTATATTACGAAGAAAGACAAGTCAGTCATGTATATCAATGTGGCGACTGTGGTAAAATGGTGGTGATGTTGAAAACGAGGAGTGGTAATGTTGGAAGAAGGCTGGTAATGTTGAAAAGGAAGGGTGGTAATGGTAGAATGGAAATTGTATTTTTGAAAGAATGGGAGATAATGTTAAAGAATGTGTGGTATGATATCGCGAAATATTGACGAATCAAAATCAAGAATCATTACATCCCCCCCCCGGAAAGTTTAGGCAATGATTAAATCTGTATCCCTGAATGAATGACTCAGAAGAATTTTCACAGATGATTACAATGACATAACTGACAAGATTACGTGGAAACTTTGCATATAACAACATACACATACACATTTACCTCGACATTTTCAGCTGGCAATCTCTAAATGCGAACACAACATTAGAAATTGCTAAATAGATGTTTTTATGCACAGTTATAAGAGAGGGGGGTGGCGGGGTGCTCTTCGAAAACAGCCCTTGAAAATTCTTGGTTCACCGCTTTATGACATTTACTCCGGCGACAGCGAGGACTGAAAACCGGCTTGCAACGAAAGTTTACGAAACACAGATTTCAACGTTTCCGCACTAAATAACAAACATAACCAAAATCATAACGTTTTCATAATATTTCTATGTACAAAGGTTGCCATCTCTCCTTGCTTCCGTTATTGAGCAATTTTTCTTTGACAATTTTTATAAGTTGTACTCAACAAAAAGCAATTGAGAGGAAAGGGTTTCAAAAATATTACCTACATTAACTACACAACGGTCAGGTGTAGTTCCAATGAAATTATACAAACTTTTATATCGCCAAAATCCCTGTAAAATAAAAGCTGTTCAATATGCACTACAAATGTAAACAAAACAGCGTCATTCGCATTAACATTTTAATAACGGGTTCAGTTTAGCTTTAAAAACAAAAACGTCATAACTTTACCCTCAATGAAGTAGACTGAAGTAAAAAAACTCTGTTGATAATTGAATAAACCAATATGAATACTTATCTTCTCATGGTGGCGTCTGTTGCTATAGAAACACACTCAACGGACTCAGTGAACTCCATATATATTATTCAAATGTCGAGTTCACTGAACGGACTAGACCCAGTCTCTTTCAAAATTATCCTCGTTCAATTATTTTAACGTGATTTGCGCTTTCCTTCCTATGCGTTCATCATATACAATTTTCCATTGCTTTTATCATAAAATTTCATGTAAAAACGTAAGTGTTACATTATTGAAAGGAAAAGTACTATACACAGCTGACTAATATTTTAGTTGCCATCCTGTTTCTTTGACAAAAGTCTTTCAACATATTTTGAAGTAATTTTAAGATAATAGTCAGGTTGATTTGGAAAGTAATCATGATAGCTAAAACCATGATTTCTTGATTTAGGAATGGCTGTTTCAATTTGCATGCCTTCATGCCACTCATTAAATGATGTTATGGAAATGATTTTTGGCTGAACAGCAAGAGCTGCTTGAAAGCTCCTTCGGTAATATTCGCCATTATTTCGTGATCTAGTGTTCTCATAATTCCATGGACGTATACTTATATCAGTGTAGCCAGGAGCAACACTAGGAATGAAGATTGTATCAGTTTGGGTTGCAAATGATGCTAGAGCAGACCATGCACTCCAACGTGAACCATAGGTAAACCCATTCACAGCAAAATATGTATAAAATCCATCAAAGCCACCAATAGTTATAAAATCCCTATCGTGAACTCAACAATTAACGCAATCATCACACAATCAAATCTTGTATTTCTTATGGTCAGTCTACCCTCAGGTTTTAATAATTCAGCCCATTCCTGTGGTGATGTATGGTAAGAGTCATATATGTACAACAAGGGTAAAAGCGATCATCACGAGTTCTATGTTTATAAAATGCTGGGTGTTTGAAGTAGTTTTCATGTATGTATATTACATCTTTCCTTAGAGTTTCTTCATTACGACCATTATATGGTTCAATATGTAGAGTAACTTTAAGACCAAAATCATGAGCAATATCTAGAAGCTTTGGCACAAGTCCATCAACAGGGATCCCTTGATCATCAGCTTTACCTGCAGGATACCAGGATACAATTACTACTCCTGCTCCTGAAGAACGTATCTGTTCCATATGATTCTTTATCGTACTCACATCACTTGAGCTGTAGCAGCCAAGTTGTGGATAAAAGTCTGATCCAATATCATCGGGAGGGATGTGAGCCCCATTCTGGAACCTTTTAGCTATTTCTTTTCTCCAGTGTGGCAGGTATTTGTGATTCCAGTGTATGTATTTGCCATCTGTTTTGGGGTTCCCATACCAAATGTAGTAAAATATATGAACATTGGGTGAAACTCGTTGAAATTTTATTTCATCTAGTGCTTTGTTGTTGACAAATACCATGCTTGTTTTTCTCCTTCCCTTCACCGTATCTACACGAACTTGCAGTTGTTTGCGAGCTGTATCTTCAATTGATTGTGATGTGAGTTTTCCTTGATCTAATTCATACCTGTAGCTGTGTAGTTCATGTCTTGTGGACGCCATCACTTTGGACACATTTTTAAATATTAATCTAATATGTCCGCTCTTTGCATTTTGTCCTTCAAAAACCCACGTAACATAACAAATAATTGTTAAAAAAGCACAAGCGATGAGAAACTGCCATTGTTTTCTTTTTGTACCAACAAAATAACGAAGAACTTTCATGATTTTCGCTAACAAAATCCCTCCATGATGACATGTCTCTCATATGAGATTTTCACTCGTTTCCATCAACTACAAAGTACAAGGACATTAATTTAGGTTGTGGTCGGTAATACAATTGCTTTCTCTCATCTTTACAAACACTGTAAGACTCACATTAGTGGCTTTAAGAAATATAGGCTTCATTAATAGATAAGTAAACAGATCTCTAGCTTGTATTCAGAAAAGTGTATTTTTAATGGTGCTTAGATAAAGACGAATGGAACTTTTTTTCAGAGGTTTACTTTATATTTGTAGTTAGGTACCAATATGTACCTTATACCTTGTTGTGCCTATAGTTGAGCAATAATTTTTCCAAAGCAAGTGGAACAAAGCTCATCCCTACATCGAGGAAAACTTAAAACTCTGGAGATCGCTCAACCATTCGTTAAATGACCACCCGTTTACAGAGAGAAATATAGAGTTTGTCTTAAGTGTGTTTGTACGCCAGAACTCTCGGATAAAATCATTCTCGTGACAATGAAACATCAATAGATCACAGGCAAAGCAAGCCCGGTTATGACTACAAAAGCCGACTCCAAAAGCAGTATATTTGTGAAGAAAAAATAATGATAAAGTTCTGAAATTTACATCGCAGGACTAAAACTTGCGGGCTGGCTAAGGCAATAAATGGAACGTGTATGCTAGAGTATTTTTCAATAAATGGTTTGAACCTGGGAGTATCGTTACATGTTTGTAAATGTAGATCGTCCAAGCTGAAGATGACTCTGACTCTGATGAAAAAACTCTGCAGATAAATTTGACTCTAAAGATGACTACCGCTAAGGTTGTCGAAACGTCAGTCAACAACAACAAAACAGTCCTTCTCAGGACTATACCAACCTGGACGATCTACATTTACAAACATGTAGAGTATTTTTCGTTAAGCCACGATACGATAACTATAACAGTTTTGGTGCATGCATTAATTAATGGAAATCACTTTCTTATCGTGCCGTTAGCTGATGAAAATGTGTTTAGATATTTTACACAGATGGATCAAAAAAACCTTAAAAGAAGAAAACCTATTGTAAAATGTAAATGTTTGATATACTAATTTAACTGGTGCAGTACTGCGCATATTTTGTTGCTTGAGTTGAGGGTTACTTTGAATTCGCAGCAGCAGGAAAGCTTTTCCACTAATATGACAAAGATGTGTAATACATGCACATAGATGACAATACTTTATGCATTCGCGAGTCTAGAATAGTGATAGGCATTGCAATTATCACAAATTATGATTCACAATACGTCAATCGAGAGGTCTTCTTTCTTTATACATACTACTATTAGTCTTAGATAAATATAAATAAAATAAATAAAAAGAGATAACAAGAGAATTGGTCTTGCTAAGAAGTGATGATCTTGCATTTATTTATTCATTGACTTATCATGGGTGAAGTCTGTTGTCTTGTAGAAGTATACTGATCATTAATTCCTAAAAGCAAAGAATACATGTACCAACTTTATAGATGTGTTTCCTCCTTATCTCGCAGTTTCAATGCCATTGACAGATGGCATTGACATTTCCAAAGGTGAAACTGAATTATTTTTCCCTGTTTCATTAGCGTTGTTGTTCCCAACTTCATTAGCGCTGTTGTTTCTTGCTTCATTAGCATTATCGTTTTCCGCTTCATTCTTAATCATCACCGAGTTATTCTTGGATGACGGGTGATCTTTATCTGCGTCCCTAGAAAGCAAACAATAGCATTTCAAGTAGGTTGTGTGAGCAGAAACAGCGCAAACAAAATGATTGCAAGGCATCATGGTAGCTATTCCCATTCTCTCAAAGTCCTAACACTTTTACCAAAATGGTGGTTATGGCATCATGATAATTGCTATGAGTTAGTAACGCAAGATGAAGTGATAATTGGAAGAATAAATAACTCAGTTATAAAAATAATCAAATCCTTTAAATCAATCATGCATTATTTACACAACACCAAGAAAAAAATACGAAGTAGTTTTTACTTTGGTTGTTTGTAGATGTAGATCGTCCAGGTTAGTAGAGCGCTGAGAACTGAAGATGACTACCGCTAAAGCTGTCAAAACGTCAGTCAATATCAACAACAACAGTCCTTTTGAAGATGACAACCTCTAAGGTCATCGTCTGAAGGTGAGTTTATCATCTGAAAATGACAACCGCTAAAGTTGTCGAAACGTTAGTCAACATAAACACAAACAGTCCTCGAGACTCTACCAAACTTGACGATCTACATCCACAAACATCTAACGTTACTCCCGGGTTCAAACCATTCACTTTTGTGATTACTTTCAAAAATCCTTTTTAAGCCGACAGTTTGAAAAAAAAACATGAAAAAACACACGATAAATGATAAATCTTGTCTCTTTCTGTTATAACTCGAATCTTGAGTTTACAAGTTGATGTTTTTTGGATTGCGTTTTATCATTAAGTGATTACTTTGATTGACAACTGTTTGAATTTCACTGATTTAAAGAAAGGAAAATTGCCGCTTTAGACATATGCAATAGTGTTTTGCCCCAGACAACATCGCTCTCATATAGACTCACAAACATCACTAAAAGCCACCTTACCTCTTAGCAGGAGAATTCTGTTTCACGTTATCATCATCTTCAGGGTGTACATTTATATGCCAACGACAAAAGATGGATAGCCATACTGGTAGGAAACAAAGACCGTGAAGCAGACCAAGAACAACAATTCCTACAAACATTCTGAAGAAAATTCGGAAAATCTCTGAAGACGCAAAAGCTGTTACCACCATTCCTAAGAACGTACTGAAACCTAAGGAAAACAATTTAAGTGATAAAAGTTGACGGATAGGAAAATCATATGTATATATCTATGATTCAAATCACTTCAACATATAGTTGTTTAATGGAGGTGAAAAGAACATTGGTAAGGATAAGATGCGGTATGATACGATACGAATTTGTAAAACACCTACCGCCCATTATTACACTTGCCCCTGTCGTCCTAAGAGCTTCGATAACTTTTTGTTCAGGATTGTTTTCCGTGGAGAATACAAACGAATGAGCTACGTGAGCACTGTAGTCAACAGCAAAACCGATCGCCATTACCAAGTTGATCATTGAGATGGAGTTTAATGAAACGCCACATATATACATGAAACCTGAAAAAACAGAATAGTTGAAATGAAAAAAAAAACTCACATCGATCTTATGGACTTACAATGTGGCCTAATAACCATGATTGCTACGTCTTACCTAGCAACTCAAATATCAGAGACACAAACCCAACCAGCACTAGAAGAATGACCAGCGGATTCACCAAAAAGAAACTGGTTGCAATAGTTATGGCAATAGCAGCAATGACAAGACTACGCGTGGTTTCGCTTTGGATGGCTATGAACTGCTCGATATAGATGAATTGATAGGAGCTTGCAAAAATAGGAATGCTTAGTTTATCCTTTAAATCCTTGCGAAAGGATTCCAAAGCTTTGCGAAGGATTACAGAACGCGATGTTCCGATCATATAACAATAAAATCGCGAAGAAAGAATCGTTGTATTGTCTTCAGCAAAGAAGATATCTTTCCTGAACTGTGGGTGACTAAGCAAAAAATCATCAAGAGAATCTGAAAAAGATGTAGAAACAAATTGCAAGGATAGTCAAGAGCATAATGAGTTGAACAATTTATACATTTTCAAGAACTGTGACTCTAGAACTCGTGTGCTGACATTTGAAACACAAACTTGTTTAATTAGGATTTTCAAACTCATAGTTTTGATAGCTATATTTGGTGATTAAATGTTGCAAGTTGATTTTTTTCAAAACAACTTTTACAACAATACATCTACGTGCATCAGAACCAATTAAAATGGAAAATATTGAAAAATTCTTTAGTAAAACTTGATGCAAACAAAAGCAGTTGACTAGTGACTAGCAATCCACTCAGTTTCGATTTCAACCAAATCCTTAGCTAAAAATATTAAACTCTTAATTTTCTAGTGTAAACAACCTCGTTTCAAAGTTGGTATGTCATAAGGATTTTCGGAGCAAGAGGGAGTCAGACAGGGAGGAGTTTAGGAAAGAAGAGTAAAGGAGAATGTCAGTTTTTTAATCTTTTTGTTGGACGCATATACAACTACAAACATCTTACCCAGTACATTTTCTGTTTTGTTTCGAGTTTTGTTACGCCATTTCTGAAGTTCTGTAAACCATGATACAATGTCAGGGCGAAAATATTTGTTTTCCCTCACAATTCCCATCAAACTACTCAATTCACTCTGCGTTAAAGGGTTGGAATAATTCACTCCAGACTCCACGATGATATCAACAGGTGCATCAGTGTTAAAGTACTTTTCGACTGTGTCCAAGAATTGTATATATATTGAACCATCTTTGGCCAAATTTCGACGATCAAAATCTTCCTTTAAAAATGTTGTTCCATAAATACCAGCTCCTAACAAGGCCATCGATACAAGAGCAATGATCACTTTAGAAGGTGGTTTCATGATGAAACTTCCCAGTACTCCATAAATTTGTTGGACATTTGCGGTAGGGGCTCGTCCCAACGAGATTTCCCAGGTGGTGGGGTGGTGCTTTGATAAAGGGAACATATCCCGGCGGCCATCAAGCATACGACGGCAATCGTATGACATAAAAGCCACAAACATTGTCATTAAAAATACAAATGCAAATGAAATGGCAAGTGCAGCGAATGTGCAGAAGTAGACAATGGATAAAAATCTTGATGAAGCACCAACAGCAAATGCGAGAGAGTCTGTCAACGTTGTCATGGTGACTGCCGGGCCGACGGTCTTCATGACAATGCCAAGCCTTTGGGAATGTTCTGGTCTGGTTCGGACCTATCGAGCTCATCAACTATGATAAACATGTCATCGATACCAACTCCAATGACAAGAAATGGTAAAATTCCAACAATGCTGGTAAACGGTGTCTGTACCAGCATTGAAAAACCAAAACCAGTTAGAATACCAAAGCCAACACACAGTATACCACCCAAAGCTAACAAACCATGACCAGTCAAAGGATTACGATACTTGCCCAACATGAAACACGCA